CAAGTCATTCTTCGGTGATCTTAAGTTCAATCATCAGGCTAATCGTTGCCTCGTCGAACCTTCGGCCTAGGTTCGGTATGGATCATTGGTTTATACGGAGAGCCAGGATCCGTCTTCTATCAGAACCTTTTTGCTATGTCATCCAAGGTTCATCCAGGTTCAGTTTCTTTATCGTCGAGAGCTGTGATCGACGGTCGTCATTCAGATCCTTTTGTTACATCAGGATCTTCTTCGAATTGTCGGTTTCTTTAACGTCGAGAGCCTCTTCGACAGGGAATGGTTTTGAAGTGTCAACTCGCGGTATCTTCAAACATTCCATGGTCACCAACTCGTAATGGCATCGAGTTGTCAATCTTTCTGCACCCCAGGTAACTCGCCATGCAGGGTGTTCTCAGCCAAGATCTATCGTTTATTTATAGTGGAGAGCGAGTGTCCACTTGCTCAGTTCGAGCTCCCATTCAGGGATTACAATCATCAAATGGTCATCAGATCGGACTCAATTAAGAGTCTATGGTTTATACGGGTTGCCGTTCCCGGGATCAACAATCGTCAAGTTTTCTTCGGATCGGACTCAATTAAGAGTCTACGGTTTATACGGGTTGCCGTTCCCGGGATCAATCTGCACCGTGGGTATCTCGCCGCACTCGGTGTTATCAGCCATGATCATCAAGTGTGCGACTTAAGTCCTTCGTCAAAGGCTGCGCACCGTCCTCAGTTCATCACGGTCCATAGAATCGGTACTAATTCTACGGTGGCCAAACCTTTCCGATTCGCAGTCACATGCGGCTCGTACATGTCTTTGATTATTACACATGTCGTAGCTTTCCTCGCATGAGGGGATTCGACCCCTGAGAGTCGCCCAATGAAGGGTAAACTCTTGAGAGTTCGTCTCGGACAAGGTGCCAATCAATTGTCTTTCGAAAATCTGGTCTCACCTAGGACTGACCAGACAAGGGTCTTCTTCGTCGTTCCAATGTTGGATATCGAGAGAATGGAGTGTCAATCGCGGTATCTCCATCTCTGTTGTCACAGGTGTCCTAATGTTAATGGACAAGGTCGAGGTCAAGAGAATGGAGTGTCAAATCACGGTATCTCCATCTCTGTTATCACAGGTGTCCTAATGTTACGCTGTCTGCGAACATGGACAAGTCGAGGTCAGGTAGTGTCGTCCTAAGGTAACCGTTGCCTTGGTCGGTCAAGGAATATATCATGACACGGTCACTGTCTGTAAACCGGTCGAGGTCGGGGTCGTCAAGTTCTGCACTAAACCATAGGAGGTTGTGCCAGAGAATAAGGATCTTGTCCTAATGTTACGGGACAAGATCGAAGTCAAAGGACACAGTCGCTGTCTACGAACTGGTCGAAGTCATGACACGGTCACTGTCTGTGAACCGGTCGAGGTTGGGGTCATCGGGCTCTAAAGCATAGGAGCTTGAGCCAAGGAAAGATTATCTTGTCCTAATGTCACGGGGGCCAGTCGCGCCACCGTACATCCGGTTCGTCGTCGTCAGTGACTGGGCCTTCGCAAGGTCTCAAGTCAATTGAGAGGGGTCCGACCTCCAGTCACAGCGATGACCAGAGGTCGGCCCAGTGGAGCTGTCTTATGAACGCTTGGCCGCTGTCTGCGGACCAAGGTCGATCTGTCGCACAGATGTAGATGGTAAAACTGGTTGATGTGTAACCAGGACAAGATGGGGACTCCAGCTTGTCCTGTCGGTCTTATATACAAGTACAGGCGTCTGTCTACCTGTAATACTAGAACTACGATTGGTCCATCGGTATCAATACAAGGGCACAGGGTTCGTATACCTGTCCCACAGTCGTGAGAATGCTGAGTCAGTCATGACTCTGCGTGAGAGACAATCTGTCCATATGGAGATAAGGTCGTGCTGCAAAGACAAGGCAGCAGCGAGGTCATCGTGCGTCTAGCGCATGTATCAGGGTCTAGGGCCATGCCCATGAGGTCCGGTATCTGTATCGTAAAGGTAAGGCAGAGGTGAGGCGCACATGCCTTTGTCGTGTGTGTGATAGGAAGAGGATCCACGCCTGGATCTCGCCTATGAGGTAAACATGCCTTGAGTGCAAGGCGCATATCGTCAGATGATCTTGTAGATCCGGTACAGCCCTAAGATAAGGGTTCTGGATAGATAAGGGCGATGACCATGATGACATCATGGTCATGTGGTCAGTGACGTCATTGTCACATGGTCAGTCTAGGCTCTGTGACGTCATTGTCACGTGATCAGTAAAGGTAGAGGCGGAAGTCGTCCGCGCGTTCCTCAGAGAGGAGCTTTGTAACAAGGAGCTTGAGCCAGGAAAAGTCATCTTGTCCTAATGTCAATTCGGACAAGACGAGGAATCAAGTGCAAGGTAACCGTCGCCTTGTTCGGTCGGATGAGCTGTCTGCTCAGGAGGTGCAAGGTATCCGTCGCCTTGTTCGGTCAAGAGATCAAAGAACACAGTCGCTGTCTGCGAACTGGTCGAAGTCAGGGTCGTCAAGGTCAGCTCTAAACCATAGGAGGTTGAGCAGTAAATAACTATCTTGTCCTAATGTCGCGGGACAAGATCGAAGTCAAAGGACACAGTCGCTGTCTGCGAACTGGTTGAAGTCATGACACGGTCACTGTCTGTGAACCGGTCGAGGTCGGGGTCGTCAAGTTCTGCACTAAACCATAGGAGGTTGTGCCAGAAATAATCATCTTGTCCTAATGTCACGGTGGCCAGTCGCGCCACCGTACATCCGGTTCGTCGTCGTCAGTGACTGGGCCTTTGCAAGGTCTCAAGTCAATCGTGAGAGGTCCGACCTCCAGTCACAGCGATGACCAGAGGTCGGCCCAGTGGAGTAGTCTTATGAACGCTTGGCCGCTGTCTGCGGACCAGGGTCGATCTGTCGCACAGATGTAGATGGTAAAACTGGTTGATGTGTAACCAGGACAAGATGGGGACTCCAGCTTGTCCTGTCGGTCTTATATACAAGTACAGGCGTCTGTCTACCTGTAATACTAGAACTACGATTGGTCCATCGGTATCAATACAAGGGCACAGGGTTCGTATACCTGTCCCACGGTCGTGAGAATGCTGAGTCAGTCATGACTCTGCGTGAGAGACAATCTGTCCATATGGAGATAAGGTCGTGCTGCAAAGACAAGGCAGCAGCGAGGTCGTCGTGCGTCTAGCGCATGTATCAGGGTCTAGGGCCATGCCCATGAGGTTCGGTATCTGTATCGTAAGGGTAAGGCAAAGGTGAGGCAAACATGCCTTTGTCGCATGTGTGATAGGAAGCGCGTCCTAGGTCTGGATCTTGTACATGAGGTAAACATGCCTTGAGCACAAGGCGCATATCATCAGATGATCTGGTAGATCCGTGCCGGATAGATAAGGGCGATGACCATGATGACATTATGGTCATGTGGTCAGTGACGTCATTGTCACATGGTCAGTCTAGGCTCTGTGACGTCATTGTCACGTGATCGGTAAAGGTAGAGGCGGAAGTCGTCCGCGCGTTCCTCAGAGAGGAGCTTTGTAACACGACCGGACAATGTCCAAGACCTCGGTTGCAATTTGCTGCGAGTGCGTAAGCTTCACGATAACATTTCAATCTGGCTCTTCAAATCTGACGTAAAGAATGCGTATCGTTTAATCCCCATGCACTCTTTGTGGCAATTGAAGCAAGTTGTCTCTGTGAACGGCTTACGATGCATTAATCGATGCATGTGTATTGGTAGTCGCGGATCTCTGGACATATGGTGCTCATTTATGAGCCTTGTCGTCTGGATTGCTATTCACATATACTCGATTGAGGCCCTCCAAGCCTACATGGATGATAATTTCGCTTTTGACCTCCTGGCCCATATTGTTTTCTATGAACCTTATCATCACTACATGCCTCACCAGCAAGTAATGCTCCTTCGTCTTTGGGACGAGTTACAAATCCCACATGAGGACTCGAAGCAAGTTCACGGTCACGCGCTCACAATTATCGGCTTTCATGTCGACATGCAAAACATGACCATTACTCTGCCGCAAGAATCCTGCACAGCCCTGGTTACGCATATTTGTGATTTTGTGACCAATGCCCCTCAACGTTGACATCCTCTCCGTGACTGGCAACGTCTTCTTGGTTGGATCAATTGGGGACTCAATGTTCAACCTCTCCTACACCCAGCTTTGCAGGCGGCCTACACGAAGATCCGAGGCCTCGCTATTCCGCATGCACCAGTGTTCCTCAATGCCCGAGTCAAGTGAGATCTACTTTGGGTTGCTGACATGCTTGATCGTCATGTTGGCATCTTCATGCTGTGAGCCACAGCATGGGGCCCCACTGATGCTGAACTCACAATTTTTTGTGATGCTTGCTTGACTGGAATTGCCTTCTGGTGCCCCCGGCTTAATAAAGGATTCATCGCAGATGTTCCGACACCTACTCGACAAGGTGAAGATATCATTTTCTGGTACGAAGCCCTCGCAGTCCTATCTGCCTTACAATGGGCTATCTCTCTCCCTTCCCGATACTTTCACATTGCTATATTTACCGACAATCTCAATACTGTCCAAATTTTCAATTCGCTCCGAGCGAGCGAAGGCTTTGAAGACCTTTTGCTTTTTGCCTGCGGTCTCCTTATTGCAAGTGATGTCGACCTTCGTGTCTGGCACATTGCTGGAACTGACAACCTAGTGGTGGATGCGTTGTCACGCCATCTTATCCATGTTGCTTTACAGCATGTTCCTCAGCTTCGCCTCCACACCTTCATACCCTCACGAATCACACTGGGGGATGCCGCGTTATGATCTCCATTGCTGCATCATCCAGGCAACCTCACCGGGAACCCTGGACGTTGGATCGACTTGTCCGCGAGCGAGCAATCGCTCTCGGTCACGCCATTGACCACTCCACCCAGCTCACTTACACTTCTCACCTGCAATCCTACTTGACTTTTTGCAAAATACATGGCTTCCTCATTGACCCAACTCCCGATACACTGTCCTTTTATGTTGTCTTCATGTGCCACCACATCAAGCCCGATTCGGTCGATTCTTATCTTTCCGGTATTTGCAACCAACTCGAGCATCTTTTCCCCAACATCCGTGCGGTTCGCCACGGCCATCTTGTCGCACGCACTCTCGCAGGTTGTAAAAGGATGTTTAATTCCCCACCTAACCGAAAACGCCCTCTCGAGATCGAGGACTTGCAGTTGCTCCTACAGGTCTTCCTGCCCAATTCCCATGATAATCTCCTTTTCAGGGCAATTCTTCTCTGCGGCTTCTTCGCCCTTCACCGTCTGGGCGAACTTACATATCCTAACAACCCTCGCCTTCACAGCAGCCGCAAACTCATTCGACGCTCATCCGTCCTGCTAACGAGCTCCTCCTGCACCTACATCTTACCGTCCCATAAAGCTGACCGCCTCTTCCAAGGCAGCACTATCATCTTTGCCACCCAAAACGATGACATAGACCCGGTGCAACCTTTCGCATCCTATCTTACCTCCCGCAATCAGCTTTTCCCGTATCACCCCGCGCTCTTTATAGCCTCCGACGGCACCGTACCTACGCGCTCCTGGTTTATCTCCCGCCTACGCACCTACCTTCATGACAATGTCACCGGACATTCCCTTCGCGCAGGTGGTGCCACTTTCTTCGCAGCAGCAGGCTGGCCAGACAACAGGATTCAAGCTCTAGGCTGCTGGTCCTCAGAGGCCTTCAAGATATACATTCGTAAGAATCCTGTTGTCTTACAAGCTCTCCTGCATGGCCGAATTCTCTCCTCTCACACTCCCACATTCGCTCGTGTATGACTTTCCCCCTTCAACACACCACCAACCCACCCCTCCTCCAACTCCAATATGTCATCTTTACTGGATGCCATACACGATCGCACCGATGAAAGCTCTCGAGCGCCCTACACGATGTCTTGAGGTGCAATGTATGATATTTGGGTCGCCTCCCATGTGGGAGGCGGCCATTTTCGGCTATCCTGCTTTTCATTGCGAGCGCGCAGCATCCCCGAGTCCTGACCAAGGTACGTGTCGATTAGTCGAGTTTAGAGGAAGGTTTTAACAAGTCTAATCGACGCGGCGGTCATCGGCTTGACTCGAAACCCAGGCAGCGTCTGGATGGCTCATGACACTCGCAGCGCGAGTCACGTCCAGCGGACAAGCTCCACAGACTGGCGGGGTCTCGGGAGCGCTGCCTCTGTCGAGGCGGAAGGTGTTTCCCGGGTCGGACCCCCCCGCTTACTAGGTGGAGGTGTGCTTCAGGGGTGCTCTCCCTCCTTGACCCTTCTCGCACCTCCACCTTGCTAGGTCTGTCTTTCCGTGCAGCGCACGCCTTGCCATTACTAACACCTTTGCCTTGCCAGGAACGTCGCGAAGTGCCATTTTTCGAGCTTCCCACCCTGTCTCTCTCCCACCCATTGGTATCTTCTCTACACGCGCTCTTCCTCTCTCTGTAACAATAGTTCCTTTCGCGCTCCTCGTTGTATTTTTACTGTAGTTGTACACACGATCGCACCGATGAAAGCTCTCGAGCGCCCTACACGATGTCTTGAGGCGCAATGTATGATATTTGGGTCGCCTCCCATGTGGGAGGCGGCCGTTTTCGGCTATCCTGCTTTTCATTGCGAGCGCGCAGCATCCCCGAGTCCTGACCAAGGTACGTGTCGATTAGCCTGAAGAAATACTTTATTCTTTTTCCACAGTTTTTGTGTGCTTTACTTTAACCCTTTCTAGAGGTTTTTCCGCAAAAAATACTGGGCCTTCTTGTGACACCGCTATGACTTGCGTGACAAATACGTCATGTTAAATATGCTCAAGTTCGAACCCAACCTTGACTCTTTCTCGTTCCATTTATTCCTGACGTATCGTTGCAAGGTAAATCTAGCTATTGCAGAATCTCTGCGGTGTCTCCGTAATGTAACCGCCATCGAGGACGAGCTGAGGGCAGTGTCCCATTCTGAGTAAGTATCCGGTAAGGCGAGATGTCACTGCTCCACCACCTCCACTATCCGACTCCTTCCGCTCTTACAAAAACGCCATGGCGTATCTGAGAACCTCTCCATTTGTATTGCCACATTCTTGACCATACATCTGTCCACCAACATATCATAATGTCTACCCGTCAATCGACAATCACCGTTCTCCTCTTTACTGTCTGCGCCCACGCCCAGAGCGGCGGATACTCTGGAGGAGGTTATTCAGGGCAAAACTCGCGCCTTTCTGGAGGCTCGATAGCAGGGATCATTGTAGGTACCGTACCGATCTACATATTTCTGTGCTTGCGCCTGCTCATTCACTACGAGGTGCAATTATCTTCTGCCTCCTACTCTGTCTATGCTGCATGACGTCCATGCGTCGACCCCGAGCTGGGGCTGAGATTCCTATCTCCACTAATCATCGTCGCTTTGGTGGCGGCGGCAGTAGCGTGGACCTGGGAGTTCAGGAAGCTGGGTATGCAGGACCGCCTCAGCCGCCGTGGAATAATACGCAGGCGGCGAGTGATGGGTACGGTGGCTATCAACCTCCAGGGCAACCACCGGCTCCGCCTCCTCCGTATAGCCGCGAAGGTGGAGAGTTTACTCCTGAGGTGCGCGAATTCGCTCCGGTAAGTTTTGCTATTATCCGCGACAGATCTCACTCTCTGATCTTTGAATCTCACACCATCTGCTACAATGAAGCCCCCAGGACCTCCGCCTCCTGCTCATACGAAATTTTGAGTGCGGATAAGAGGAATATAATGGGTTTTTCCGTGAATGATAGTAGAGGTACCGGTGTATGCTGGATTCTCAGACATGACATATCATTTATATATTGGGCAGTAGTTCCCTCCCGCATTTTAGAAATAATCGAGCGAGGAAAATGCGTGCACCAGGGAACTTGAACGCCCTACCGAGGGCCCGGACCAGTTGGGCCAGTATGTTGAACGCAACGTAACCCAGGTGCCGCTGTACCGACCGAAACCAGAAGGTATGAATCGCCACCACTGGACGAGAAAGACTGAAGCCCTCTCGCAGAGCGCTTGTGCAATGGCTTTCAGTGAAAGGTACTGTTGGGAATGCCCGGAGGAAACGCTCCGAGGGCACCTGTACATGGAGCCCGCCACAGCGGGGAATGATTAAAGAACCTTATTCCGAATGTATATAAAGGAAATCTATTTTGGGAATCCGGCTGAGTAATCGGGTTCTTTCCTTCGTCCGAAACATCACCGCAATATCCTCTGGGAAATAATCTATCTCTCTCAACAGGTACGTTCAACAGTGGCCAGGACCTCGCAGCTGTAGAACTATACCAGCACGGCGTGCTGGTACGCCGTGCTGGTATAGTTCTGAGCACGCTGCCTACTGTACTGCCAGTGGTCCAGCGGACAACGAGATCTTACATCGGAAGTGAGTAATGCATGGTTAATACCCAGGACTCGTTCGTTATGTGTCTATGAGCTGTTTGGTCTTGGGCAGTGTACAAATAAGACCAGACGATGCATATATAGAAAATACCGCACTGCGTCAGGCTTTCCCAATCGCAGCCGCTCTGTGTAACCCATAGTCTCCATCGTATGAAATCCGAGACAGCCGGTGACATGCCATCGACATCTATTAGCGACTTCTCCCCCAGCAATGACATGATCTGGTACTCCGATGGCAGCGTTATTCTCGTCGTGGAGAAAACTGCGTTCCGCGTGCATGCGTCAATTCTCGCTGCGCAGTGCGAAGTATTCAAAGGTATGCTCGGGATACCGCAGCCTGCACCGGACGCGGAAACCGGCGGCGCAGAGGTGTACGAGGGGTGCCCCGTTGTCAGGATGCAGGACTCTGCAGTCGATTTAACACATTTCCTGAAGTCCATCTATGACTTCCAGTGAGTACGTCTGTTCAATGCTGGTCATGTTTTTGACTTCGAGGCCAGATATTTTCAGTCAGGCGTGAAGTCCAAATTTCCCATCGTTGCGGCGGTTCTTCGTCTCAGTACTAAATATCATGCCCCCGCTCTGCGCCATCGTGCGATCAGCTTTCTGTCTACAGCCTATCCCTCGACGCTCGCTGCTTGGGACAAGCGGTCCATACAGCGACTTATTCCTCCCTTCGAAGACGAATTCTGCGCCTACGTCGCGCTTGCCACCGAGACAGACGTCAGAGCCATTTTACCTGGGCTGTACTACGCAGCGGCCAGGAAACCTCTGGGACAGATCATTCCCTTACTGCGCACTCTTGCCATTGCACCAGCGGTGCAGTGGGACGTGTGTTCCGACTTCGTGCTAGGGCGCGAGCGCCTCTTCCAGGTGGAAATTAAACACATACTCACGTTCCTCAATGTTGAGTTCAAACACCCTGGATGCCAGGCACTTTCCTCTTGCACAACCATCCTGAACAGCACTGCGAGGCTCGCATTAAGAAAGGCGACTGAGGCAGAGGCATACCACCAGTGGTGCAGCGCGAACGCGAGTGAGGTGGGCCGCTCGCTCGCGTTGTGCCAGCCATGCTCCACGACAGTCGAGAACTCTATCAAGGATGCGAGGAATGTCGTGTGGGAGCAGCTTCCGGGATTATTTGGGCTCCCGGACTGGGAGACGTTGAAGGCTAGGGATGAACTAGACGTCGAGTGAGCAGGTAGGACGCACATCAAACCCGCGCATCTGCATAGCACTTGCATTCATTATGATAATCGTCTTTCCTCTTGATTTTATTGCTGAAGATCTGTAAGGATGACAAGTCGGAAGTAGCATTAATATTGAGTAGCATGCATGTAACAGTCAATTTTGCCAAATTTTCAACCGCTCGTTGACTATAATGCACCCAGATCTGCGTGAAGGCCAACTGATCTCTGTTCACAACGCCCACGAATAAGCAATGGATATTCTGCTGAACGTACAAAATGGACGATGTTAATACCGATATATAATGTAAGATTCTATTGGTCTGCAACAACTTGAAGGTAAAGCATTCTGCGATAGCTTGTTTCCGTGTAGTATGGCTTCCAAAATACCCGATTCGAATGATGTAAATCTAGAATGTCCTCGCGCACTCGAGCACTGAAATGTTTTTGGCACGATCGTGTCATAGTGTTTCACGTCGTCTTAGGTCGTCAACACGCAGCAATGTATGAGGGCTCACAGCTTCGCAAACATCCCACCAGAGTCTTTCGCGAGCAGGTATCGTGACATCAACATCAGAATCACGCCGATCTCCACTGTGGTGCCTGCCCAAATAATTTTCAGGGTTCGCAATGGATGGGGCGTGTATACACCGAAGACGTACCTGCATAGATACCTACCCACTTGTAGGTCCCTGTGGAGTCGTAGATAGCACCGGATATTGGCGGTCCAGCAAGCGCACCCATCGCGAGAAGCATGAACGCCATGCCGATGCGCTGGCCCACGTCGTGCCTTTCGCCCATAGCGACGATCGGCGTAGCAACAAGGGAAGCATATACCCCAGAGGACATGCTGGGCATAGGAACGCGTAAGCCGGATGCAGTACGCCTTGCAACAGGACACAGGTTCACCCGTAGAGAAGAGCAACAGCAACGTTCGCACCGACTGATTTTGCGGCAGGCCATACGTATGTCATGACCCCGGCGATCAGTGTTGCTGGTATCATTACATTTAGTTGCCCTGGTGGCGCAAGTGTGTTTAATCATCAATTATACAAATAGAGGGAGGAACGGACCTATATGATCTGCGATGATTCCGCCTGACAGCCGACCAAAGGCCGAGCCGGCATTGGCGATGGGAAGAAGGTAGAACGAGAAGGTCTGGGGTACGCCTGCTTGGGCAGCACTGACATCAATATATGTCAACACCTGAGGAATGCATGACAGGGTCAACAGAGTTACACGCAGTAATGAAGGTAGGCGTACTGTGTAGAGACCTAGCCAATTGACCAGTGCGGCTACAGTATAGAGTGTATATGGCATGAATCTAAATGCCGCCAGATTTATGAAAGAGCCCGACTTGTTGTTGGGCGGAAGTCGCCGGTCTACAGTCTAGTGGGAAATCTATCAGGTCTGGCGGCTGGCAAACGCAAGCACACGACTCACAAGATTGCAGATGCCCAACAGCATAAGGATGATGAATCCCATAATGCGCATAGTCCACTTGAACCTGACAACCAGCCTGCAATTAGCAGCACGCCGGCAGAAAGCATGCAGAAGAGAATGGGGAGATACGGACCCTACGTGCTCGATCAAATTGCGCACAGCAATCGGGAAGACTGTTCCGCCAACACTAGAGCCCAATGACATGCTGGCATACGCAAGGTTAATCCTCTTTTCGAACCAATGCGCAAGAATGCCCATAATTGGTCCGAAGATGGACCCGCTTGCCAGCTGAACGACAAAAGCACAGTGAATACTAAAGACGTCACGTCAGGATGTATCGGGCCCTTACCCCAACTGCAATACCCTGGCATAGGAGGAACTGCCAGAATTCTTTGCATTCTGCAACCAAGAATGCAGCGGCGACGAGAATGCATGATGATACCAACAAGGGCAGTTTGAAATAACCCATGTCGAACAATCTACCCAAGACTAGACCGGGCATGAACACTAGCGCATACTGCGAGAAACCTGTCAGAAAGTGTCTGCATACACCAATGAATGGAGCCAACCTGAATGGAGCCAATCCAAGCGCTGATCGGCTGGTCAGATCGAGCACCACCAACGTTCAAAATGTACTCACATCGTCGATGGGGATGTGTCGGGAAGAAGAGTCTCTTCATAGTACGCTTGGAAAACCTGCGGACGATGTCAACATACGTCACCGATTCAAGATGACGATTTGGAAATTGCTCACACCCCAAGCATTCACAAATCCAAAAGTCCCGCAGGTCCCACAAGCAACCTGAAAGTCAACATCAGAGGGTATGTCAGCGCGAAGGAACCAGACACGTACACCAAACACTACCATCCACGCCCGAAGCCCTCCATCTGGAAATGTAATATGCGGGATCTCCTCGTCAGCAGCGGCGTCACACTCTTCCTCTGACTCGACTCGGTCTTTGGATTCTATCTTCGTCGGCTCGGACTGGTCGATGGTGCGTTCGTCCGACTTGCGAGCCATGCTTTTCTCAAACGAAGCACCTCGCTGCGTCTGGTTGCTCTCTTGCTGAACTGTATGTTCTTCCATGCCGAGTCGTAAATGTGGAATCGTTGAAGGGTTCGTGATGGCGTTCAAGAATCTGGCACGACAACCCACGGGAAAGTTTTTATGAGAACACTGCACGAGGACGCAGTGACTCGATTTTACTCACTTACTGCACAGTGCGAGAACTTTTTCACCACCGTTCCTAGTATATAGGGCGCGATGAGGGAAGGGGAAATGGGTCGTTTCTGCGACTCAGATCTCAGACCCTCCATCACCTACATAAGTTTCCGGATTATTCATGTTTGGCCGAGAGTTTCTGCGAAGACCGAAGGGGTCGGAATGGGCCATCTGGCCTCGGCGTAATGTTCCAGTAACGAACGAATCAAACAGTCGGATATGTTCGTCACATGGTACGCAAACTTGCAATGATCTCCAAGTAGACAATCCTTTTGACTTCCTTTACCTGACCTTGCACGATGGATCGAAGTCCTGCATGTGACTGTGTCTAATGAGGAGATCAAAATGACTTCCGGTGCAGAGAATTTGAGTTGAACCTCATCCATGTTTGTTTGGACGCGTTATCAGGAACTTGCGCGGAAACCACCTGACCGCTTGGATCTGTTATTCGTTGGTTATTCGTCTTCAATACGTACAGAGCGGCCTTCCGTCCCTAACTAAGCGCTGCTGACCGTCTTGCACGCAAACTAAATAGAATACTAAAGAGAACTACTGCAGGACCGACTTCGTGTACGTCTGTTTCTGAAGGATGCAATATATGCATGACACCACACGCAGTACTATCGGACTACCAGAGATAAATCAATAATATATGAACCCATTGCAGACTCGTATGTAGTACATGATCATATTCCTTCTGCTGTCAATGTCTCAAAATTGTCAGGAACAATGGACCTGTATTATACGTCAGAGCGTAACTGGCCTTTCCCACATCTCCGAGGCAAACATTCTCGCACGCAAAGTACCTCTCGTAAGACACAGGCTACAGCACCGTTTGCATGCATGAACATGCGCATGCTTGGTAGACGAGTGGATGCCAGAAAAGGCTGAGACACTGCGCTCCTAATGTGCCAAGATTGCGTGCGCATACCCGGAGCGGAAGGAAGCTCGAATGCGAAGTCTGGCACCAGCGGGGCAACTGAAGTCATCGGTGCGTTTGCAATTCCCTTGGTTTCATCTCTGTGCATTTGTCTGTATTCTCGTTCCCGCGAGGTATAGTCTCCTCCCCTCAAGACACGCCACATTGATATAAGTAGAACATCAGGTTGTTGCTAAGTTTGATATGATGGAAGGGTGAACCTTTCTTTGGTGTAACGAATATCATCGTCCGTGTATGGGCCCGCTGGGAAGAAACACGCTACTTTATGCAATTATACTGACAGCCATGGAAATACCACGAGGCCGCAAGCTATACGCAAACCCTATAAACAGACTGGAAAATATCTATCCAAGTTTGCGAGCTCACAATCCCCATAATTACAGTTCGTCCTTCACACGGGATTGATTGCCAGTAGTCACCGTCTCCTCGATCGCGATTGGTGTCTCTTCGACAGGTAATTCTGTGGTTTCGCCCTTCGCTCTTTCTGTGGTTTCGCTCTTCGCGCCTTCTGATATTTTGCTCTTCGCTCTTTCCATTTCAGTTGCGGGTTCGTTTAGCAGGGTAGATTCTGCAGCTGGTGTAGCAGCCGGGGCAGGTTCGCGCTCGACCTGGGAAGAGGGAGCTTGCGCTGCTTCGAAGGGAACTTGGTCGTTGTGATCGGGTTGGGCCTCAGGTGTAGGTTCCTCCGCTTCAGTTTCTTTGGGTACCATGAAGTCGGCCGTGCCATCCACTATGGAGTCAAAGAATTTGGAAACCTGTTGGAATTTTTGTGTGCCTAAGCCGGCCGTTAGCCAACGTTAGTTGATATTGAGTGAAACGCAAGGATTTACCGTCATAGCGCACGAACTCGGTTGATCCTGGGGGATATACCAGGATTCGAGAGGCCTTTGACGCATGATCTTCCGCTCCTAGCTTCACCGCGCTCTTCCCGGTCTTATCGCGATGGATGGCAAATGATATCGCGTCCTTGTACTTGTTCCCCAGAGACTTCCACATGAGGGGTATCTCCTTCCCCGGATGGAGAAGAATTGCGCTGGGCTTGGTGATGTTCTGTGGAAGTCAATGGTCTGAGTAGACGCTGAAGGTGGCTACAAAGCCGACTTACGTCCTCTACCCAGTCGTTGATATTCGTGACGGTGTCCAAGCGCCTCACCGCATGCGGAATATTCTTCGATGCCCAGTAGAAAAACGCCTTCGAAGTTCGCTCATTTGAGTCGAAGCTAACGGCTCTTGACTGCCCACCACGAGGGAACAGCTGCGGTTCAGGTAAGTGCTCGTCGCATAGGAAAGAATGTATAGACGATTACTTTCACTGTCGGGAAGCCCTGCACGCCCTGCTCCGCACAGAGCCGTTTGTTCGCCTCATCATCGCAGTCGACCGCATAGAGCGGGACCATTGGGGTGAGCGCGACTGCCGCTTTGCTGAATTCAGGCGCCATTCGTTGGCAGTGCTATATGATGGCGACGTAAGCATAAAGGCTGAGACCAGGGATGAATTCTTACGCCACACCAGGGAGCGACGAACGCGACTACGGAAGTCATCTATAATTAGAGTTAGAACGCACCCCGAGAAAGAGCAAGGAACGAAAGTGATAGTTAGTTTCCTCGCATACGTAAGAGTATGCATAGCGAGGAAAGAAGGAAATAGGATTAGCATGACAATAACTGTGCACAATTTGACGTAAATTGGGCACAGAATTTAGAATGTATCATCAACTTGACTTGGCTCTTGAACAAGACGTCGAGGGCTGGAAATACGAGCAAGCTCTACAAGTGATCACGTACGTTCTGCTTCATAGCCTTCCTGAAACTGTTTGCGTCAAGCATCTTGACTTTTGTATCCGCAGGAAATAACGCAGCGGACACCATTGAAGGTGCGAACGCGAACGTCAGAACCACCCAAGGCAGTCTCATCGCAAGGCAGTTCTCGCGGGCAAAGACTGAGCCGTGTCGCAAAGCGCCGAGGTACAAGACCGAGAAGATCTTCCACAGTCCAGTAAAGGGACCCGTTAGAACCAGTTGCAGCCCAATAGAAGAAGCAAGATCGTCTGCAACACAGCTGCCGGCAGGCAATTGTGGTTGCAGCAAGGATTCGGAGGTTGAAACCCTGCGCGGAGCGACGACCCGAACTTGAAACCGTGACGGTGAAACGGGTGAGATTAGCTGACTACGTGGCTCAGCGGTCGACCAATTGGTCCGGGCCCTTGGGACTGTATGGCGTTGTTGCCCGCTGGCTCGACGCCGACACGATCACGTGGAGTTCCTGCCTGCCACTGGCACCATGTCGTCGAAATCTAAGGAATATCTACAATTGCTGCTGAAAAATGTTACAACTGAAGTACAGGAAATCTCTATTCTTTGTGCGCAAGGTCTCGCGTCATTTACCTGGCTCTGGCCGCTTCGGGGCATTTACTTTGCCGTCAACTGTACGTGCTATTAAATCTTGCTTAGACATATCTCTATACCATAGATATCACACAGATCCCTCTATTTTACTCTCAGTGCGTGGAGCGCTTGCCAAGTCGCTCGTCTCCTCGGCGATTATCTTCGGTATTCTGGCCCTGCTCACGTACTCTCCACAAGTCGCACTCCTCGCCCTCTTTACCGGCCCGCTCGCACCCATCCTCGCGCTTCTTCTCGTCAGCGTCGAGTCACTCGTACTTCTCTGCGCACTAACGCGCCCGCTCTTCCTGGATCCGGCACTCGTCCACCTCTTCGACGCGACCCTCCTCGCGCGGGGCCAGGCACAGCTCGTCCGGGAAGGCAAGACACGCGCGGGAGCGCCCTCCCAAGTCTCGAGCACTCTCGTACGCCCGTTAAAGGCGCTCTCGTCCGACGGCGTCGTGCGCTACGTCCTCTCCCTCCCGCTCAACCTTGTCCCCGTCCTCGGCACCGCCGCGTTCCTGCTGTACAACGGCGACCGCAGTGGTGCCGGCTGGCACGCGCGATACTTCCAGCTGAAGGGGCTCTCGAAGTCTCAGAGGAGACAATTCGTCAAGTCCAGAAGGGCGCAGTATGCTGCGTGCGTGCCTGGGGGTCGGTGCTGTCGTTTGTACTGACTCTGACGTTGGTGCGATGTTTAGGTTCGGTACAGCAACGCTGCTGTTCAATTTCATTCCGTTTGTCGGGCTTGTGTTCAGCTTCACGAACACGATTGGTGCCGCTATGTGGGCGGCGCAGATCGAAGCGCAGGCTAATCCCATTGGCGCGGAAGAAAAGGTAGCGGACACTCTCAAGACACAGTGAGTGACTTTTGGAGCGACGGACATGCACTTGGCCGTTCTCCCAATACGCGAACTTCTCGCAGTTGTAATGTGCTCGAGCGAAGCTTGAGCTTGTTTGTGTATAGCATACTCAACTTACAGCGTGCTACTCGTACTCCTTGGACTGACATTGAATTACAGAACATTTCTACGTATACATAAGACGTATGCTAGTAGCCTTTCTGCTTGTGGAGAGTTGTTGCATTCACGACCAATGACATCACTGGCTGTAGTGGAGAATTCTAACGAGACAGGAGCACACGTTTGATTCGCAGTTTGACAACAGACCGGCCTATTTGCTAAGACAGACACTGGAGCAATAGCAGACAGCAGAATCAATACAGTATTCATTCGAGGCAGAGAAATGGGTGCTTGAGCAATTGGGCGGAGAGCAGAGCAAAGCACATGCAGGACAATTGGTATGGTAAATGAAAGCAACACAGGGAAAGGAAAAGACTGCACTGGCTGCAGACCAAAAACAACAATCACACCTCGCCGTAGAACACGCATTCGGAATATCGCTCGTCGTCGCTACCTTCTTTCGTGAGCAGAATCTCCTTCACCTGCGAGCAGGCCGGTTAGCCGCATATACACGCATACATCGACGTGGAAACGTACCTCTGGAGGGGGATTGAGCCCAAGTGCTTCGGCGCGTTCCCACCGCTGCAGACGTGTGACGCCAATGCACGGCCCATACTCGTATGAGCTGGGCAGAAAGGGAAGGAACGTAAGTTATAGCTAGAGAATAAACAGGCAGCAACGTACAGATCAAACACACGAAGAGTGTGGTCAATCATTGTTTGCCCCTCAGCGTGTACTAGACGGCATACATCGTCAGAATACCGGACGTCTCATCCCAATCGCTACAAGCCACTCACCAGGCTCGAGATGGCCCATCTTCTCCCGGACGACGCCATAGTGTTTCCTCCACCGCCCAGCGCGGTCCTTGAGGTCGAGCTTCGCCTTGCCCTTGTCCTTCTTCGCACCCTTCGCAACACCTGCGTTCTCCTCCCCCTCGCGCGAGTCGAACACCGCCTTGACCTTCGCCCCGCCCTTCACAGACTTTGGCTCCTCCGTCCTCCTCCTCTTCAGCGCCGGCTCCCCGCTCTCGCTTCTGCTCTTCCGGATAGTGTTTCCCGACCCCTCTTCCACCTCGATCTCCTCCTCAAAGTCAAACCCCTCCTCCTCATCCACATCCACATCGCTATCGCTGCTCACATTGATGACCGCTGCAGGCTTGGCGGGCTTCGAGGCGGTAGACGACGCGTGCGCGAGCTTCCCCTTCGCGGGCTTGCCCTTCGCGAGACTGCCGGTGGAGCCGGTGCGCTTCGCATCAGCGAAGCTCAGCGTGCCCTGCTTGAGCGCCTGCTGGGTGCTGCTCCGCAGCTTCTTGATGGAGGAGCTGGAGGTGGGAGTGAGGGAGCGAGTAGATTTCGGCGGGGACATGATGGTTTTCGGGCAGGATATTACAATCGCCAGCCAGTATAGTGAGCGTCGAGTTATACTATATATTGACCTAACTTTGGTAAAGAGGATTATATCGGCCGGCTAGCTCAGTTGGTAGAGCGTCGTACTAATAATGCGAATGTCGTCAGTTCAATCCTGGCGTTGGCCATAAATTGTTTTGATATCATCTTCGAATCGTCTTCTTGTTTTTAAGGAAGTCCCTTTAGGTCCAGAAAACCACTGTCTCCGAATGCACAGGTCGACTTCTGAATGGGCTGCAATTACAGATGTTAACTAAGGGCGAAACCTAGCCTGTCAGTGAGCAACGAAAGGTGAGATAATCGAAGGGGATTGAAATATTGATAGACCTCGCATTGTAGCATTCGCTCGTGTATAGGCTTGTCCTCTAGATCTACACTTATGTCGACGGTTCAGTTGTACCGCACTGCCGCTCAAGCTCCTCCTCTTCTTTGCGCAAACGGATGATGGCCGCCTGCAGTACTCGGCGCCGCCGCCGCTCCCTTGATTCGTCTCCTGGATATTCTGATGATCCTCCTAGTATATGGGGACCTTCCGACGCTAAATATGCTTGTGCTTCCGCCTCTAGGTAGGACGATGAGGTATAAGCCTCGTCACCTAGACTGTGAGTTCCTTCGGCAGCAGCACGCTCAAAGTCCACAATTTCGCGGCTCAGCTGAGAGTTCAGCTCTTTGAACTGGAACACGATAGAGTGAGCACTTCACGAGGTGTCTTACTCAAGTGAAAGAGGCTCACCCCAACCTCGTGATTCTTGTGTACAATGTGTGCAAGCTCGTGGCACAGCACCTTCCGGATCTCTCTGTAGGCTCGGAAGCCGTCATACGTATCTGTGCGTAGCCGTAGCTTGATGATATGCATGGGCGAGATGTTGATACCAAGCTTGTCTGGGTGTTCATGCGGAGCCAGCTCAGTCAGCAGCGGTACAGAAAACTGGTGGTTCTGCATAACGTGCAGGATCGCGGGGTCGCTCGCTAGCCGCGAGAGCAGTGCGCGCGCCGCAGCAGGATCGGGGAGGTGCGCAAGTGGCTCGATGCTGTGGAAACGGTACTGCGCACCCATGGAGGGGACGCTGGGGCCTGTCGAGCGCAATCGTGTTGGGCCCTTCGCCGCGCGTTCGCGCAGTATGCGCTCCCGGCGCTGGTGCTCGTCCTCCGCTGCGCGCAGCCCACCGATCTCCTGCACTGTCGAGCCGAGCAGCTGCACCTTCACGCCATAGCGCAACCCAGCATCGAGTATCGTGGCATCGTCGGCTGCGCGTGCGTTCTTCCCCTTGTACAGGAGCTTCTGGTGCGCGGGCGGGACAGAGGTGAGCTCCTCGAGGTGGGCTTGCAGGACGGCGAGGGTGGTGTCAGGGAGGAATGAGAGGCGGTGAGCGGTGCCGCGGTGAGTAACTGTGAATTCTATGGGTTTCGCGGGCGAGGACATGACGGTAGTATGCGGTGAGTATTACAGAAGATGTGGCAGATAGTAACTTACTGTTGATGGGGCTGTGTGAGTATTGCGTATGTATAAAGCACGCGTATCTGGAGATTTGTCAGAGTTCCGAAAGAGAGATCGAAGATTACATCAGTCGCCAACGTCACGGTCACGGTCGGAACATTCAACCGTGACATGTTCACTTTCGAACACAGCGGCTGGGCGTTTCGCTCCCTTCCCTTGTCGGCCCTTCTGTTACGCGCAATGCCTGTGATGAGAAGTGTAAAGATGACCGCGCTCACAATCGTAGATCTGTTAGATCGGTGTGAACTTGAAGCTATGCATGCACGGATAGCCAGGACCTCCCCGAATAAGCTACAACGAAATTGAACATCCACAGAAGACCTCCCTCTACTCATCAACGCCGTTCTTTCCCGAACGCCTTGGCTATTTGATTCAAATCACGCCCTTCTCCTCTACATGTCCCCCGCAGGCTGCAAAACATTCAATATCCTGTTTAACAAATGATCAGAAAATGTACATGCAGAGACGACGCAATCTCCCTGAAGCTCGGCACGCATAGCTCTGACGTCGTGGACAATCGCTCGCAAATGCTGCTCGCCCTCATCTTCAAGGATACTGCACCCCCATCGTGTCCTTGGTGCCACATCGTTCACAAGTTGATATCACCAGGAATCGCATGCGACGGGAGACCTGAGTTCTGTACTTGTAAAAACAGATACGTGTCCCCATGGCGCAGATCCCATATGGTAATACAGGAGCCACTGGTTCGTCGGGAAGCTCAGTGTAACACTAGCGCATTTGAATATCGGCTTTAGAGCGCAAGTCCGGTGAAGCAGGAGGTTTGATTTCGATGAAGAAGACGGGGTGGTGAGCAATGTTGACTACGAGAATCTGAACAGAATCAATTAACTCTTGCCACTTGAAGCTTGAGGGGCCGTACGAACTGAGGAGCGATTTCAAAATTGGAGTCCCAAGGGAAAAGATGATTGAGCAGTTTGTTGTATGTCCTATATAAAATGCCAACTAATCGGTGTGGATGCCACTGACAAAAATGAGTTGAGGGTCGGAGTTGGCCAAACCATGCTGGCGGTGTCAATGTTACTATCATGAATTTTGCGCCGGATGGGTAAGTATTTCAGCGGTCCCTCTTCCATCCCGCACTTGCACAAATATTAATGCCATGCTTGACTAAGTCTCATGCTCGCATACGGTCGTGTCACTGTCTAACCGCGGCGCTCACAGCATCGGGCAGGATATTCATGGTATAGTAAAACAGTACCATTGGTGATGGCTCTTCCGGTTGCACTATACAACGCTTGGCGCAATAGTCTCCGGCATGCATATGATGTTTGTATGGCACGTAGAGCACAACAGCCGATTATTCGGGATTTCTCCGATCTACATTGGACAACCTAGATCGATGCAGCGGTGAGGCACCAGCCAACTACACTCCATTTTTTTCTGGGATGCAAGCAGGCACACATCTTTTAACAGCTTCAAAGATACCTAAGGTGTACAAGTGTCTACATCTACAATTTCTAAGCAATCGGGTAAGAGAATCGAGCTGTGGAAATGGCTATGACACTTGTAGTCCATATGGCATAGATATCTGTCACTGATAGTACACTTCATCTGGACGGAACAATTCAGAGGTGAGCCTTCAGCTGCGGGATGGTCAACGGAACGATAAGCGTCTCTGCCACTTCCTCATTTCGCTCCCCAAAATACCGCTTTGACAGAAAATCCCATTCGATGACCCCACTGATCCATGCCTCAAGCCCGGAGATATAGAGTAGCAGGTTTGCATTGTTCGCCTTCCCATATGAACGGCCCACGAGCTCCGCTTTGTCGGTCATGAAATGCGCCATGCTAGCCGTATACTCTGCTGCGAGGTAATCGGCTGCAGCCTGAAGCGGGAGCTGCTTTGCATTCATAATCACGGTGAGGATGTTCGCAGCAGAGAGTCCCTTGGCCTGCTCCATGTCATAGGAGTGCGCATCCTGACGAACATACGGAGGAAAGAATTAGTCACGACAGCAGCTGAGATATCAGAGAATAGCTGACGTTTGTCCAGCTGATTAAGTCATCTGCGGTGTCGCACACACGGACAAATACGGGGTCGCGCACGATCTCGTCTGGGAGCTCGAATCCAAAGCAATATTCGTATAGGTCCTATTGAGTTCTGCACGAGCTGATTGCGCGTCGAAAGCGCTTGTACTCTTCCAGACCGAGAACTTCGCCACGCTCGCGTAGCCCAGCCTCCCTCACAACCTCGTTGACATATTGTTCGGTATGTTCGATAAATCGGCGGAATGCATTTGGTCCGAATCGCGCCCGAAGTCGTTCGCCTATGCTGTCGTTTTATATAAGCCTCTAGAGAGAAAGTAAAGACAAACGATACTACAACTCACTCGCATGTCATCTGAGAGATGACTGAGCCGTCGCAAGCTTCACCCGCAAGGCCACCCAGATACGACACCGCTGTGTGCTGTGCCTCGTCGAAAGTTTGCTTATCAGTCATTTCGTCGAACACAAAAATGCAGTTCGTAAGGTCGCAGATGGTGCGCAGCTCCGGGTGCGCTGCGGTGGGATAAGTGTATGCAGCGAGGCGTTCGAAATCAGCAGAGGCGAGGGCCGCGCGCTTGTGTGGTTCAGTGGGGAAGTGGGCGAAACTGTCGATCCACATTGTCGACTCTACGCGCATGAGGTTGTAGAGCGGGTTCAGGAGTAGGGGCAATTTTGATATAGCCTGGAAGTCTGGGAGTCTGAATTGATTTCTATTCGGCGTGGCCATGGCGCTGGATGTGGGTAACTACTCAGTCTGCGGCTGACCCTTCAGAGGAGGGTTGGTGAGATTTATACTCATACCAAACTTTGCTTCCGAGTGGTCCCACATTTCACCCAGTACGGTGTGGTACGGAAGCTTCAATCATATAGCATATGACCTGTGAACGTGGTAACCTCGGCCCTCGGTGACACTGACCTTGATGAACGTGGTTTAAGTTACCAGTCGAGACAGAGCGAGGAACTTCATATTTGTTATCGGATAGAACCCTCAATGGAAGGAAGTAACGAATGCCAAAGTACTGGTCCTGGACGGTACCGTCGGGCCTGAGGCGTGCGTCTCGAGTATGTGGTAGATCTCAGCCATGACAAATGGAGTTCAGGTCAGCTTCAGGTTGGTCCTTGTCAGCGAATCCTGCAAGCCGATTCAGAGCGTTGACTTTCTTCAAAGCCACGCACATGAGATAAGTTATCGAAGCTGGGGCGCGTGGGTACTATGGGTTACACTTACTCGGCAGGACGTGTAACTCGGCAGTTTCCCATGTATAGGGAAGATTCGGGTCGAATGCTCTAAGCTGCGGGAATTTGACCGGAGAATATGCTCGGCTCTGCTGAATTTCCACCTCATATGGGGGGCTTCCGACTTACAGGTCCTGCCAAGTAAGTGGTAACCTATAGTATAATCGCGAGTACGCGGCGGCGAGGGGGAAGGCGACAGCAAACGACTCGAAGTGACGCGGTAACTACGTGACTAGGTAAGTAACGTGGTGGCGCAGGCGATAAAACTATGACTTACTCTGCCGCAATGAATATATCCCAACAGGTACGTCGATGCGTGCTATATGTTCTCTCGGATCATGCGCGGGGAATAATAGTGGTCCGGTCAAAAGACGCTCGGCAAGCATTCTTGCTCTGGTATTGCAGTTCTGGCATACGCAAAAATTGTGAGTTTGTTGCTGGAAATTGGTTAGTGAAATTGACTGCAACGCTTCACAGTTGCATACAGCATCAACCACTAGCATTCGGAGATAAGACCGATTACACACTTGCCTTGTGCTCCTTGGACGTTACCTGTGCTCAACCTTCGCAAATAGTATGACATCTTTAGCATGTGGATCGGGACCGGGAACAAACTGGGGTAAGAATTCATGAATAACATGAATTCCTTCTTCCCATCAGCAAGCTTCGAAAGTTTGTTGAATATGCAGAACACGGACCGCGAGGTTGAACATGTCTTCACGAGTGCGCTTCGCCGTTCGTTGAAGATGGACGAAGCTCACCGTGCCAAGACCATGCCCTGCCAAATTTTAGATTAATACGATGCACCTACGTCTCAGTGGGTTCATGTATTTGAGCGCCGAACTCGTCGCTCCAGCTTAGTGGTCAGATTGCGTTTCGGAGTCAGCGTGCTCTGTCACGTGACCGCGACGCGCATTGGTAGAGTCTGGCGGGTATCCGGCAGACCAGTTCTCTCACCGTCTGGACGACCAGAATAGCGCAGGGTCTAGCTCTCAACATCGCCGATATTAGTGGCAGTAAAGACAGCCAGTCGATTCAGACGCGAAGTAAATGATCATTTGGACATTTCGTCAAGCCCTAAGTTAGGATCTTGCGCATACATGTTGGTACGTCCACCCCAATTGATTGGTAGAGCACATAAGATGCACGGCTAGTATCATGGCGCCAACATAAACGACGCAAAATATTCGCCAATGTCATCGACACGTCCAAAGGGCGCGACCGCGCCGACGTACCCATCGGGCCGTACCACGACGATGGCGCCCCGCGGGTCAATGCCGTAGTATTCGTACCCGCCACCACCGCTCCGCCTGTACATGTCCGCGTCGTCCAGAAGCACCCTGCAAAACAGTTAGATTCTGGTTCCTGTTAGAAGTCACCCACGTGCGATGAAACTCACTTCGACCAATGCGGCCTGAACAGCTCCGGCAGGTCGGTGAAGTTAACCTCCTGTTTCTTTGCAGAGGAGATGGATAGGATATCAAAGACGTTATCCGGCGCGCCGCGCCCGAAACGTCGGAAAAAACCCTCGGGCGCGCCCATCTCTTCTGCCAGGGCATTCACGCGGGCTAGCTGCTGCTCGTCGGCTGTGTTCCCGGCGAACACAAGGATCTTAAAGCGCGTGTCGGACGGAAGGAGATCCTGCAGCTCGAACGGGCGAGCGTCCGCAGCACACACGAACACATGCGGGAGCATGCGCTGGCCGATGATCAGCTTGGTTGCGTAGGACTGGTGTGTTGTGTTCACTATGGCTGACGCGCCATAGTGCACGCCGATCCCGCTCGTGAATAGGCCGAAGGTCTGGAATGCCCTGCAGTTTCAGTGTTAGAGGACGAATGTTCGGTAGGAGAAGGCCTTACTGCAAGAATTGTTCATGCGTCACGCCGTCCTGGTTCTCCTCCGTATGTGGCTTGCCGGAGAACAGCGCAGAGAAGGTCTTGTCAAAGTCGATGAGGTCCCGAGCGTACTTTCGGCGCTCGAATTCGTACTGGGAAGACGTGAGTAAGATCGATGCGTCGCATCAGAGATCAATCACCGTCTTCAGCAGCGGCATACCTGCCCACCCGCGAAGTACATGCGTGATCTTCCACACTATCGACTCGTAGGTAAGACGAGACATATAAACTGTGCTCCATTGTTCGTCATACCTAAATTGTGCGAATCGTTCATGCTCGCGTTCATCCCTTGACCTGAAAACAAGGTAAATCATAAAGGAAACAACGATCCTTCTGTAGGGCACGTACCAGCCTTGGGCGAGTGGGTGTGGCACGCGTCCCCAGCGATGAACACGCGTTCGTGGACAGAATACTGAGAAGCTACCCGCTGTCCAACTTGCCAACGCCACACTTCAGTTTGGCCTCATCCTTTAAAAACGCGACATACTGATATACAGCGTCCACCACTGGACGTCGCCCTTCGTCGCTATTTTGTACGGATAGAACGACTTCTTCGCGGCCTCGAGCAGCTGTGGCGGGCCCATCTTGCTCTTGTCGACGCGGCCCGAGGCATCGACAACCTCCGTGTCCGTGAGCTGGATGTAGAGCCGCACGGTGTCGCCTTCGCGCGGGATGACCATGCACGAGCCGTTGTTAGAGTGGATCGCGCAGCGGTTGCGGATGTCAGGGAAGTCGGTATCGGGAATCATGTCAACGACGCCCCAGATGTAGTCTGCATGGGAAATCTCTCAGGATGCAGTGCGCTCTGAGATGCGGTATACGTACCGGTCTGTTCGCCGTCCATGAGAATCCCAAGCGTCTTCCGGACCCACGAGTGTGCTCCTGTGAGAGGTGTTCCATTGATGAGAAAGGTTTTAATTTGAAGAACGACGATCAAGTACCATCCGCTCCGAGAACGAACTTGGCGTGTACGATCTCCGTGTCGTTCTGACCTTCTGCCGGGTTCAGATACTTTAACACCACCTGAAAGACACGTTATCACTCTATAGAAGGAACGAACAAAACAAGGACGTACCTTCACAGGGTGGGAATGAGGGTCTTTCAGCTCTGCCTCGTTCGCCGATACTTCGAGCGCGATGGGTATGATTGGTCGCTCAACTTCAAGGCCTAATAATCGCATAGAGTCCAGTATGATGGCTTCGATGCCCCCTTGATGCAAGGTGATCTATATGTTCACTGTATTGATTGAGTCGGTTTCGTAGCATTCAATGTGCGCACTTCGAAAGGATAGCGGGCAGTTGGAGCAGATACATCTGCTGTACGACCAGTCCGCTGATGCAACTTAAGTAAACATGTGATTTTCCGAATCATCGAGTCATTACCTCAATTCCGCCATTGGGACTCGGATTGTAAAAGGCCTGCAATGGTGAGAAATGAGGCTTGGTTCGAGCGAGGATGAATTAAGACTGACCGCCATGTGCATCTGATTTCCTTCGCGAATGAGACGTTCAGCGAGGCCATAACTCTGTCGAACGAGTCAATATCACAAGGGTCCTAGCTAGCGCTACCGCTACCTGGAATACTTCGATAGTGCGAGGCTGAATGCCGTCCGCTTGTCCAGCAGCAACCTTGGCAGGTCTGGTGCAGAGAAATGAATGTCATAAATGCAGATCACGCATGCTGGTGCACACCTCTGATCGACAATGCGTACGTTTACGCCGGCCCTGGCAAGGCCTTGAGCACACATAAGTCCGGCTGGACCAGCGCCTATGACCAGAACATCGACTTCGGTTTCGTTGATGAGAGCAGTAGGCATGTTGGGGAGAGGTGACTGGCAAATGCGGATCCAAGTCCCGTTTTATATCTGGGGGACCCGCTGCTAGCGTTCGGACCATCCGAGGGGTGGGTGCCGGATTGTCTACGTGAGAGGGTCATGCAGGCAAATTAGAGAGGGGTCATGGGTCTCGCATAACCAAGAATGGGAAATTCATGTTGGTGGGCTGTGATACTTACACCCTTTTGCAGAAGTTTGCGAGACTTCTCCACCGGCCTTTGTGAATAATATTGATGGTAGAAGAGAGCCTCGGAACCGATGCGACGATAACAGCGACGAGGCCCCTCGCCTCCAGGAACTTGACGCCGCAACCACTAACTTCAACCATCCACAGAATCAGTCAGATGTTAGAAATTTCTGCAAACAGCGCTGAGTAACGCATGTATATGATGGGCTCAGGCAAATCCGCCTCAGGCTGCGCGTTGCCAAGGCGGGATTACGTAAGCTGCTGAGGGTATAACGTTCGTCGCTGCAGAGAACGACGACAAGGACTCGATACTCGACTGCGCCGCCCTATGCTCATCCCGTAGCACACGCTATCCAACCATTTATCTTTATTCGTCTCTCTCGCATTCTCTACCAGCTCAGGATACGGGCTAATGCCTGGTGTGACTGTGTTATCACCTTCCTCAGCTCTCGGACTCCGTCTGCCCTTGAAATTTGCACGTAAGTTCCGCCACGACCACCATATCTTCCTCTCATTCATGCTGCGCAATCCAGCAGCTATGCAAAATGGACTGAGCACCCACCATGACACCGTTGCGCAGATCAAGGAGGCTGCAAAGGAACAAGCTCAGAAAGTCCGCGGTGCATCTGCCATCTCCCTTCTCAAGTCTGCACGCGGTCAGATCCAGCTCGCACAAGCACTCGAGCGCGATGGCAACCTCAAGGGCGCTCTCAGTGCCCTTACCAAGTCTGCCGCGTTGGCACAGATGTTCATGGACTCCGCCGAGTTCAAGCAGGAAGCGCAGCCGGGCAAGATGGGTGTCCTCGTCAAGGACTTCCTCGACTTTCAGAACGTAAGCACGCCTTGACGTATGCTCGCCAGTCGCTGAATTTAGCAGCATGAGGGCCAAGATCTCACAGGCAAGATCCAGGCTGTAGAGACCAAGTTGCTAGATGGGGAGCGGTCGTCTTCACAGTGTGTGCTCTATTCCCTTCTCATCCGCATGGCCTCACGTGGCGGCAGAGTCGATGATGCTGAAAGCGACGTGGAACCCGCGCAGCGCACTGGCGGCAGCATTGCAGACCGCATGCGCGCGCTCCAGACCGCCGGACTGTCCGTCTCCTCGACCAAGCGGCTGTCCCGCGAGCTCTCCCCCGCGCCGTCGCCTCTGTCGCCGGACATGGCGCGGCCGAACCGAGCCTCTCTGCAGAGCCTGTCCTCGCAGCTGGCGAGCTTGCCAAGCCTGACGACGTCCAGTCTGTCTCCCGTCGCAGCAAGTTCGTCGGCGGCGTCGGCGGCGTCGCCGCACGCGCTCGTCCCAACCTCCAGTCTGGGCCCACCGTCTCCTCCCTCGTCGACATCGTCTTCCCCACGCCTGTCGCATTTCAATTTGGCCGAGTTCGCATCCCAGTTCCCGTCTATCGACGAGCTCGACGAGATGGACGGGCTGAAGCTACCGTCTGTGCCCACAGGCACGGGCAGCGCGAGCTCGCGCGCCTCCAGCAAGCACTCGGACCCGGATTTGCGCGGGGAGCGCTCACTGTTCTCGCCCCCGAGGGCGTTCCCGCTCCTCCCCATGGACCCCGGCCCCCGCCCGTCGAGCACGCCCATCCCTCCCACGATAGACACGTTCATCAGCCGCCCCGCATCGCCCGCGCCCTCGTGGTCACCCCGCTCCCCGCCGTCGGTCCCCCGCAAACCGTCTGGACTCGCGCTCGGCGGCCGCTCGCCCGTCATGGGCCCGACGACACCTCCGACCGCGGAAAGATCCGAGACACCGATCTCGACGCTGTTCCCCAAGACGCTCTTGGAGCTCAACGCCAAGCCGAATTACAAGGTGCTCGTATTGGATGTGCGAACCCGCGCGGAGTTCGAGCAGGAGCACGTCAAGGTCGACGCGGTGGTGTGCATAGAGCCGTCGGTGCTCTTGCGGGACGGGTAGCTATCTCCACTCGATTTCTTCGTGACCGGCTTACTGACGGATCTGCAGGATCACTGCCAAGGGTATCGAAGATTCGCTCACTGTCGCGCCCCGGCACGAGTGGGCGCTGTTCAGCAACCGTGACAAGTTCGATTTTGTCGCGGTGTACGACGACAAATCGGAGACGTTTGGCCCGCCGAGTTCCCCGTTGTCGATATTCGTCCGGGCGATTTACGAGGTGGCGTTCTCAAAGTACCTGAAACATCCGCCGATGCTGCTCGTCGGGGGTTTGCATGCGTGGAAGCGAGAATTTGGGGACAGAGAACTAATTCAGGGCGCCTCGGGATCGTCATCGGTCGCGCGGAGTGTCTCAGGCATGCCGAACGGGCTGGCATCTCCCAGCGCAAATGGAGTAATTGCTCCCGTACCTTCTTTAGCTGAGAGTTTGCCTCCCACCCTTAGCCATACGCGATTACCAGCGGAGTCCACGAGTACTACGGTTTCTGCGACCGCTAACCATGATATGGACAGCGTCTCGTTCGGACGACATAGATCAGGGACAGAGCCAGCACCGTCGTACGAGCAACACTCTCGCAGGCTATGGGTACGGAGTAGGCGGGATGGTCATCTCGCTGGAGTGGCACGACGATCGCCCGCGGCTGATATACCAGAGTGAGCAGTACGTGAGGTTGATGCGCGGATGGACATGCTGCTCGGTGTGAGATCGGTCGGCCGTTAAAGTACACGAGCGGCGTGGCGGTTTACTGGCGCGTCATCCAGAGTGCGCAAAGTGCTCAGTAGAGTCTGTTGACACGAAGCCACTCAGCCAGGTGAGTTCTGAATCAATGTCTTGTGAGCACTATGCACACTCGGAACAGCCATCGTGCGCTTCTGCGCACAGCGGTCCTCGGGCTCGGGACGCCCCTTGCAACGCTCACAACGCTGCACCAGATCCCCCTCTCAATGTCACCGTGCGCATTCGGTCTCGCGTCACCGCTATCGAATGCCAGTGGATGACAAGATGTGTGTCACTGACCATTGCTGCTCACGATCGCGCGGTGCAAAGACGGAGCCTGAAGCTGGATGGTAGCACGGGCTGCGTCGAGCACTTATATCTCTCACGCAGGCAGTAGTCACTCGAGCTCAAATATGCCTCCGCAGCCGATCGTCGACATCAGCGTTCGCACTTGAACCTTTGGACGATGCGGCAAGCTTCGGCAGCAACCTCAGCACTGTCTCCGACACTCTGGTCGATCACCGGGCTGTTGACACTGTGATGCTCAAGTGCTAACGTGCGGACGGACTTGGAGGCATCTACGCCTGCGTTCGCTAGGCAATTTGAGGTCTCTGGTGTGCGCTCAGGGCGAAGGGACACCCCATTGTACATACCTAGTATATATGAATATATCTCATAATGCCCGTGCATGTGCGTCAGCGAGGGACTGCTGTGCTGCAATGATTGACGTACATGAGTCAGTGGTTACCGACGCAGAAGTCATGTTCGCAGCTCCATGAGTAGACTTGTGCATAGTGCAGACGTCTGTGAGCTAGGCCTGTGCACCCGGAAAGGAGTTGCGCTGTGTAGCGACATGTGCTTGGCACATAATGGCCAGAGTGCACAGGCGTGGCAATGGGGTAGGCGACAGCACTTTGAGATATATTCTAGTTCCCGTGAAATCATTCGACGTCAGCATGCGTACAGATCGAAAACCGAAGCAACTCACCGAACAATAAATCTACATAGATTGTCTATTGAACTACACGAGAAATTCAGTACCACGCTCACACCGAATGACGGCGGGGACCGTACCTAGTACGTACGCGCACGCCAGAGCCAGTCGACCTGTCGAAGCAAACCCCGCAAACGCCGACAGGGTCAGTCAAGCAACGCGGATGCATCCACAAGAGGCACGTTCGCGTTTTCGACGTGATCAACTGCGACGCACCTCAGTACCTGCCGAGACGGATCGGCGCGGACATTGTACTACGAGACTGCGAGGCCAGAGTGTCAGTATTGTGCCCGTCTGCCAACGGGCATGCTGGCCGCCATCAAGATGTCCGGGGAAAGTAAATGTTGAGCACAATGGGCGGTCGAGACTGTTCGTGACTAACCTGAGATAGCTGCTCGCTGTGGGGACTGAACCTTGGCCGTCGGGCATTCAGTGTGCTGCGTCGAGCGCCGGAGGTCGAGCATCGAGGGGGCACATAGGGGATGCAGGTCGCGACGTGGATAACAGGCAGTGTGAGAGAAGGGGAGGAGTGGAAGCCTGAGAGGGGAGGAATGGAGGAGAGAAGTGGGGAGGGGGATGAAGTGTCAGGCAGATTCTTCCCAGTATTTGTACTCTCATCCTGGTCCGTGCGCACTCTCTTCCCCGGAAATCCCTCTGGCCCGCCGTGTTTCCACATCATAAATTTGCCTGACAACGCGCCGCCGTAAACCCGTTCCAGCCGAGAAGCAGGGCAACTCACCGAACACCACGCACACCGGAAGCCCATCCCCGTCCCATCTGCAGGAATCTTCCTCGAAACACGTCAGAAATAATCTTCTGCTCTTGCGCTTGCACTGCCGAGCAACCCGTGACATGGGAAACCACCGCGCGGTGCCTCTTCTGGCCGAGATGTTTCGCTCTTTTTGTATTTGCTTCTTCATTCGCTCTGGCCTCGGATTTCGAGCACGACAGGAAGAGGAACGCATTGAGAACGGTTCCAGATGGTGATAGTAACGGTGGGTGTCAGGTGGAAGAGGATATGGAGGCAGGACCGCCGGGGGTAGAATTGTGAATGCCGTCCTAGCACAACTCGAGTGGTGACGAGTCATTCAGACGACGCAGAGCGTCCGATAACCTCGTGTCTCTTCTTCTTCGCCTAGACTCATTCGCCGTCCCAGCTGTTCGCCTCAAAATTTGATCCTAGTGCCGTCAAATCGTCCCTTGCGGTCACCCTGAAAACGTCAGAGCGGGTAAACCGTTCGATTTGTTAGTCCGTGCAAGAACACAAATGCACTTCTACGCCGGCATATAAATGAGATGGCACGCAAAAAATACTTGATTGTTATTCGCGGAGCTTATAGGTACATGAGTTGCACTCGATGCCGTGTCACGAGTATCTGAGCATCTCCTGCAAGCCTGAAAACAAAGACGGTCAGAGCTATATTCTCTGTGCATTATTGTGCCAGACTCAGTGGAATATTCTATCGGTGACTCACCAAAATTGAGACACGGGTGATGCGAATCCGTGTCAAATATCCCGCTAGAACTCAAGCCCAAGCGCGCGCCGATCGTGCAGGGCAACGCCGTCATTCCCGCTGGAAACCGTGCCGCATCGCACACAATTCAATACATCCACAATCACCATACTCACCCGTCCTTCGTTTCGAGTCCTCTCTCGGTGCTGACTGCCTGTCTGCTCAGCACCAGCACCACGCAGCATCCACGATGCGCAGACAGTGTGCAGTGCCTCCCGATGGATACGATTCTCCTCTCGGAAAAAAGAGAGGAGAGCTACGTCGTCTAATTGCAGAAGGACTACGTGAGTGATTCTCGAACTTGAATCCTTTCGCTCGAACCTACCGTCTCACAGAGGCTACTATTCCAGGCAGAGTAACCGGTGTCCCTCACGCTGAGATGTTCTGGACCGCCAGGGAGTTCTACCGTTTTGTTGCTGTCAGGCACAGCGTGCTGCTCGACGGCTGGCCGGACGACGTCCTCTTCGCAAACCTCAGCACCGTCCGTGGTGGGATACGCACCTTGGACAGGCTTCTTGACCTCTGGAATGAGGGAACCCTCTGCTTCCGTCGTATCTCAGATTCGGAGGTCCTCGCACTCAATGAGGCAAGCGCTGCACCCGGACGATATGTCGAGCGGCCACGTCGCACTGCAGGACGGCCAGACATCAAAAAACATCGCCGTAGGCCCATCACGAATCCGCTCGGACTTCCGAGGGCGAAGGAGAAGCGAGGTCCCAAAAGCCCAGAGTTTGTCGTCGATTCTGACGACGAGCCTGGCGTGACGGTGGAGACTCAGCCAGTACAGGAGGAAAGGGTGAGAAAGCGAAGGAAGAGGAAGCTGCGGGAGCCGAAGAGCAAAGAATTCATAGAGTCAGACATGGACACTTGATGTAGACTCAGCCTTCGCCGTTAGTGCTTGAGGTAGACTTCGAATAACAGCTGTCGATCGACTTCTCTGCGCGTTCTCGGGCGGGTCATAGGCACATCAAACTAGTATTCCTCACCCAGCAACAGTGTGAGTTGCTATCCGTCCATGTCAATGCTTCAAGCTTCAGGGAGGAACACCTTGCGTACAGTTGCCAGTGAGACCGTCGAGAAAGAGATGTCGAGTTCAGTACGAACTTACCTTTCCAAACTAGGAAAATTGTGGCTGAACGGTGTACTTGCGCGCATTCACCATTTTCATGGTGTTCCACCTCGACCTCAAGCTTCTCCAGTGCCATCGCCCAACCTCAAGACATCCGGGACAAGACCGTACACTCTCATGAACCTGACTCACTTCAAGCACTGTGTGACTTATGTGATCTGAGTGTAGGCCTTGCCACTCAGTGAGATATCACTGTATTGTACGTTCCGCAACTCAAGTCTCAACTGTTTGGTGTCCTCACAATGACGCAACTGCTCAATATCTGCATGAGATCTCTGCAATGCAAAGTTGCCGGCCTTAGCTCATATTGGAAACCATTGAAATTTGAGATGGCTGATGCTGACCTATTTTTGATACTTACTTGATCATCAATCAAATGATGAACATCAAGACCCATGGAAAATAGACCGCAAGGACCGGTAGATGCTGTCTACCGATCTTCGCAGTCTATTTTCCAGGGACCTTGAAGTTTGAAGGACAGTGGTTGTAGTATACAGAACAAACCACATAAAACATATTGTACAAAGGACTCACCGGAAAACATACCCTAGAAACAAGCCATGTCTCACCGCGAAGCAAGTCTGTGACCCTGAGATCACAGATTGATATCTAAGGGTCGGTCAGATCAGAATGTGGTTGCTATGAAGTTTACTTGCAATGAGCCGAGCATGACAAAAACCACATCACCTGATCCCGCTGATTGGATGAGGATGATTTTACCTATACCTTGGCCTCACAGTTGGTTCTTTTCTCACATCTACTTGATGCCTTCACCGTCTTGCCACTACCATCTTGCCAGACATCTTTCCACTTCACCATGCTGGTAAATTCAACATGTCAGACTATATCATCCCCAGCTTCCCTTTCCACCACAAGGTATGCCTGTCAAAGTAGATGTACAGTGTTCTCGAGCTAATTTTGTCAAACTTCGGGCCACGGTGCTTCGGTGAATGAGACAATGTCCCCACCTTAGACTTCCCTTTTGTCCGCATGTAGTCATGGCCTCAGTGGTGTGAAGCGTCAACTGCCATGCTTCTCTTGTGTATATGGTAAGTTGCATGGCATTTGCGGTGAGTATCGCGCTCTTACATTGAGTCCTAGGCAGGCATCTTGCCGAGAGGTTTGATGTCGAAGCTGCATCTTCCAATCCTCAAACCAGCATCCTCCGAGCGCAATCACACAGTACCCTGCAAGCATACCCAGTCTGCCCAATTTCAACTGCGGATTTCAACAGCCCTGCAGTTCCACCACACGAACAACCATGCAAATTGGTACGTGGAGGGACTCGGCACATAGCTCTTCGCACAGATAGCCTTTAGAGCGGTGCATAGGTACATCACATAGGTGATTTTGGGCAGGCCACGGGGACTTGCATGCCATGGGCGTATTCGGTGTCACTGCCGTTATGGCGGCATTCGATACTTTACAGACAATGGAGGTACCTCCTTTTGTTCATCCGACTGTGGAGCTTAATATGTCAATTCCCTGCGAGTGGTGTGCAGCGCTCACGGTGCTGCTGTCCTTATCAACATTCACACCTTCATGCCCTGTCTTTGCATCTCATCTCGCCACCAGTGGCATTCCCTCGTGATGTCTCAGCATCCTGCGAGGTCCATGGTATTCTCCTCGGCAGCCTATCATCTAACAAGCCAACACAAGGATGCTGAGTGGAGTGGATCTGCGAGGAAGAACTTGGCCAGTTCTCGATGGCTTCGAGGGTTCGGTGAAGGTACGAAGGGTTGCACAGATGCATTTAGGATCAATGCCGTCTCAGCTCTCGGTCCTTCGCAAAGAATTGCATGTACCTCCCCAGCCATCCCCTTCGTCGATACTATGATTCCATGCCCGGCGAGGTGTCTACGAGCGGTGTCCGCCGTCGTGCTGTCGTCCACGACGATGCTCGTCTCCTGTCGTCGCATCTCGACTCGCCGCTGCCTGTGTCCTATCACAGTAATTTCAGTGATCGAAGACGCCACGGACGTCACGTTCAACGTTCTTCACCCACTGTCGAATATACCGACACGAATTTCTAGTCCCGCGTGAACGGCGTGCGCGGTCATTCTGCACGGAGGGAGTTGGCTAGTTGTCCGTGATTGGAACGGTTCAGTGAAGGCGAGGGGCCCTGCACGGAGGGCGGTCGGCATCAGCGCCGCCGTAGGCGGCCCTCGACGCATCGCAGAGAATTTTACGTCCGCAGTCTTCCCCTCGCTCGCACCGACACCATATTTCGACGTCCGGCGAGCGGTGTGCAAGCGTTGTCCGCGCTACACGCCGTCATGGTTTCGTCCGTGCTACTTGCGTCCCGTCCTCGCATTTGGCGTTGCCGCCACTACACGTTCTTTCTGGGTATTTCGCCGTCCTGCAAGCGTGACCGTGCATGCTGTGCGGCGTTCTTCCCTGGCAGTCGGACGGTCCGACACGATTTTTTGACGCGCGATGAACGGCGTGAGCAGTCGATGTGCGTGGCCGATCATCGATGGGTGGGGCAGCCCAAAAGCAGAAGGATCTGCATGGCGGGCATTAACTATCACCGCCACCGTATACACCTCGCGGCCTTTGAAAGAAACGACACGTACGTCCTCCGCAGCCTTCTCCTCGCGCGTGTGGCTCAACGACACCATGTTTCGACAGCGGGGGAGCGGCGTGCAAACGCTGTCAGTGCTGCACGCCGTGGTGCTTTCCTCAGTGCTGATGCTCGCGCCTCGCCACCGACGGCGTTTATTCTCGATACTTCTGCGTCCCACGAGGGAGGCGGTCTTCCCCTTGGTAGACTGTTGCGCGAGGTTCCTTGCCAGTAGTCGGACGATCCGACACAATTTTTGGGCGCTCCACGGTCGGCGTGCGTTGCCCGTTCGCGCGGAGGGGGCCTTGGCGGTGGGATACTCGCAGTACGAGGATCTGCAGGAAACGAGGTCAGTGCGAGTGTCGATGGTTTGCAGATGGCGGCACTTACCTAGACACTCCTGCCCTAGCCCGAGGACATCCTGAGGCCCTGTTTGGGTGTCCCGCGAGCGAGGCTTCGTGTCCTCGGCTGCCCGACTTTTCGACGCGATTTTTCGAGCCCCCGCGACCGCCGTTTGAGGATAGGTATGTTCGTGGATGCCGACCGAGCAAGTGTCAGCCCTCGTCCGTCGAACGGCGTGCAGGGTCGGTCTGCGATGGGGGCCTTAGCTGGACAGGACAAGGTCAGCTTCACGGTCTGTATGCCATTTTCGACGCTCCGACAATGGTACTTACCTGGAGGCGGCTCCCAGGCCCTGTGCGATATTTCAACACCATATTTCGGCGTCCCGCGAGCGGTGTTATTTGCGCCCGAGTGTATATTTGCACCCCTCGCTGTGTGCTGTCCACCTGCTGCTGTCCTCCCCGCCTGCACACTCCGACACCGTATTTCGAGCCCCCGCGAGCGGCCCGCAGCAGGCATTCATGCTGGTGTCGGCCGTCAGTTTTCCCCGTGAGTTGCTGGCTGCGTTAGTCGTGCACTGCGACCCCATTCTTCGAGCGGACTGTACTTACTTGGGACACGATTCTGCGGCCTCGCGCGAAATGATGACACTATATTTGGGCGTCCCGCGAGCGGTGTGACTTGCATCGGAGCGGGTGTTCGTGCCCCTCGCTGTGTGTTGTCCCGCGGTGCTGTGCTCCACGCCTGCGTATTCGGACACCGTATTTCGAGTCCCCGTGAGCGGCCCGCAGCTGGCGTTCGTGCTGAGGAGTCAGCCCATGTCGTCGGCCTTCGGTTTTCTTGTTCGCTTTCCGGCTTCTTCCCCGTCTCTTGTTAGGCATTCAGACCCCATTTTTCGAGCTCCCGCGAGCGGTATCCGAGCGCAGAGGGTACCGCCTCTCCGCAGGAGGGTCTGAGCTGGATAAGACAATAAGACAATGTTAGCATCGCGGTCTGCACGTTATTCTGGAGGTCCGACGACGATACTCACCTAGACACGGTTCCCAACCTCGCGCGACATTCCGACACGATAATTCGGCGTCCCGCGAGCGGTGTGGGCGCGAGCTCTCTGCGCCTGCAAGACTCGGACAGCATATTTCGAGCTCCCGCGAGCGGCTCGCAGCTTGTGTACTTGGTGAAGAGTCTGCGCGCATCGTAGGTTCTTGGTTTTTACCTTTGCATTCCTGCTGCTTCCCTGCTGTTGCCAGGCACTCCGAGCCCATTTTTCGAGCTCCCGCGACCGATATCCGAGTGCTGAGGGTACGCGCTTTTCCGCGGACAGGATATTTCGATGTGGCGCGGACTCTGTGCCTTTCATCCGAGCAGCACTCCTGTGGGCCGATCTCCCGTTGATCTGTCTGCCGTCTCTTTGGCTGTCAAGCATGTTCGACGCGGTATTTTGACGTCCCGCGAGCGCGATCCCCCGATTCGAGCGAGTATTCGCGCGCGTCCTCTTCTCGGCTGATGGGTGAGTTTTCGTTGTCGTCTGGAGCCGCTGTCTTGAACGTTCTCGGGCAGTGTACGAGCGCTGTCGTCGTGCGGTGCTAGAGGTGCCGGTGAGGAGTGTGCGCGCATCGTTGGCTTTCAATTTTCGTCTTCACATTCCGGCTGCGTCTGCGGCTCTTGTCAGGAACTCGAACGCCATTTTCTGCGCTCTGGCGGGGGCGCTGAGTGAGGAGGAGGACGGAGGGTGTAGATACGGGAAGCTGTAGAGTAGCACGCGTGAGCGAGAGACGCCGGTGGAGGGAAGGGACTCGCCTGGATGCGCCTTCTGTGCCCGTAACACACCCTTTCTCAAGGAATCTCAACGGGCCAGTCTTTGCGTGCACAGGCTGAGCGTCCGATGTGCGCCCGCGAGAGGGAGGCCATCGATCGAGGCCTTGCTGTCACCGATGACGAACGCCGCCACCACTGCCTGCAACCGTGCACAGAATCGGTCAGATGTTACAAGTCTCTGCAAACAGCGCCGAGTAACGCATGCATGTATATGATGGGCTCAGGCAAATCCGCCTCAGGCTGCGCGTTGCCAAGGCGGGATTACGTAAGCTGCTGAGGGTATAACGTTCGTCGCTGCAGAGAACGGCGACAAGGACTCGATACTCGACTGCGCCGCCCTATGCTCATCCCGTAGCACACGCTACCCAACCATTTATCTTTATTCGTCTCTCTCGCATTCTCTACCAGCTCAGGATACGGGCTAATGCCTGGTGTGACTGTGTTATCACCTTCCTCAGCTCTCGGACTCCGTCTGCCCTCGAAATTTGCACGTAAGTTCCGCCACGACCACCATATCTTCCTCTCATTCATGCTGCGCAACCCAGCAGCTATGCAAAATGGACTGAGCACCCACCACGACACCGTTGCGCAGATCAAGGAGGCTGCAAAGGAACAAGCCCAGAAAGTCCGCGGTGCATCTGCCATCTCCCTTCTCAAGTCTGCACGCGGTCAGATCCAGCTCGCACAAGCACTCGAGCGCGATGGCAACCTCAAGGGCGCTCTCAGTGCCCTTACCAAGTCTGCCGCGTTGGCACAGATGTTCATGGACTCCGCCGAGTTCAAGCAGGAAGCGCAGCCGGGCAAGATGGGTGTCCTCGTCAAGGACTTCCTCGACTTTCAGAACGTAAGCACGCCTTGACGTATGCTCGCCAGTCGCTGAATTTAGCAGCATGAGGGCCAAGATCTCACAGGCAAGATCCAGGCTGTAGAGACCAAGTTGCTAGATGGGGAGCGGTCGTCTTCACAGTGTGTGCTCTATTCCCTTCTCATCCGCATGGCCTCACGTGGCGGCAGAGTCGATGATGCTGAAAGCGACGTGGAACCCGCGCAGCGCACTGGCGGCAGCATTGCAGACCGCATGCGCGCGCTCCAGACCGCCGGACTGTCCGTCTCCTCGACCAAGCGGCTGTCCCGCGAGCTCTCCCCCGCGCCGTCGCCTCTGTCGCCGGACATGGCGCGGCCGAACCGAGCCTCTCTGCAGAGCCTGTCCTCGCAGCTGGCGAGCTTGCCAAGCCTGACGACGTCCAGTCTGTCTCCCGTCGCAGCAAGTTCGTCGGCGGCGTCGGCGGCGTCGCCGCACGCGCTCGTCCCAACCTCCAGTCTGGGCCCACCGTCTCCTCCCTCGTCGACATCGTCTTCCCCACGCCTGTCGCATTTCAATTTGGCCGAGTTCGCATCCCAGTTCCCGTCTATCGACGAGCTCGACGAGATGGACGGGCTGAAGCTACCGTCTGTGCCCACAGGCACGGGCAGCGCGAGCTCGCGCTCCTCCAGCAAGCACTCGGACCCGGATTTGCGCGGGGAGCGCTCACTGTTCTCGCCCCCGAGGGCGTTCCCGCTCCTCCCCATGGACCCCGGCCCCCGCCCGTCGAGCACGCCCATCCCTCCCACGATAGACACGTTCATCAGCCGCCCCGCATCGCCCGCGCCCTCGTGGTCACCCCGCTCCCCGCCGTCGGTCCCCCGCAAACCGTCTGGACTCGCGCTCGGCGGCCGCTCGCCCGTCATGGGCCCGACGACACCTCCGACCGCGGAAAGATCCGAGACACCGATCTCGACGCTGTTCCCCAAGACGCTCTTGGAGCTCAACGCCAAGCCGAATTACAAGGTGCTCGTATTGGATGTGCGAACCCGCGCGGAGTTCGAGCAGGAGCACGTCAAGGTCGACGCGGTGGTGTGCATAGAGCCGTCGGTGCTCTTGCGGGACGGGTAGCTATCCCCACTCGATTTCTTCGTGACCGGCTTACTGACGGATCTGCAGGATCACTGCCAAGGGTATCGAAGATTCGCTCACTGTCGCGCCCCGGCACGAGTGGGCGCTGTTCAGCAACCGTGACAAGTTCGATTTTGTCGCGGTGTACGACGACAAATCGGAGACGTTTGGCCCGCCGAGTTCCCCGTTGTCGATATTCGTCCGGGCGATTTACGAGGTGGCGTTCTCAAAGTACCTGAAACATCCGCCGATGCTGCTCGTCGGGGGTTTGCATGCGTGGAAGCGAGAATTTGGGGACAGAGAACTAATTCAGGGCGCCTCGGGATCGTCATCGGTCGCGCGGAGTGTCTCAGGCATGCCGAACGGGCTGGCATCTCCCAGCGCAAATGGAGTAATTGCTCCCGTACCTTCTTTAGCTGAGAGTTTGCCTCCCACCCTTAGCCATACGCGATTACCAGCGGAGTCCACGAGTACTACGATTTCTGCCACCGCTAACCATGATATGGACAGCGTCTCGTTCGGACGACATAGATCAGGGACAGAGCCATCACCATCGTATGAGCGATACCCTCACAGGCCATGGATACCAAGTCATCCGAATGGCCGCCCCGCTGACCAGGACATGGTGCCGCTTTCGCCCACCACAGATTCTGCGAGACGCTTGGTGCGCAAACCCGCGATGTCGCGCCCGTCGTCGAGTTCGATCTCCTTCCCGCATACGCCGTCGATACCTGAAAACGTCAGTTGTGTGTCGCACTTACTCCCAGTGGCGATGCTGACCTCTCTGCAGACTACTACGCCGTATACGTCCCCGCTCCTCAATGGGTCTTCACCCATCACATACCCGCAGTTTGCACGCCATATATCCCCCCAAATATCTGGATCGTCTTTCTCTTCTTCTACCGGACTGAATGGATTAGTGTCTATGCCGCCACAGGCATCTATTAACCCGTCGCCACTCTCGCGGCGGAGAAGCGATTATATTGATCAGTCGCAAGAGGCGCTCTCGGGGCTGACGAAGCGCCCCTCGATTGACTACCCTGATTTATCGGGGCACAACATTCTGCGTCCACCGCCCGCGGCGGCGTCTTCCTCGCTCGAGCGGCACGACAACCGGCCGCGCCTCATACAGCAGCCGTACACGATACCACACAAGGGGCCCAAGCCACCGACGATACAGTCTGACTACCCCGTGACGTACTGGGCGGACATCCAGATCGGCACGTCGGGCCTCAAGAACCTGGGAAACACGTGCTATATGAACTCGACGATCCAGTGCTTGAGCGCGACGGTGCCGTTCGCGCGGTTCTTCACGGGTGCGTATGTTCGTTGTCTGTCTAACCCGGTGGCGTCGTCCGCGTCATCGTCCTGATTTTTGTCGTTAGATGGCAGATGGAAGAGTGCGGTCAACATGATGAACCCGCTCGGGACGAAGGGTAACCTCGCACAAGCCTTCGCCAATATTTTGCGCGATATGTGGCAAGGGGAGATGCAGTGGTTATCGCCGGTGACGTTCCGAGTATGATTTTTGTTTCTTTGTTTCTCGGGCGGTACTAACTCTTCATTCAGCGGTCGATATGTATGTACGCGTCGCAGTTTGGGGGCACGGAGCAGCATGACTCGCAGGAGTTCCTTAGCTTCCTGCTTGACGGACTACACGAGGACCTCAACCGCGTGCTGAAGAAGCCACACATCGACTCGACCCCGGAACGGGAGGCGGAGCTAGAGAAGATGCCGACGCAGGTCGCGTCGGAGCAGGAGTGGCAGATCTACCGCATGCGCAACGATAGCCTCATTGTGGACTTCTTCCAGGGCCAGTTTCGTAACCGGATGGAGTGCTTGACATGCCATAAGGTACGAATCTCGTTTCTTTCATGAGTTCTTGTCATGAACGCGTTCCAGACGTCGACAACATATAATGCTTTCATGTATCTCACGTTACCCATACCCTCCGGACGGATCACCAGGGTGACTTTACATCAGTGCCTAGAAGCATTTGTGAAGGAAGAGGTCATGGAGAAGTCAGAAGCTTGGTAAGTATATATCCTTCATTGTGTCCCATGTCTACGGGCTGATGTCGCATATTCTTATCTTAGGCATTGTCCCCACTGCAAGGAACTGCGCAAGGCGACGAAGCGGCTGTCTCTGTCAAGACTGCCACCGGTTCTCCTCATCCATCTCAAGCGCTTTTCGGTCAAAGGACCCTTCACTGACAAGATCGAGACATTCGTAGACTTTCCTCTCAGAGGCTTAGATCTTACAAACTACATGCCAGCGCCTCTACCGCCCGGTGTGAGCGGAGGCTCGCAAGTGCCGCGCGACGATCCTCGTTCGCAGTTGCCGCCATATCGGTACGATCTGTACGGCGTGACCAACCATTTCGGGACCTTGAGCAGTGGACATTGTAAGTTATGTTGTGGTCGGTTCTTGAGGGTTGGTTCCTGATCCTCGCTCATAGATACTGCCTTCATTGCTTCCCGAGGTGGCTGGTTATACTGCGACGATAGCCGCGTATCACAGAGTGACGCGAAGAACGTCGTCGTGAGTATCCGTTGATCTTCTTCGATCCTACTGGGTCACTCACCCATTGAGTAGGGCAAACCCGCGTATATTTTGTTTTATAAGAGGATCAAAGCGTAACCCACCATTCACTCATTGCATTTGTGTGTTCAGTTATCGGCCCTGCTTTCTCACCTGTATCCCATCTCGCTGCATTGAATAAGACCCTATAACAATAGTACAATGTAATCTTTACAAATTCCGGACCTCATGTGGACGCAGTCCCGTTGGTTACTACTTGGTTTTCTCGCGCTTCTACAAAACACCGATGGCACATCCATGACTTCGCGTCAGGGTGAGCCACGGCCTTACCGTTTGCGGGTGAAACGGGATGGAAAAATGGGGAGAACTCGCTGCGACAACGGTAACACCTAAATTCAGGACCAGATGGAGGAGTGTCAGCATCGGATGAAGGAGTCGATGTCCCGTCCGATCCGCCAAGGATATTGTCGAGTCGGCGGGCCTTCCGCAGAAGACCATGTGTATGTGCGGTCGGCACTTGCTTGTAATTCTGGCAGTATATCTGCAGAGCAGTCTGGGGAAACACGATGAGTCTTGCGAACCAACACAAAATGAACGCGTACCTCTCCGAACTCATTTGTCTCGCATATCTCGTGTAGCTCCCTCCTGTGACCAATGTGTCCCTTGCAGATGATTAATGGCACCATACAACCGGAGTGGTCTTTGAATTCGACGATAGTAGTAGAATCTCTTCGACTGGCTTTCACCTGTGATGCCAGATGAGTTTCTATCCTGACAGCAAGAATTATGGAGGTGACTTACAGGCTGCAACTCGAAACCGAATTTGTGACCATGCCGCCACGCACACGAGACATGGAACTCTGCGGGACATTCGGCACATTTCACAACAGCGCCTCCATCGTGATCGCATAATGTGCATTTCTGCCATCGGAAGTTAGTAATGCAGTACTCACAGATAATTGAGAAAATTCACGTTCGACCATCGATATTGAGGAATGGTGCTAACACCCTCCACAAGACGGAGCCGCCTTGCATCGGAGTACATCACCTCAGGAATGAAGACGGTGCAGACCACATGAACCCAAGTCTGCCCTTCGGTAGGCTTGCACGCCCTTAGGAAAGAATCTGGAGGAGGATATAACAACTTCTTCTTCGGGTCTCTCCGTACTCTAGGGCACAAGATGCAATCGGGGATCTGTGCAAACAAGGTGCAGTGAGAAGCTGGGTCACGCGGAAGAACGAAACTTCTGAGACGGACCAGCGATGCCTCCAGTGTTTTCTCATTTGAACAGAGCTCGCAAATCCACGATTCCACAGTTGATTGATCGACAACGACTCCGCACACGCCTGAGGAACGACAATTAGTCGGCATAATATGTAGGCTTTGACATGGATGCGCACCTGCGTGAACACGGAATTGGCATTGCCGACATCTGAGCACCTTGCCTGCAGGTCCCTGTTTCTGACATGCAAGGCACCGCAACTGCGTAGTAGCGGGCACCGGGCCAGATGGTGGGGGAGTTGATGTTACTGAGGGCGTTGTCTGCAATACAAATAAGTCATCTCGCCCACGTCTTAGACAACTCGGCTGACCTTCGCTCGTTTCGAGGCTGGACCATGTAGCGGTGTCCCCTCACGCTTGTCGCCAGACTTCGCCTTGGCCAATGCTTCCTCGCGCACAGGTCTCACGTTGAGGTCAGCATACTTCCTCCAGCTTATACCACAGTTGTCGCAAAGGATGTTAGTTGGCAGGCCTTTCGGCGCTTTCCACCACACGTCCGATTCGCGAGTGCGGCAAGCACCACAGCTGTTGTTGCCTCTCGTGAGCTCCCTGACGATAGAACCCTCGTCTATAGACAGAGCAGGAGAGGTAAATCGGACAGCATCGTCCCTTCCGCCGGAGCGTGCTGCCCTGATTCGTATGTTCTCCTCCCCAAGCTTCGAGCTATAATTGAAGATCAGCTTCTGAAACACGAAGTAGTCATGGGACACACTTCTTCCAATGGGCGTAGAAACGGACTACTTCAGGCATTGGTCTTGTGCCAACTTGGTCCCGCACTGGGCGCAACTCGGCACCATGTATCAACATAGCGTCTTCAAAGGCAGCAATTTCCAGCACGTTCCAGTCCTTATCTGTATACCTTGTCTCCGATTTCTTCCACTGTTTATAGAAGTCAGTAGACGTACATTAGTCTAACTCAGTCCTCACTTTCTCGAGACGCATCGGTGACTTCATGTTCACGGTAGTAAGGTCGCGCTTCGCCAGCCACGCGTCCGTAAAACGGAAGGTGACTTCGGTCAACCAGTCAACATTCGCTTTCAAGGTCTTATCTTTGGTCAACGTATTCTTGCACAACTCAACTGCAGAAAGTCCGTGAGCAAGTGATGCTTATGCACCGCAAGCACTTACAGGTATCCACTGATAACAAACACAGGTAAACATAGATCAGGTTTTACCTAAAAAGGAAATAGGCACATTACGTACCTTCCGCCGGCGACATGTCTTGCACGAGACCGAGAACTTCAATCGTTGAATCACCACCTCTCTCTTCCAACTCTGACGGCGAGGTCAGGGCGATTTTACGAGGGCATCTAGTAGTCTTACCAGGACTACGCTCGAGGCCAGGTGCGAGAGGGACGCTTGATTGGTATTTCGGCCCCACACGTGTCGCCGTTCGTGGGAAGATAAGATCATCCGGGTCTGTTTCAAATCTGGATCAGCTGGGCCGCCGCACTGATGCTGGACTCTCACCAAGCGTGTCTTCTGCCACCGTGTACAGCCTGTTTGATGCAGCTATCAGCGACGCTCGAACCTTTTCATATCGATAGACTTACCCAAAATACCGGAAGGGCCACATCTTGAAGTGCTTGATCTCCATGTTCTCTTCCTTCTCGGCGAGCGTGCGGTCCTTCCGAGGACGTCCGCGACCTCTCGGCGCTGGGGCATTTGTCTTGGGTTTCGGCGCTATTGGCGTGGGATGGCGGACTTCGTGGCTGTCTACTTCTTCCTCATGTTTCCGTGAACACGGCGCGCAGGTCCACCCATATCCTCGACTGGGCTTAGCTAAAAGAGGAGGATTCACGCATCCCATGTGGAAGAACTTCTTGCATCTGTCGCATTGTACCGTTTCGGGACTGTGGCAGAGGGGTGTTTGATAGGGCTGAGACTGCGTTGAGTGGAGGTGACTTACGGTGAACACCACTGTTCGCACGTGTCACAATGCCGAAGCGTATCAGTAAGGTCTGGCACGACTTCTTTCTCTGCGACAACATATTCGTAGCGAGAGATCAAGACGTCTCTGATGTTAGCCGGAACTGTATAGTCACGTTGAGCGCAGCATATATGAGTCAAGCAAAGCAGACTCACGATTTCTGACGGTCGTCGCTGAGATGACCTCGAACTCCTTCCGAATCCATGGGTCGAACAAACGCTGAAAATAAAACCTGTCGGGGCGTTTTTTCCACCCTGCGAGATCTGTGATTTTGTCTCGGTGGATAACATGACATTTTGCTCTCAGCTGGTTGATATCACAGACTTCGGAATAAATGGCGGCGAGGAGGAGGCGGGAATCTGCCACTGGGCGGTCGCTCACGTCGCTTGGGCGGTAATACCAAGCAACACGAACACGTGTGAAGGGCTCGTTCCTTTTTCCCCCTTTGTCGAAGGTGGGAGTGCCCTGAGCGGGCAGAAATTCCATTATCCGGGCCACCGAGTAAGGGGTCCCATCTCGCACAGCGAAGCTGGGCGAGCAATAAACGTGGTCTCGAGAAAAATCAGCTCTGTGGACCAACAGATAGAGAGCGATGAGTAATATTACCGTTCACTTTTACTTGGTCGCCGTTCCTCAGTGGGAGGTAGAAAGTGGAGGCAGATGGAGGCATGCTTGGCGCTGAGTTGAAACTCAGGTAATCAAGCCGAAACCGCGCCTTTGTGAGAAAGAAAAAGGCACTGCGGGACCTCGGGATTCCGAGGTGGAATTCAGAGAGAGGGGGAAATTTCTAGAGGAGGGAGGAAGAATGGTGGTGGGGGTCGGAAGAGAAGTGGCGTTGCACTGAAAGGTGTCGGTGGCCAGAATTCGCCAGATCTGCTCAGTGAACCACGGAAGATCGAACTCCGACGCTCACTCGCGCGGAACCATTGTCAGCGCCGCTTTTATTCTTGCATCAACACTCCCGAAGACTCGTATTCCAGTGGCTCCATTTCCTGCCTTCAAGAGTCTAGCCCTCTTGCTGCAAAATTCTGGCAGGAACAGACTCTCGCTTATGCGCCTCAGGAGGCTCGAGCGACAGACAGGCTGTAATCTGGAAGCATCTCCATGTTTGGACGCCCGTCGCCGCGGTCTGTCACTCAACGTGCACCGGTGTGAAGTCCTCTGTCCTTTTGCCATCATATACTTCTCAAAATCAGTCAAGATGGCCATTGTGTCATGAACTCAAAAACCCGGAAGTTCCGATTTTTCCAACGAATCTCTGCGGTTTACAATATCACAGCCGACGGAGTCGAGTTGAGGGCTGAGGCGGTGTCGGGGCGAAGCATACGGATCTTCTCGATACTCCTCTGGACTGTATGAGGGAAGAATGAGTGTGGTAGCATAGTCGATGCTGCTATCAAATATCGAGATATCGAACACTTGCAGTGTTGACAACTTTCGCAAGGTTGACAGCCTTCTTCTCCCTCGACCAATTAATTCGCTGCCGTTCATACCACGCTGACCGCAAGGTACCGGACCAATTACGGAGATGGCCGATCTACAACTCATAGGTTACCTTCCTGTAAAGGTCACCACCCTTCCGATTTCGACGATATTCAGCCACCCAGGCTTGGACCAGTCCCGGTCCCAGTCATCTCAATTAGCACACCGGAAGCTACGATCCAATAGATATTGGAGTGTATTTGCAACTGAACTCCTGGACCAATCAGAAGGCAAAGTTAGCCAAATTTTTTCTTTCCTGAAGCCCAGAAAACCGTTCCAAATACACTCTGAGATCTGATGGCCTAAAGACTGTACGTTTCCCTCCTAGTAAAAATGTCAATATTCCTCGCCACGACCCTCCATACAAATAACGCCCGAAAGCAGTATCAAAACAAACAACTCTACCAGATGGAAAATTTGCGAAGAAAAAGGGAAAGAGATGCAGGACAATTATGATATGTGACGGGCCAGTGTGTGTCGCGTGTGTAAGCAGATACAAGATGCAATTATAGATACTGTATGTTGTGGCGATGCGAGTCCGTTCGACAGCGATGCCCTCGAGAATCCAAGAGGAGCCAAAACAAGGAGACAGATAAAAAATACAACACCAGAGCCGCCGGGTGTCGAGAACATACTGGTACTACGAGGACCGGGACACGTCTGGAGTTAGAGGGTCGGGCTGCTCTTCCGCGCTGTAAGACCTGCGCTTCCGTCGCTCGTCGGCGATGACGAGCATACTCTTCAGACTCTTCTCGAGCACGGGCTTTGTGAGGACGCTGCAAGCCGCGCAAAACGTCAGCAATGTGGTACGAAATGAAGATTGACAGAACCTACTGATCAGCGCCGGCTTCCAAGTATTCCCGCTGATCTGTCAAAAGAGCATTACCTGCACACGCCACCGGATTGGTCACGTTCCCCACAATTATTTCCGCCAATATCGCTCACCTGTGACGCCGACGACAAAATCATGCCTGCCCATTTCTCGTAGCTTCGCGACCGCATTGAGCCCCGAAAGCACCGGCATCTGGTTGTCGAGGAAGATGACAGCGAACTGGGCGTCCTCGCCGACCGCCGAGCCCTCGACTGAGAGCGCCGCACTCCCGGTCTCCTCCGAGGACGGCGTTGCGCGCGGCGCGCTGCCCAATATCATCTCGAGCGCCATCTCGCCGTTGTCCGCAGTCACGACCCTGCACCCGATCCGCGTTAGCATGCGCGACATCAGCTTGCGCGTCAATGGGTCGTCGTCCACCACCAGCACGCGCATCCGGCCCTCGCGCGCGCCGCTTGGGGACGCCGCGTTTAATGCTGGGTGCGGCACGGAGGAGCCTGCTGAAGTCGCGGGCGACGTAGACGCCTCGTCGGATTTGAATTGGTGTGGTTTCGGGAGCTGAGGAAGAAATAGCCGGACAGATTTAGACGAGCCCTCTGCGGGAGGAGAAGGAAGCTCTGGAGGCTCTATTGGCGAGCCCAAGGTGAAGTCGTCCGCGTGTGTGCCTGTTGACGGATCTCCTATTGTTCTTGTGAGCACCGGTGACTCTCCTCGCCGCGTAGACATCTCCACGAGTCCACCTGAGTAGTAACGAGTGTTACACATCTTATTATGCCCCTATTGAAGCACGCTACACACCTTGATCCATAATGGTCCGGAAGGCCGACGAGGAACGTGACGCGGGAGAGCCCGCTGTTGCATTGTGGGCTGGAAAGTCCGACATCGTTATCGTCTTCCCGGAGTCCGTCCGGTTATTGTCGAAGCCCAGCCCACGGTCTCTCTCCCCGGGGGACATTATAAGCGCAGGAATTGCCTTGTATCCCACACCCAGCGCTGCAAGCACATCAGTAAGGTAAAATTCACCAGCAACGAAAACACGTACGTAGCTCCACCCAGAATGTCGAACCCTCCCCCACTTTCGAGCGAAGACCCAACCGGCCACCACTCAGCTTGACGATCTGTCGCACGAGTGCAAGGCCTAGGCCTGTGCCCTTTCCGCCTGTTAAAAAAATCATACACCGCGTCTACTACGTAAATGCAAGCGACACACCTTGCAGCCGCCCCTGCTCGGTCTGGTTGAACGCGCCTGTGTAAAATAATCATCACACCTGCACGCACGAAATATATGCGCGACTCACTGAACAGCTTGCTCTCCACCATATCCTTCGGCCTGATCCCATAGCCCGTATCTGACACCTCTATGCGCACGACGATCCACTCCAGTGGTGAAGCGGGCTTCGAATTGAACATATTGTGCTGCACAAGACGTTTCGCCGACAAGAGGTCGGACCCACCATGCAAAGCGCTCTCCTTAGCTACATAACGGGAGAACGGTAAATCATCAATATGTGTACGCGGAGGAGTTAGCGCACGCACCATCAAGCGTATGCGTCAAGTCCCCAGAATCGTCGCTGGACCTTGGGTCCTTCGTATCCTGCAGGCCCTTCTCCACCGAGGTCTCACTCGTCTGCACAGTGTCCTCACCAAAAGGATAGCCCGGGAGTATGAGCTTCGTCCTGATCGTCAGTTTCCCGCCACTCGGTGTGAACTTGCACGCATTACTGCAGGTGTAGGTGCACACGGATCAAGCACATTGAAGCGCATATGGAGCACATCAAGCACACACCTAGCCAAATTCGTGATAATCTGCCTTAGACGGTTCTCGTCGCCGACTACGATCCCATCCTCCTCCAGAGACGCGAGGCGTGCGCGGAGCACCGCGTCGTTCTCGCCGACCGCTTCCTGCAGCGAATTCCGCGCGGCCGCGTCGATGTTCCCGTCTAGGTCAGTGACAAACTCAAGCATGCGCGCGTCCGTAGCGAGCCGTAGAGGGACGAACATCGAGCGCAGGACCTGGTGGAACGCATAGGGCTTCAGCACGGACTCAAACCGTCCGCTGTCCATCCGGTTGCTGTGCAATGTGAGTAGGTGAGCGGGTCAGTGGAGAACACGCAGGAGGAGAGGCTCACAAATCCAGCACGTCGTTGAGCACTTTTGACATCATGCTCAAACTACCCTCGAGCGCCTTGAACTCGATCTCCTGTGCCTGCGCGACCGACATGGACGCCTCCATATTCTGCACAGCAAGCACTATCCCAACAATCAATACAATCACCGCGCGAAAATGTTCACGTAACGTACGCGCAGTGTTCAGCGGCACGCGGACCTCGTGAAAAACGTATCTGCGGTTTGCAACGTCAATGAAACTAATTCAGAGAGATATCAAGATACCCACGATGTCAGACGTCGCTTAGAGTCCGACGCCTTCCGCTCGTTGACCTGCGCTTTTTGCGTCGCACGGAATTGGATCTTGAGCTGGTCGCGCAGCGTGTACAGCCGGCGCTCTGCCTGCACCAGTGTGAACGACGTCACCAATCAGTATACTTAATCAAAACCAAACAGCTCACGCTTTCTCGCATGAAGTGGATATAAAGCAGAAACGCTTGAAAAGCGACAAAGTTGATCACGTCTGTGTGGTTAGCGTGAGGGACGGCACAAGTGACGAGAGATGCGTCGTACTCCTCACGAAAGTGTAGTGAATAGGCACGATAAGGACACAACTCCTGCATGAAAACACATGAGCGGATATCAGACGGTGAGGTTGGCGTAACATACAAAATGAAGAATGTCAGTGCGCCGAGCATCGCCGGAAGGCGATGTAGCTTCAAACCAAATAGGCCGACAGTCTGCAATGCCGATGCATAGCTGCACCGTCATCAGTACCCGCTTAAACACGTACAGCTGTATGCACACTCACTAATACATCGTCAAGAAGTCCTTGTTTCCGCAGGTGAAGATGGAGAGCGACTGTTTATAGTTACCACACAGATACCTACGGCACAGCAGTCAGCAGGTAGCTGTCAAGACACAGCGATGCGACGTACATGAACAGCAGCGAATATAGTGCCCACGACCATGTCGAGAAGACAAGGAAAATCTGGTAGAAGATGGTATTGTCGCGGGGAAGGTCATACATGACCATCGGTAAGATGGGGAAGGTGAGAGCTGGGGCGACCTTGACTATGACATCAGTACCAATTATGCAAGCTCACAACGCGCACCAAGCCATGACAGACGATTTCGAACCGAACCCGGATGCTGAGACACTGATGCGAATTTTAATGCATGGGAAAGTAGAGAACCGGCAACGTTCCCCCCCTTCGCTGAGCAGAGGCACCCGCAAAGAGTGGGTATTTGCAGCCAAACGTGCTCAGATTATGAAACCCAGTTTCAGCATCCACCTCTTAAGTTGATGTGACGAGGAAAAACAGTAGCAGGAGATGCTACCTCCGATAGCACCCACGCGTCTTCCATCGGCAGAAAAGGCACTCGCAGCTCGAGAGCGCAGACACATACCCCATAATAAAAGATCTGGTCCGCAAGTACGATCGGTTTAGCGATAAACCCTATACCAAGGGCCCAATTGACGATGAGGAAGGCAGACGACCATAGTGCCAGGTTCTGCAAATCAACGGTCAAGCGCCCATGCGGCCTGCAGTGGACGTCAACAGACCTTGCGGAGAAACCAATTTTCCTTCTTGTAGTGCATCTCAGACTTCTCATCAAGGAAGCGCGTGCAGAAGAACGACATGAGAATAGGCCAGGCGCGCCATCGGAGGAGGACGAGCGGGCTACAGAGCGCCCAGAAACCCGTCGGGTGTACCGCAAAGCTCTCCCTGTCGGTGCACGTACCGAGAAGATTGCTCCCGCCGGACTTGTCTGGGATGCCGCCGTGCTCTGAGTGAGTGACGGAGGAGCTCTTAATCTCGTCGGACCATTCGCGGTCGACGACGACCTCGTCCACAACCTCGTCTTCATCTTCCGCCTCAGGCTCAGCCAAGGGGTCGGGGCGGAAGGGAGGATAGCTGCTCCCGTCGCCGCTCTCGTCCAGCTCGAGGGCGGTAGAGGTAGACGGCGCGGTGCCGGTGCCGAGCCTGCGCCGGAAGCGATCCCAGTGAGCCTTGATACCGTGGTCGATGCGCGCTTTCTTTTTTGACCTGCCTCTGCGTCCAGGTGAAGGGGGGCCCTGGAGGACCGGGGGCGGGAGGTCTGTGGGATGAGAGACGTTGACAGGAGTGGTGGACACGATCGTCTTCTCCGCGCTGCTCGAGGACGGTAATGGCGGGCCGAAGGTGTCGCCGTTGTGCTTGAGGGAGAAGTAGGGCATGGCAGCGTGGGTCAGACAGCGAGCTCGAGGAGCTGGTCGCCGTTGGCGACGGTGTCGAGGACGTTGAAACCAACGACGGACAGAGAATTGGTGTGAACTTGGCTGTGGATTTCTGCAAGGCACGAGCCCCGCATCATCCCAGGAGTCTGCTCAGCCCAGACCCGAACAGGCCCTGTACGCTCTCAAAGATGGACTCCTATTTGACTTTTTCAGGAGCAGATTTTCCGTCTTTTATTTTCCACGCACTGCCCACTCTCTCCTTTCCTTTGTCCTAGCATCTTCGAGCAATTATCCTGAGAACATATGTTCAAGGAATCCTTTCCTGTGGCCGAGTAGCACAAATATAAATGCCGGCGATTGCCGCGAATCTGTGTTCATGACATCATTTCCCATCAAGTGCCCGACAGGCGTGTCACAACTTTAGGCTGATGAGGCGGTAACGGCTCTCCTCGTTGACAGTGAAAGAAGTATCGTAAAAGTTTTGCTTGCGAGCGCTGCATATTTACTAGGCAGTGTTGTGCCGGTTGGCGACTTTTCAGAACGGTCACCGACTACGAACATTACGAAAAGCCTGTAACTTCCGGTGACTATGGAAATTGTGGCGATTATCGAGGTGCCTCTGGAGCCACATTTCGTCCTGGTCTCGTACCCAGACAGTTTCGTCCATATGAGGGCACGCATATCATGGCCGCATCCACAGGACGCATAACCCCTTTTTTCCCGAGGAAATAACTTGGAAAAATGTGTGGAAATCAATAAAGTTATACTGCGGGAAAAACATGAGGAAAAATGTGTAAAAGAACAAAGCATTTCCGTAGTTTTTCCACTGGAAATAAGTTGGTCGCCAAATATGGTAATTTTGTCCGCACTGGGTGCATTTTCCCGTAATCTGGTCCAATTATTGTAAGGTTAACCTTAAAATAGAGTGAATTTGATTTGTGTAAGTAGTGTCACATATTTGAAACATATTGAAAACAACTTTATAATAAGTGGTGGCTTATTATCTGAGATTATTGGAGAGCATATCCAAAATATCTTTCACATACTGTCTCAAATAGATTTTGAAAAGTGCTCCGATATCTGACACTGATTACTTCATATTTACTCAAATATACTGGTCACATTTTCTTGTAAACTGGTTCAATTATTGTAATACTATTCTTAGAATAGAGTGAACTTGATTTGTGTAAGCAGTGTCACTTATTTCAAACATGTTAAAAATAACTTTACCATGAATGATGGCTTATTATACTGAAATTATTATAGACCCATCTAAAATTTCTTTCAAATATTGTTTCAAATAGATTTCTCAAAGTTCTCTAATATCTGACACTGATTAGTCTACACTTATTATAAATGAGTTTCATATAAACCATGTTATAAAGTCAAACATTACTGAATTCTGTCTTTATAATATCTGTCAGATGTATGATGTCAAGTCTTCTTCATATACAATAAAGTTATTAAAACTAATCATTATAGTTTGTATACAATGATCTAAGAAAAAAATATATATATAAACTGGAGTATTATGCAGAATTTAGTTAAAATATACTTAAAATTTATTTTAAACAATTTTACCATATAATTTCAAACATCTTGTGGTATAATTAACACAGATCAAGTTGGTTTACTGCACGTTTATTTGAAAGTAATTTGAAAAAGTAAGAATAAACACAGTTTAAAATTAAAGTTAATGAGATTTTAACGAGATGAGATTTTAATACATTATAGTGATATATAGTACTGTACAGTTCAATGCAGTGATATGTTGCACTATAGAGTACAATGCAGTGATAAGTTGTACTATATAGTTTAATATAGTAGTGTATCATGCTAAATAGTACACCGAAGCAATGTGCAGTCCATTACAGTATATTATAGTGGCATGTAGTGCTAAATAGTATACTAGAGTGACATACAGTATTAGATAAGTATATTACAGTAACTAATACTGTAATGTAGTGTATTACTGTACTAAAATACTACATTAGATTAACTAAGAGCAACTAACATTACAATACAGCGAAGGGAAAAGGGAAAAGTGAAGGTCAAAGACTTATTGATTTACAACATAACCATCCCACTATCCTATTGTACTTAAATCTTCTGTCAGCTTTACCATATTGCTCATACCTTCTGCCTGTGCGAATGACCCAGATTCCTGTCCCCTTCATAATGCCAACATGATATCATTAATATGTTTGACATTGCAGGTGTGTAAAAGAAGTGAATTACAAGTATAAAAAATTCAAGCATCAACATCAACTGTCTCCCAAATTTGTATGGAGTTGCTAATACCTGGCTTACTAGTCCCTGTAACAATGCTATATCTTACTTCCTGACAATGCTCATATACCTAATCAATCAATTTTAGTATCTGACCAGCCTTTGGATAACATCCACCTACTGCAATAGCTTGTACTATGCATGGCTCTAAAAACATAGTGTGACATTAATCAAACAATACAACTATATAACAAGACTGACCTCCATATCTCAAAGTTCCCATATGCTCACCAGTATCAACCCTCCACCATCTCACCTTACCCACTGAAGTACCACCAACCAGTCCAGAACCACCATGTATAAAGACGATAGGCAATACTAGCCCTATATTCTCAAGAGGTACCTGAAACTGAAGGCCTTTCTGTCCTGATGGTATCTTATACAGTGTGAATCCATGAGTTATATCATTGACTGCAAGTAGTTTGTTATCAGGAGATATGCTGCATGATCCACTAGACATTCATGAATTCCTGCAAAAGTCTCACAGTGGACAATGTGTGATCGACTTACCAAAATGGCAGACGCAGTGACCACAGAACTGAGAATGACCCTGAGTTCAGAGCCAGGCAGCTTCAATACAATGTATTCAAGTCAAGGACTAAGAAAACATAGGCAATTGCACTTACACTACCCCATGGTGAAGGTAGGATACCACCAGATGATTATTGGAAGGTGATGTCGAGAGCCAATGAAGGGAAGTTACTCGAATTGGTGCCTCCGAACGAAACTCAGCGGTGAAAAGGATAGCACCTGGATCATCCACAATGCCTTCTAGCTTCCACTGAGAGTCTGCTTTCCTTAGTAAGTAGACAATAACTTGTCAGCAAAAATTGCGCACATGTATCTTTCCAGAACCATACTTTCACAACACTGAGAGCAGCACTCGCAAGTTGTGCATTGGTTTGAGAGTTAATGGCAAGAGACTCAATAGGAGCAGGGTGGCCCTCAAAACCGGAGGCAGTTATGGTTGCCTTGAGTTTGATGGAGAGCACATTAAGTGAGTGACCAGACCCAATAAGTATCAAACATAAGTGCACGCTACCTGGTCAAAGGAAATGGTCAACAAAGTCCCATCTTCAGTTCCACATAGAATTCTGGCAGAATTGCTTGACCAAACCAGCGATAGGACCGCTGAATGTGCAACGATACGGTGAACAGGTTCCTGTAATGTCAGCGACCAGACAATGATCTTCTTGTCCGTACTTCCGCTAGCAAGATGACTGCCATCAGGACTTATTGCAACACAGTTGATGGTATCTTCGTGTGCATAGTCGAAAGTAGACTTGAGTCGATATTGTAAAGGCATTATAAGCAGTGGTAACAGCACCCTGGCAGCCCTCGTTGGACTCTCGGTGAGGTTGCGTAACCACGTGGTCCGACCGAGTACTTGGTGAAACCTGCTCAGCCTACGCCTGTCAAGCTTGTGACTTGAAGCTTGAAAGCTTGAACGATAACCTCCGCTTGTCTAAGTGACAAGTCTATGTACGGACGTCGCAGTGCCACACATACGCTGTCCCTAACTATAGTTCTTCATCGTTCCACCATGGCGTGTCTCTGCGGCGCGTGCGTAAGCTTGTCTTTCACAAAAGACAAGGGGGCGCATGTAATGCAGTCGACGCTCTCATTAACGCCCCGTGTCGAATGCAGCAGCCTCACCTTTACTTCGTTCGTCCTCCGTCGTCAAGTTGTGAGTGACGTTTAGGCGACGCTCCCACTTCTCCATATACCGTACAAGCATGCAGGAGGTGCTCTCCTCAACCGCCTCTCATCCAGTCTTCTACACCGCTCAATCCTTCCGCGTGAAGACAAGCCTGCCCATGGACGCGAATATCTACGGTCGGGGCGAACACACAGAAAACTTCCGTCGCCTTAGTGTCGATTTGAGACTATGGACCGAGATTGGTATGTCATGACGAGGTTTCGTTTCGAGCCAAGTTTTAGGATTTGACGAATGGTGGAGGTTCGCGCAGGATAACGATGTCCTAATGATTGACGAATACGACGGAATCATTGAGGACCTCGCGCCGTTTTGGGAGCTGCCTGCTGACGAGCTGCGGACAAGGGCAGTCTGGTGCGTCATGAAGTCTTCATATACATGTTCACGAACTTCAGTTTGAAGTGATTTTGCATAGGCTGGCCATCTTCCTTCTGTCGACATGGTAAGGGTTAGAGATGGAAAGTCTATGGCCGAGAATATTAAGGATGTCCACAGACATCAGTGCTCGCGCCAAGGGCTTCCGCAGGATGATCGAGAAGTTCCAGGACAAGGTATGTATGCCAATCCTGTTGAGATGCTTCGTGAAAGATCACAGTGTACATCTCGGTCTCCCCCTCAAGCTTCAAGCTTCAAGAGTAATCACCGACGCCTCAGCTGAGATATCCGAATGCCGTCTTCTTGCGAGTGTCCTCCTCGCGTCCCGCCTCCAATCATCGTGTCGGGGACGGTTCAACCCACCGGCACCAATGGGATCATGGACGCGTCGCGCCACAGCCACTTAAGCCCTGTGCAGCCAGTTCACCACTTATCCGCCAAGGGCTATGACGATTCCTGGAACGCGTATCAACTTACCAAGTACACATACCTGGCACGTCCTCCCGGTGGTCGATGCGACTTTCTGCGGGAATCCTACGGACTCCGGACGTCCTTATCTCGTGACCAACAGGTTCTCACAGCGTCTGATTCTATGCATCTCGGCGATCTGTGCACTCCGTGGATCCCACTGAGCTTCATAACACCGGATCCTATCAGGTGCGCTTGTACGTTCAATCCGGTTTGCAAAATGCATCCTCTCATTCCGGTGATATATGCGCACCGCAGATCAAACTGAGCTCCAGAACCCAACCAATTGCTTTGTCGCCGTCTCAGCCGGTCCACTTGGTTCCAAGTCTCTTTGGCAGCAGCGCTAGCTGCCAGGTCATGCAGCCAACCTCAGGCTCACGCCCACGTCATTTCAGGCGTATCGCACACGAGTGGGTACGCTCCTTCGCCTCATGCATCCGCAATGTACTCAGTGATAGCAACGGCGGTGTAATACCTCGTTCAATGAGTAAGCTCAGAGTGAATGTACAACCTGGACGTGTGGACTAACAACGAGACTCGCAACAGTTCTATGCCTGGGATCGCCGTTCATCCTTTCGGCGATGGGCCTGCTGATCAGAAGGTGAGTTCCATTTTCTGGACGGACTGACCGCAGTGACATTTCCCCGGAAGTGCTTCCATGCTGATGTCTGTCCTCCTTCCAGCGGCGCTTCGAGATTGCCGATCGTAGCTTCCATGCTGATATGTCTACAGTTTGTTTTCCCCCGTGCTTTCGATCCTGTGCTAATTCGTGGAATTGCATAAATATCCGCCGCAGTATGTGATCTTAAGACTGGCCCTCAGACCTGTCTTCCACTACCTGCGGGGCGGACCCTCTCTGCTTCCCGCTGTATCGTTCACCTCGCGCTTTACTGCGTGCACTGTCTTCTCTACGTGATTACCTTCCACGAATTCGTTGAATCAATATCATTGAGTGCGCTCTGTGGCCTTCTTGCTCGCATTCCTTCTGACGACCCTTTACTTTTTCCTCAAAGCACATCAGCCATGAGCGACTCGGATCCCTTCACTGCCGCCGTTTTCGGCTGGTTTCGCGATGACACGGAGGCCTTGATGAACCGCATCGCAGAGGTGTTGGCGCGCAGTCGTCTGTACCCAGATCGGTCTGTCCAGTGGAGGCCAACGTGGGCGACAGACTTCCGCAATCTTCATCTGCCAGCTAGTGCTGAGCGCCTCATCCGCTGGGACATCCGTCGCCCAGAAGACGTGTTTAGGAACGGTTTCGCCCCGAAGGTCCAACCTTCCAGCAGCGCACAGCTGCAGGACCAGCAGCTAGATATAGCCACCTACGTCTTGAACAATGTCCCTTCCATCTTTGTGTCCACGACGCGCACCCTCGCGACCTACACCCCCTCGATGCCCGAACCGCTCGTGTGGACGGCGGATAACCGGCTTAATCGCCATGTCGTGGGCGGAACCAGTTTCAAGTACGAGATATACGCGCATGGCGGGATAGATGTCAACGAGTCGCTGGGCACACATCGCCATCAGCAACAGAACGAGGTCGCGTTTGCGGGTGGAATCCGGCGCGAGTTCGTTCGCAGTGCCGTCGAGTACCGCCGGATCGATAACCCAGACGGCACCACGGAGGACATGATCGTCCGGGTTTATTACAATCCGTACTTCGATTGGAACGCCAGTGGCAGGGGCCATGGATCGCGCCTCCCTGATCTGCCCCAGGATGAGTACAGATCGATTGGGGTCGAGGTCGTTGATGTGACCTTTGATGACGACGATGGGAATCCTTCGGACTCGCATAGGAGGGAGCTGCGCAGTCCCGTGGACGAAGATATCCTCATGACGGGCGAGGGTCATACTATCACAGATTTTCTGATAGGCACCACGACCGAGCCACGCTTCGCGCGTGCTGTTCTCCCCAACCTGGCGCGTTCCGTCCATGAGGTCTATGTCTTCGCAGAGACGAAATACGTCCTCATGCACTTCGACCCACCCGGTTCGATCATCAATGGGCCAAAGCTGGTGGTGACCGAATGGCCGTCCCTGCGCAAGGCCAAGTTCGCAGGGAGGGTGGATGCGATCCTGCCGAACCCGGACAATGACAGAGAAGCCTATTTCTTCAGCGGAGACAGCTATGCTCTCGTGAACGTCCAGCCGGGGTCGACGGACGACTACCTAGTGAGCCCGGTCAAGACGATTCGCGGGAACTGGCCATCCCTGACCAAGGCCGGGTTCGACAAAGGGGTGGACGCGATCTTGCCAAATCCTCATAATAAAGCGCACGCGTACTTCTTCCGGGACAGCCATTACGCGCTCATCGACATCGCCCCCGGCACCACCAACGACCGCATCATCAACGGGCCCAAGTCCATTTATCAGAATTGGCCGTCGCTGCGCAATGGCTTCACCAACGGGATCGAGGCTTGTCTTCCGAACCCGAGCAACAAAAATCAGGCGTACTTTTTCAAACATAATCGTTATGTCCTAATTGAAGTCAAGCCGGGCACGACAGACGACATATTGATCGAGGGGCCCGCAGATGTTGGTGGGAAGTGGCCGGCACTCAAAACCGCTGGTTTGTATTGAGGTTTGCAAACGAACCTCATACGTGGTGGTAGTGTTAGCGGGCGTTCCATCCTTCTGCATCCCGTCCCTTTGCGTTACTATCATGCATTCATTCTTGCTCTAATCCACTATGCGTGTTTTCGTCCACCCTCTAACCCCTTATATATGCTTTCATTCTTTCTCTAAGCCTGCTCTCATGACTAGTTACTTGTACGTCGCTGTGTGTATCATATTTGTACATTTTCTTCCTCACTTTCAGGCAGATCGGTAGCTATCCTGCTTTTGTAAGAGTAGTCGACATCACTTTGTAACCACGTCTTCGAATTAGCTAAGCCATTGCGCAAATATATCATTTCGAGACATGGTCAGGGTCCAAACTTCTTGACCAACGAAGGGGTGAAGCAAGCAATATAAACAAGTTATGCAACATGGGCAATAGAAACATCGTAAGTCATCGGATCACGTATGCGAGAGACAGAACTGCGACCGAAATGGCACTGTCGCCGATCAATCTCAAAGGTTATGCCTCCGGCTCGATCATCCATCTTTCAGTTTTATTGGCCCAGCGATGACCTCTGGCAAATGCACTTCATGAGCCGGAGAGTAGTGTGATCTGTGCACAGAAATGAGGTGCCCCAACTTTGCATGAGCATTCACTGCAGAGCTGTCTTCGATGTGCGAAGTTCCGAGGTACTGATCCACGATCTTACTACAACGGCAGCCAACTGACATTTCACGTCTAATTACACGACCGTGATCGCTGTCCACATCGATGTGGGCATCCTGAGGTTGTAGTGGGCCGAGAGCTCAGTGGGATGTACTCACCCGACTGGCGAGGGGAAGGCAACGTTTGGGAAGCATACCGCTGTACATGTCTTCCAGGCGCGCCTGCTCGACGTCTCTTCAGCTTGTTCCGCGCCTCCTCTTCAGAACGCACGAGCCAACTACTAGCGCGTAACGAAGAATTTGTTTTTTCCACCGACGTGAGCGGAAATTGTTCATTCTGCCTCAGCCCGTTGGCACACTATAATCAAGGACACTTCTTCTCTGATTGGCGCACAATACCGGCTCTGTTTCCAATGTTCTCTCCAGCGCAGGCATCTGGGTATTCTGATATCAGAATACCGCTCGCGCAAGCCGTTTTGGAGTACGAGAGGAGATATGGGAGAAAACCCCCGCGGGAGTATAAGAATGACAAGATCTTCTGGAGAGGCACTTCTACTGGTGGTGGTAGTTCCCCCGCGGCTTTGCCGCACAGTATCAGCGGCATAGGTAAGCCCAATTTACTTATTAAATTTCTTTCTGGCTGAATGTGAATTTAGGTTCGTCCGCATGGTGAGCGGTCGAGTCGCACGATGGTGTTTGCGGACCCTCCAGGTTCAAGCAACTATATCTATGCAGAGGTACCTGTGGGGATGCTCAATGACGAAATCGTGGACGTCGCTTTCGTGAACTTGGTAGACTGGTACCACTTCCCTGGAGGTCTTTTGGCGCTTGTCAGGGCCCACCGATTCTACGACGGCGGTGTCAGTCTTGGTGAACATTGGAAGCACAAGTATCTTGTTGACATCGACGGTATGGGATACTCTGGACGGTTCCTCTCTTTCATGGAGTCGGACAGTGCAGTGATGAAGTCCACAGTCCATCGGGAGTTTTTGTCCGACTGGATACAACCTTGGTACGTGCTGGAGAACAACTCTACTCGCTGTTGCCCTAAGCCGTTTCCTTACCCCATGTTACACTACATACCCGTGTCTCAATCATACCAGGAAATTTATAATATACACGCATTCTTCTCAGGAGCAACCCCCTCAACCCTAAAAATTGCTACTTTGACGGCATCAGATCTACTTCCTGACCAACGCTGTACGATGGACGGAGACCGCCGACTGGGACGTATCGCAGGTGCTGGGAAGCAGTGGAAGCGGACAATTGGAAGACGGGTGGATATGGACGGTGCGGTGCCACCTTATCCCAAGACTACATGTACGAGTGTCGGGTCTTCACGCTCGATCCAGATTGCTTCCCTCTACAGAGGCTCAATTATCTCCAGCTCACGACCAACATTATGGTGCGTAGGCGATCGGTCGCTCTCGCATAGTTATTCCATCGCTGATCCGAGTCTCAGCTACGATGATTGACCCTGCTGTTGTATACCTCTCCGAGGAAGGATACGATGCTCTTGATCGCGGACAGCGGTCGACGTCTGGCTCAAGGCGGCAAAAGGTAACGACTTCTCGGGAGTCGTATGGCCTGGTACGGATGGTCTGGTATACCGTCCCAAGGGCGAAGGGCCAACTGAACGCTGATCTCATTTCGCAGGTTGGCGGGCACTTGTCGAAGTTTTTTGCTTCGCATGATAGACAACTGGCTATCGCTTCAGACTGGTTCACCCCCGCTGCACAAGGGTATGCAACCCCTTCTGTTTCACCGTCCTCGAGCTCACACAGTAAACTAGCTTCTGGTTATACGGATTTAGCACCTTCTACAACGTTGAGACAGGTCTCGACATTCAAGCGCTTGGATCGGCATGAACGAGCCATTCAGTGTTCGTCGTTCGTTTCCTTCACTCCCGGATATTTGACGTAACACTCTTTTCTTGTTCGATTGTAGCTCTGCCTCTAGTCGTGTGACGACCCCTTCGGTCGGGCTGATGCACAGGGCCTTCCACCTGCGCTGACGACCGTTCCTCTGGACCCAAATGCTCCGATCTTCAGCTATCGGAACCTGTCTGACACGGAAGAGGGCCGACACGAGTAACTACAACGTGCTCAATCCGCCGTATGCCATCAACAACGCGTCTCACGTCTCATTGAAGGCAAGTTTGACTGTGATGTCTGAAGGCTTACATGGCATACTCAGGCTAGGAAGGCATAGGCTTTGAATTGAAGCTTCAAGTGCCCCTCCTCTGTTTGTTGGAGAACAGACAGTGTAAGTTGGCTGGCTTCACTTAATACTTGCAAGTTACTCTACTGATCGTGGCCATGCACTTTGTCAGATTTGCGCAGACGACATGGTCGACAGCCTTCGCCACTATGCAGGTCACCCGTCTGGGCAGAGATGGGCCCGTCATAGATGTGGTGCGATATCAATGAAGCTAGGGGTTCCGCGTGCTGAGGTGACGTGCTCGTTCCTTTGTCCCTCTTCCTGAAGGTTTGCTTTGTACCCAGCTTCTTGGGCCTCTTTATCTGGTATTTGCCTAATCCACTGGCTTACTGAATTGGCTTACTTCGTGAACGTTCAGGGCATCATTAATGTGCGCGCTCACCTTTATTGTCAAAACTCGCAAGCGGCGTGCTGCTCACGCCTCTCAGACCATTTCGTTAGGCTTTCTTCTATGGTGTTGTGCGAACAATGTTGCATTTCACGCAGTCTCATCAGATTTGTTGCTGAGTACACCGTTCATCAGGGCCTCTTATATTGAGACCTATTCGTGTTCATCTCAGAGTCATATGACTGGGAAGCTAAACACGGCTAAATCGACAGGTGGCTGGCGAGCCTTCAAACTTCACCACGGGCAATGTGGCCATCTTAAGTGTGTTCTTATCGGGCGATTGTCGGTTATCGGTTACCTCTGACCCCAGCAGCTCGGTGTGACATCGCTCGCGCAAGACGTCCTGAAGTTCGCGTGATAGCCTCGGCAATGATAACAAGAAGCTGTGGTCAAGGGCATAAGGGACGGTCAGCGTATGTCTGACAAGCGACGTGTATGTTTATTTACCTTCACGGAGCAGGGCAGGTTTTGAGATAGTTCTTGAGGATCGGGAAATCGGCCATCGATGCTTCTGCCATCTGAGAATAGTCTGCGTCGCGGTATTTGGCGACAACGGTGTTTCCACGCCACGCTTTAGCCTCGTTGAAGGAGGCGCCCTGAATCTCGCGGATGCACTTGTTGACTGGGAAGGGCATCCCATCACGAGAGACAATGGGGTAGAAGAGTATGTACGGAGTGGGGAACTTCTTGTTCATGCCATCAAGGGCCTCAACAAGCTAAACAGGTGTGGGAGACGGGAGAACACGAGTGAGCGTCATGGCCGGTGTTTAATCTGGGGGAGAGATCGCATTAGACGCACATGATACCGCCAGGACCTGGGCCCCAAGCCTTCGGCAATATAGTCGATATGAATCTCTGGGTGTGGCATGCGACCACAGCGGTAAGGCTGGGACGGATTGGGAAGAACCACATTGAGCACTGTGGTCATCAGGGAGACCAAGTGGGGGGGACGGTCGTCGGAAGGAAAACAAATCGCGTCGTAGGGAATCATTTGGTCCATGGCGAAAAGACGAGAAAATTGAAGTGTGTACAGTGAAGTAGAAAGTTGGACGAAGAGCGAAGAACTGGAACTTGGTGCTCACCGAGGAGGACCGGGGGGGGAATATATACCGCTGGGGGTGTTGCAGCATGCATATCGAGGGATATAGCCCACTGAGTGGCAAGGCTGGGAAGGAAATGATGGACTGGAGGCTCATGGCGGATGCATGCGTGAACCTCGCGACTGGCAGATCTTGGCAGCGTCGAGTAACGGTTGCCCGAAAAGGCAGGTGTAGTGGCCGTAAGAGGCAAGCATGCGTGACCATCACGACGCGTGCGTGACGGCGCGCAGGGTTAATGTTAACTGAATGTTAACCGAAGGTTAACTTCCGCGTGTCGTCGCCGGCTCGCTGCTGTGTTTTTGATCAAAGGGAGCCCCTGTTCGAATTCTAGATTCCAAATCAATACTGCTGCGCTACCCTGCAAACCACGCCATCGATGGAGTGCGGCGTGCTCGTCGCGTCCCATCTTTCCTCCCTCTTCCCGACGTCGTCCTTGCCCATCTCCGTCCTCACATCGCATAAGGATATTCGAACTCAACCTTTCCGTGGACTCCTCTGCTCCCCCAGAACATGCCAGCTACTCCACCCTCTTTCATACCTCCAGAACGGGCACCATTCTGCTTCGCCTCACACACCGTGCCACCCTTTTCGAACTCATCACTCTCACCCGCGATGCTCCCCAGCTGCGCTTTGATTTTCCTGGTGCCATCTTACCCTCTCCGGCAGTTTTCTTGTGGGAAGAGCGAGAACTTCACGTTATTGCCGTCTCAGTCATAGGCTCTCTCTATCGCTTTGTCCTCCCTCTTCAACGTGGCGCACAGCTCTGGCACCCCAGCAAGTACTGGTTTCGCCAGTACGACATCCAGAACATGCGGTCAGACATGGAGGGGTTGGGCCACATTGTGTTGTTTTGAGTTTGCCCGGTGGTGCCTTGCTACGTTTGGAAACAGAACTTCTCGGGAATGATGACGAGGACGGTACGGCTCTCGACTCGCCCCTGGTCTCGCTGCGGCCATTATTAACCCGCTATTAGATGTTTGGCAAGAGACAAAATTCCATCCTCATTTCACTCCTTACTTCGATCACCTCGTTGCTGCCCTTGCAAGGCGGTCCTCCAGGAAGTTCCGACATTATCTCGATGGCGTCCTTCCCCCAGCCAACCGATATTGAGCACGTTTGGACTCTGTCAAGAGATCGGACCCTCCGGCTTTGGACAGCACGAAGCGGATGTGTCGCTGAGAAGTCGCTCGCTGCGATCATTCCAGGAAAGGCCATCACGCCTGCTTTGACATCCGCCTCAAGCTCCGGAAAACTCTCGAATCTTCTGCCTGCAGATGCGCGGAAGCGTCTCAGTGTATTTCCAGAGTTTGAAATGGAGGACCCTGTGCCTTATGTTCTCGCGTTCATCCCAGCTGAATCATCCTCGACTTCGGGAGGTTATTTCCATCTCTTCAGCTCGCATTCCAGCGATCTACATCCTCTGAACTACTTTTGAGTGCTCCGTCACAAGTGCACATTGTCATTTACAGGACTTCGTGGTGATTGGCTCCACCCTGTACACCGTCTGGGATAAGCAGGGCCAGTCAATGATAGAAGACGCCAAGATTTCGTTTCATGATGATAACAGGATCGAGGTGGTGTGGAACACCGCGACTTACGCCCATGAGGCGGAGCTCACACCGGCGTACCTCGAAGAATTGCTTCTGTCCGCAGGCTCCATGGCTGACAAGTTTTTCGGAGCAATCTCGAGACCAGGCACATTCTCGCCTGTGACGCTTCGGACTGTCATTGATCAGTACACTGACGCATGCCGCTCCCTCCCCCCGCCATGTACGCCACAGCTGTTGACCACGTACGGCAGCGTGGGCGAGCAGATTGCTGCCGTAGTGGGCGGCACGGTTGAGCTCACCCGCGATCTCAGTACCGGTGCTCCGCAGTACGACAGGTACTGGAACGCGCTGAAACGCGCGACTGGGAGGGCTTCGTAGCGCGGTGTCGCGAGATCGAGCGCCATGTGCGCTGGCCGCTGGCGATCGGCATGGGAGAACCCAGGGAGGGCATTCTGGTCGTCGAACGCGAACGCATCGCGGCGCTCGTGGATGAGGACTTTCCTCTTAGGTCCCGCCGGCTTCTCGCGGCGTCTTCTCCCCTGGACCCCCAATTTACCCTCCTGGAGATCCTGTGGACGCTGCGTGCTAAGATTGGCACCCGGCCCATGCTTGTTTTCGAGGATCGATTGGTCGACCTTGTGCATCAAGAGATCGCCTTCCCATACGCCGATATTATACAGGACCAAGCCGAGCGGATCAACATCCGCGAGGAGCTCGACAAAGGCATGGAGAATTGGATTGCCGGGCGCTTGCAGAGCATCGACAACATGTCAGACGCTATTCAATCGGTGCTCAATGTCATTGGTGGCTTGGAAAAGAACGTGAAGAAAGAAGATGAGGATGAAGATGGGGCGTTGCGGCTTCCATCCGCCTATCCGGAGTGGTGGAGGGCGCTTGTGTCTTCGTACGTTGCAGTTTCCGTCCAAGCACGATATGGCTTGTGTCTGTCGCTCGTTACGTTGCTCTTCTTCGTCTCGGAAGATTTGCCACAATGGGATCCTGCGTTGCTAGCAGAAATCTTTGTGGTATTCCGTGGGATCGCCATGTTCCGGTACGCGACGCGCCAGCCAGCTGCGGGCAGCGTCAGTACGCCAGCTGCTGAGCCCTTGACGGACGAGGAAGTCGTCGCGAAGATGAGGGACATGCATGTCTCCTCAACAGCCTCTGGATTCACGCCGAGCTACTCGCTCATCCACCGTCTCCTCACGCAGTACGGCAGCGATGCAGCAATCGTGCCTGCCTCTGCACACCTATTCTTAGCTTCTTCCGGGCTGCTGGAATCCTTATCTCCTGCAAATGCGACGAAGCTCGAGGTGCTCTTTTGTGAGCGGCTTCGCCTTCTCGGATACCGCAAGGTTTCCAGAGAGAGCTTAGCGTGGCTACCCAGGACAGCTGGGGTGACGTACGTGCTTGGCCGACTGTGGTTGGATGAGGGTAGGTACGATGATGCAGCCTCTGTAATGGAGGGTGTGGCAGTCAGCTTCGGTGAGTGGGTTGGAGGGTGTAATCCCTGTACTGCGTCACTAATAATGGTATCGCCCGCCAGGACGTGACAGCGCGTTAACCACGGAGGACCACGAGGCTCTGGCCGGGGTACTGCCAGGCGCGGCGTTCTTCCAATCTGTGTTCGATTTCTATTTGCATGTCGCCGGCCTCTTCAAGGCCGTTTCTGTGACATCAAGTGAAGTGGTGTTTTCCCAGCTCGCTCTGTCCGTGGCACCGCCAGGCGTCGACAGCGCGTCCCTGTGGCACGCGGTCATAAGAGGCCTCACGGACTTGGAGCTTTATGAAGATGCGTATGTCGCACTAGTCTCCCCCTGCTATGAGAAATTGTGTGTGGGCGTCTTCTTTCTGTCCCCGTCCCGTGTGTCACATGATAACTTACTGTCTTGTGTTTACCAGAATATGGGAATGTGTGAGCCAACTGATGTACCGGATGTGCGAGGAGCACGCCGTCGACCGGCTCATGGCCCTTAGTTTTGTGGGCTTCGTGGACGAGGTGGAGGAATCGCTCTCGTTTAAGGCCCGGAACGCGGACCCGCGAGTACGACCGTTCTACTCAAGGATACTCTACATGTGGTATATCTCTCGTGGCGATTATCGCAATGGTCAGTCGTCATCCTTTTCCCCAGGGAACGTCATTCTCAACCATGTTTCTCGAACCTTAGCCGCCCTCACAATGTACCAGCGGGCGCGGAAGCTCGCCAGCCTGTTCGGAGACCCGGCGAACTTCATTGAAATTGCCGAGTTGCGGCTTGAAGCTTATGTTGTTGGAATGAATGCTCTCGTGCTCACTGATCAGAAGAACGCATGGATCGTCCTGCCCGTCACGGCCGAATCCGAACACGAGGTAAACGGGGCTTCCTCGCTCCGGATCGCTTGTCCATGATGCTAATTGAAAATGATTTTGACGCGTGCAGCCCCGTAAGCGCCGTAAGCTGTCGCGATATATCCCGGAGGACAAGTACGGGCCCGGGAAGCGGGACATGGAAGTGGTGGAACTGGCGGACATGCAATACGAGTGTACACTTTTGGCTATCCGTCTGGAGTTAATCCACCGCGACCCCACACTTCTGTCGGTTGGGGGTAAGTTGTGTCCGGTTCCCAAGCTTGACGTCCTCGTGAGCTGACAATGAGCCCGCAGAAGCGCTGCTATCGCCTCCGTCCGTCGTATTGCGTCTGACACAAGCGAATCGCTTCAACATGGCCATGGCTACCGGCGCGCACGCACAACTTAATGTCGACATGACTGATCTCTTCGGACATTTGACCGGCCTATGTTTGCGCCAACCCGGAGGCTGTCATGTAAGGCTCTTGTCTGCCGGTTCGAAGCCTCCGTTGATAGCGGCGAAGACACGTCTGACTGGCTGCTAACTGACAAAGTGACTTCGTGGCCCGGCACTGCAGCAGACCGAGGCTGGCGATACCTTCGAGAGTCGCTGGAGCGGCACGATGGTCCGGATACGGATTACAGATACACCAAGGTGACATTGGAAACCATCTTAGAACTCGATCGCACATCACCACCCCCACAGTGGTTGACTCAGTCGCTAGAGGCAAGTCTTCTACGCGCAGCCATTGTGGGCGCATCGCTAATTCCCCCGCCACAGGTGCACCACCCTGAGTATCTGATTCGCACATGCCTGCGCTACGAGATGTTCGAAGGGGCACTGGAGCACACGTTGTCGCTAATGCGGAGAGTGAGTGTCCAGACCCTCTCCATCGTCGTGGTCACCCTTCTGATTAAGCTGCCTCCTTGCAGAGTGACGCTCACCTCGCACAGGAGAGGCCCAAGGCCGCGTCTGTAACCTGGCTACCATATACCTTGATTGACCAGGTTCTCGCCGCAGTGGATACCCAGCAGGGGCTTCCCATCGGGGCTCAGTCTCTACGCAAAGAATTGCGGACAGAGATTTCCAACCGCATAAAACGCGTGCAAAAATGCGGCCAGTCTGTCCGATAGCCACGGTCCGTTTGTTGTGATATCCCACTGCTTATTGGTAGATACTGTACGTGTTAATCCTGCACTGTTCGCGCTACTCATCACCCATGCCGTCGTGTAAAATAGTAATACCGTTTCTGGATCTATTTTACTTTACACCATGGACATCGTCGCCCCGAAGTGGCTGTTACTTTGACTAAGTGCGAGGTAAGTAGAGAAGGCTCTCAACACCGCGTAATGGCCTCTCTTCTTTCTCCGCATCTGGGGTGCCTTCTTTGATGTTAAAAGTCCCGACAGTCTCCGCTGGGTCGGAAATGCACTTGGTTCGGGGAACAGTAAGCCACGAGTACGTCCTATCCACATCTGCTACGATCATATTTTGTCCTCAGCGACTCTTCACCGCTGACACACTACAAATTTGAATGCAGATAGCGCACCAGCAGGCATCACCTGTGATGCATGCGGCGGTGCCGAATGTCGGAGAGATGGCCGTGTTCCAGCTGTGTGGAGACTATGGAGGCCCGTGTATTCTCCCTTTTAATGTGCCAATAGGTTCGGCCTTAACGCCGCAGTCACCCGCATTGCAGCATTGTGCAGGAGGGTGCATAGCTCCGATCGATGACTCCCCCAAGACCTCGTGAGTCTCTTAGGAGCGATCTGAAACTTGAATGGACGCACGGGTGATAGGTTCGAAATTGCAAAAGAGTGAAGTAAACCGTTCTGGAACAACACTGGAGGATATTGGAGGCATGACCTCGCGTACGACGCACGGTATTTCCTGTCACACGGCAGTGACGGTCAGATTGGACCTCTTCGCCAGCCATTGCACGCATGCAGAACAGGTCCAGAGCTAGCTAAGCGCAACCCAAAGAAACGTCGAGATATGACTCTAGTGGGACTTTCGTTTGCAGAAACGGTTATACAATGGCGCAGCTGTTGGCAATGCCGCACTAACACCTTCGGCGCGATCTTCCTCTTCCATGCATACTCAAGTCGCGTCGAATTATCAACAGATAGTGGACGCGCTCAAGGAGAACCCGCCCGCTTTTCTGACACACCCTCCATCCGTTCCTCCCAAGTCGGAATTTCGGCCTAGGGCGAGGGCGATCTGCACAGTGCCACCTTCTGACCAGCTTCGCTAAACTGTTTCTGATCCCGGTCACTCTTCCGCATCTCCCACGAGCTCCAGCAGCGTCCGCAACACGAAGAGCTATGTCTCACATACCCACTCGCTGTTCGGTCCGTCTTCTTACTCATCTAGGTTAACTTGGACAGATGCAGTGCATTTCCCATTGTCCGGGAGTCCTCCGGCTGCCGATGGAACGACATGGGGTGTAGGAGGCTTCGCAAGCTTTCTCATCCTGGTCCCGCATCTGTGGCTCCCAACGCTTGCGGTTCAGCCAGAAGGTCAAGCAGCAACTCCCTTTGTGAGGGAATGCATTCGTCGAGCTTAAATGCTAGTTCCACGACTACTCCCCTTTCTTCTGTGCTAGCTACACCTCCTATCACACCCGAATGCGATTCGTCCTGCATGTCGCCGGTCATCGTCCCTGTACCTTCTCAGGAAATGTTCCATTCACCATTACACTCGTCCATCGGGCTGTCCTCGATTAGTGTCAGTCCAAGGGGATCGCGCAAATTGAAGAAAAAGCGACCCCCTCACCCCCCGTCTTCTATGATGCGTTCGTTTTCAGGCAGCCCCCTCCCCCCTCACATACAGACTTGAGGAACGTCAAAAGGTCAAGCACAGGCTTTATGGTTACCTCCCTCCAGTGCGGTCAGGCACGCACTTCAAATTCAAGTTCAAACTGTCAATTGAGTACTGCAGTGCGACTCACTTCGCTTCTTAAATACAATTGAACAGCTCCCCGCAGATAAGTAATCCCACCTGGCCCGGCCCAGTCAAACAGGAACAAAGGTATACCTCCACTAATCGACAAGAGCTGGGATCGCGTACTACGTGATCGAGTGGCAAAGTCGTAGCGAAGAAGCAGAAGTAGCCAAATGCATGGCCGCACGTCTTCGAACACAGCGTGAGGCAGCTCGCGGGCAGGCGTACAGCTCTCAGAGACGGCGGGATGGATGTCCTCAGAGACGCGCCGTGCACCTGCGTCCTGTGGCCGCTTTTTGAGCTGGTCACGCAGGGACCTTATCTGACTGAGGAGGACGATGGTGAAGGCAGACTTCTCATCACCTTCGAAGCCTGCAAACAGCACGAGGGTGGAAACACTTATGGAGATTTGTAGTCAGCAGGGACAACATTAGTAGAGCGCGTAAGACGTACAAGGCCTCCTTGGGGTAGGCAAAGCCGAAACCGTGGTGAATACGATCTTGTTGATGAGATTATCTGGGTACGAGCTGCTGTGGTTGCTCTTCCGCTTGTTCTTCCACTAGCGCGCATACAAAACGCGCCGTCGTTGTCAGGTTTCTCGAATAGGCTACGGAAAGACATGCAACATGTCAATATAAGCCAGTACCAGTAACCTGAGAAGTTCGACGTAGTACTTGCAGTCGAATCCGCTCGCTGAGCGCGGGCTCGAGCTTGTCGAATTCGTTCCAGGGCAGGCAGCTGATAACAAACTCAATGCCTTCCACAGTTATCGTCAGAATCAACGCACTCACTTCTTCAGCAAGTAAGTCGAAACCGTACGAGATACCGTCCCTTCCGACTAGCGTAGGCGCTATGGTATTAATGACCATATCTAGAAATTTTCGCTCTGCGGCTGCTGCTGGTTTGTCTGGGCCTGCTGGGTGCTTATTGGCAGCTAGAAACACTTGATCACTGAGGCTCCTCCTTCTACCATGAGCGAGCGGATGCCCAGATCCCACAGAGTCCTGAGAAGCTCGGGTATTGATATCATTCCTGACAATAGTTCGTGTTTTCAGTGCCATGAGGAACGCAGCTAAATACACACCATGGTCTGCGCGAACTTCTACTAAAACGCGTGCGCCTGCCTCCTCCAATGCCTGCCTCCGTGCCGACCATGTGGCGAATGCTTCGCTGTCATTCCCAGAGGGATCAATCAAACTGGAACAGATCACCCACGGCCTCCTTCCTCTGCCTTCTCTGTAGTTCTTCAATAGCTTGCAGTCCGGCGAGAGTTGGTAGATAATATCGGTGTGGATAATGCAAGGGAAGAGGCGGAAGATGCCGTGCTGGAAGAATGAACCCATGGGGGACTGGGCTATACCACGAGAGACTGAAACAGCGTACCGATCAACTGCGGATCGTAATTCAACGCGGTCCCGATGCCAACCAAGATAGAGATGCCAACCAAGGTAGAGATGCCAACCAAGATAGAGATGCCAACCAAGATAGCGTCGTGCATGGTCCTCATCCTGAGCTTTCGGGTGCGAATAAGGACACGGACGAACGTCGATCTGCGCGAGGAACGCACCAATGCGTCATGACCATGCTCTCGTTTACGCTCAACGCGAGCTGTTTCCCACCCGCTCCGGCGATCTTGGCGTCCAAAGATTGCGCAAAGGTCAATTTCGTTGGATTTCGTTGGATCTGGCGACATTCGCCAGACCAGAACGCTGAGCTGCGCGAGCTCGGTGCGCGTGACGGATATCCGCCGCGAAGCAACCTCCCCTCGTGGTGGTCCAAAAGGCTGCCATCCTAAGCGTAGATTATGCACGAAAATGGCGTCACTGGCCCGCCGCTCTTCCAGGATGGGGGACCCCTTCTCCGATGCTGGTTCGCTACGGGCTTCTGGACCTCCTGAGAATTCCCCGGACTAGTTCCTCTTAGCCTTCACGCACGATCCACACTTCGGAACCTCTGTCAATGTGTGAGCGTGAAGAGAGAACGCGTACTTGATGATGGCGGGCGCGAATTACGGTGTTCATCCTGGTTGAACCTCGGACTGACGCGTTGCTGTCGCGATCACGTGGTGGTTTTTTTTCCTTCTTTCTCCGTTGTATGAACTATTGATACAATGGTTCTGCATCCCGTTGAATATTGGGAACATGTCTATTTCACACATGACGTTTAGTGTCGATCGAGTACATGCACAATGTGTTATCAAATAAAGAGGGTGTACATCAGTGCTAGTGGTAAGTGGTAGCTCGTATAATATGCCGAGGCAATGATGTCACATTGCAATGTTATGATACTGACATTTAGTATACTAGTCACTTAAATATCATGCTGTCATACTTTGTGGACTATAAGATCCCAACATATGTTCTGAACAAACAAGTGGGAATGCCTTTCCCGGTAACTTTGAATTGTAATATTCACTTACAACAGAATTAAGTACACCCGTCATAGCTTATTCAACCCTTCACGTGCAGACTGTCGCTGTGAAATATATTGCTAGTGCAATACGTAAACGTAACTGCTGCTAATACCTATATAACTTCTTTGTCTGCGCATCGGGAGGGTTCCCGATAGGGTAACCATTGTACGCATGTTATCTAGATCCAGTCCACGTGCACCTTTACTTATTTCGTGTACGAGTATTCACCTCATCCAGAGAACATTGGAGGTTATTCTTGATGTATACACTCTACCGACCGTCTAGGTAGCAACCCTCCTATGCACGCAATATGCGGTATGTCTGGCGGATTTATCCTCACCTAGCTCCTTCCGATACTCTGGTTATTTACTCTATATGTTTTCCTTCCAACAGCTGCTCGCTCCTTGCTGTTCACCATGGAATCGAACATGATCAATACACATACATGGCAGGTCACCGCGGAATCATTCTCAATATCTGACACGATCTCAAGATAGATAACTTAATTAACATCGAGGTATCGGTCCGGGATGACCGAGCACGCCGTCATTGCGATCGGGGCATGACCTGCATCAGTCGCGAGAACAAAGTGCGTCTGTTATATCGGGTAGAGTTCGACTTTGACGGCGACGCATCGGGTTTGCAGATGCTTATAGGAATCATTGAGAAGCACACGGCATTTAGCGTGGAGATTATTGCAGGTGCGTCTATGCACGAATTGCGGCTGAATGGTACTCGACTTGAAGTGCGGAGATCCGGTGTACCGCGTGTACGGCGCAGCTCGGAGGAACCGAGGTACTTCAATTTGCCGGCTCTGGCAGACATGTTATCGCGAGGGCAGTGGTAGATTGGTGGACCAATCTGCGTACTTTACGTCGAGCTCGGCCATGGTACCAACAGTGCGCTGGACATATGTTAGCCACACCTGTGGCGATAATGCGACCTGCAGAAACACACCTCGACCGGGACACTGGAATCTGGACTATCAGTCAACATCGGTGTTCGTGGTGTAACTCACGCAGGCACACGTTGGAGGCAGGGTCATCAATAAAGATGCTGGACATTGTCTGTTCATGGTAAGCTTGCTGCTACTCACAAGTCCGTCTACCACGCACACGTGCTGAACGCTGTTGCGAACATCCTCGATGATTAATATATTTCGCGCCACTTCCACCGTGCAATAACCAAGTACCATGGGCTTGAATAGGGAGCCTCCATTGAGAGAGATCGGGTAATCAGCGCGGGCCCATACAAATGCGGGGAGAAATACGGGAGAAGCACGCACAATGGCTAGCATGTGTACAACAGGGGGAAAGAACGTCACCGGGTGACGATGAACCCCACTCATCCGAGCTTAAGCACGAGCGAGGCTCCCTCCAACCCATCGACTCCTTGTTGAGAAAGAGAAAATTATTGGTCGAGCGGTATCATGTTTGTGGTCTGTCGACGGTACCGCGGCTCCTTCAGTACGTGTGTTCCTCGGGTCGTGTGTTCCTCGGGTCGTGTGTTCCTCGGGTCGTGTGTTCCTCGGGTCGTGTGTTCCTCGGGTCGTGTGTTCCTCGGGTCGTGATTTCCCAGTCGTGCTCCTTTGCACACGTCATTAGACTGCCCTTACTCGGTGGGTATCATATCTGCATGTGGTATTGTGGGCAGCCAACGTGCAAGACAAGTCATGTTTGAAGTAGATAGATATCGACACCACTTGCCTAACTCAATCCGAATTCTTCTGCATCGGTCATTATGGCTCAACGTGATCCTTCAAGGGATAACGATCTACGGTCGTAACAACGACAAAGATCAGATTCAGGCTTTGTATCACAAACAAAGTGAACGGTCGATAGTAGATGAAGAGATTTTCTACATTCAAGACCTGCTAGTAAGTGTCGCAGAAAAGATCACGTACAAACGCCATTTTCTCCTGCAACGTAATGACGGAGGTGGTCTGTCGATCTCGGCACTTCGCAAAGGAGATTCTCAAAGTGTGGATACTCAAAGACATTTTCGCGTTCGGGAATACGAGAAGGGCAGCACCGGCGCCTATACTTACACTAGAGTAGATTCCGATTCTGATTATTTGCGCAAGTTTATGTACGGACGCCCAAATATTGCCACGCGTACGCTGTCCCTAGTGCCTGCCTATTCTTCGTCATTCCACCATGGCGTTAGTCTCTGCGGCGCGTGCGTAAGCTTGTCTTTCACAAAAGACAAGGGGGCGCATGTAATGCAGTCGACGCTCTCATTAACGTCCCATGTCGAATGCAGCAGCCTCACCTTTACTTCGTTAGTCCTCCGTCGTCAAGTCGTGTAAGACTACGTGTGTACGAGTGTCGGGCCTTCACGCTCGACCCAGATTACTTCCTCTACCGAGGCTCAATTATCTCCACGCTCACGACCAGCATCATGGTGCGTAGGCGATCGATCGCTCTCGCATACTTATTCAATTGCTAATCCGCGTCTCAGCTATGATGATTGACCCTGCTGTTGCATACCTGTCCGGAAGGATATGATGCTTTCGATCGTGGAACTGCGGCCGACGTCTGGTTCAGGGCGGCGAAAGGTAATGACTTCTCGGGAGTTATATGGATTGTCTGGTATGAACGGTGATCTCATTTCGCAGGTTCTCCGGCACTTGTCGAGCTTTTTCCATCACATGGTAGACAACTGCTATCGCTTCAGACTGATTCACACCCGCTGCACAAGAGTATGCAATGCCTTCTGTTTCACCGTACTTGAGCTGACGCAGTAAACTAGTTTCTGGTTATACGAATTTAGTTCTACAACACCGAGACGGGTCTCGACATCCAAGCGCTTGGATCGGCCTGAACGAGCCGTTCAACGTTCGTCGTTCGTTTCCTTCACTCCCGGATATCTGACGTAGCACTATTTTCTTGTTTGATTGTAGCTCTGCCTCTAGCCGTGTGACGACCCCTTCGGTCAGGCTGAGGTACAGGGCCTTCCACCTGCGCTGATGGCGGTTCCTTCGGACCCCAATACTCCGAACTTCAGCTATCGGAACCTATCCGATACGGAAGAGGGCCGACACGAGTAGCTACAACTTGCTCAATCCGTACGCCATAAACAATGCTGCGGGGGGCGCTGTCGAACGGGACGTCCTACGTAAGTGAGGTGATTTGGACAGACCCGAGAGAAGAGCTGACTCGATCGATGGGTAGACAAACGCGGCGCATTCGAATGGTCTCACAGAGTACGATACTCGTAAGTTGGACACGAACACATTTAATTCCGATGAGTGCTCACTCGGTGCAGATAACATGTTTGGCGCCATTGTGTCCAACGCTATACGTATGTCGATCTACCGCAGTTGTTCTGCGTTTCGTCACCTTACGGAGTGCAGGTAAGAATCACTAGAGCGCATTGTGATTAGCAAGGCTCATCCGGCTGTCAGGTCTTTCACGTACGCAGCCGATGAGGCCATCCGTTATTGAAGCATGGCAGGAATTTTTACTCATGCGACACGGCGGCGGCGGCGACCACTCGTCTTTTTGAACGTATCCGAGTGATGTTCTATCTGTTTTTTTTCCCATCGTACGACCGCGGTCATCTGCGACATCCACGTTCTGCAGCTACCATCCCGGGAAGTGCGAAAGCCAACAATACATGACCACTGCCTGCTCCGGCGCAGCTGCGTGCTGACTTGTTGTCCTGCCAGATCTCTTGACCTGGAGAGGAATTGCACCTCTGCCAAGCTTGATGCTGAGCCCGGATCTGAGTACGAGACCGTCAAAGAATATCGCACGGAGCCCCCCCGCGAATACTTAATATTACCGCAGAGGTATGCTCGACGGAAGCTTCTACCGAGTATGCTACTGAGGAGGCAGGTGTCTACGCGGACGTCTTAGGTGTGGACGTACCCCCTTCGGGGATTCCAACGATACCGGAAGCGTAGCTGAAGGGCAGTAGGAGAGGAAGGGTTACTCCCGCTAGAGCCGGAGAGGTTGACGCCGGGCTCGGAGGATATCCCTATTCCACCGTCAACAGACAGCCCCTCTGTAGCTTCGAGGGAGTTGTTGGAAGCTCCGCCTGAAACCTGCACAGCTTCACCTGCCCCTACTCCTTCAACTGAAGTCCCAATATCGTCTTCTACTGAGTCCACTCCTTTGCCTTCTCCGATTCCTCCGTCGGAATCGTTACCTTATCTCTATCGACTGTGACAAGACCTACAGAGCCTTCTGTGACACCTACGCCCTCAAGTATGCTCACATCTGCAGTCGCGTCCACAGTCGCGTCCACGATCGAGCAACTACCGACGCTATCCAGCCCCGCAATTCCCGAGTCTCGCTGTGGGCCGAATCAGACCTGCATAACGGAGATAAGTACCGAGGCCGGCGTCTGTCGTGTCTACGCCGCCGCCGCCGCCGTTGAGCCCCACACCGGCTAACGCATCACTTTCTCCGAGTGTCCCATTTCCCACGCCCATATCCGCTGAATCAGTAATGACCCTTTCACGTTCACGTTCCTCCGTCTCGTCGATCGATATTTGGTACGCGTTCACTGTGTTGGGGGTGCCGTCCATTATCGCGCCTTCGACGGAGCCATCTCTCCTTTCTACAGCTCGCTCACCACCACCGGTCCTAGTGAGAAACCCGTATGTTAATCACGCGTTTACCGTTCGCTCTCGACTGATCCTCTTCTCAGGTGTCGCCATGTGGACACCCCTACCGCCTTCGCCTTCTTCGCCTTCTTCGCTGCCTCCACCGAAAGGTGCCTTCCAGAGACGATTCTGTCTAAGGCTCCGAGCGCGGTTTTGACTCACGACGTTAACCGTTTGTTGCAATATTTGCATGATGCTGACACAGTTGGCAGAGGAGAACAGATACATTTAAACCTATCTGGTAGTGAAGTTGTGCCCTATATTTCATAAGTACAAGTACAATCTGGCAGTAGAAGTAGCATAACCCTGTTCATAATACAGCAGACAAATGCTGGTGGTTGACACCAGGCTCAAGTGTAGTCATTTGATAAGGTGCAGAAGGACATGGTGTCCTTCATGCGCAACATCTTCTCTTGTTCCCAGAGGGTGGGAGGCTGCAATCGCAGTCGATGAGACACAAGAAGGACAGGAGGGTATGCAATTGCATATGGAAACATATCCAAACGTTGGTGCAGGTCATCTTTACCAGATAAATGGATATCATGTCTGTCATTAAGCTACACAGTAAGTGATCGGGGTATCGCCACATCAGAGAACCAGCAACACTCAACTGCTTGCAGAGGTGTTTCTTTACTTCGGCTTTAGTAGCATCCTCTCCGGCAGTCTTACCATAATCGCAGTGGAAGCAAGTCCAGCAGGAAATCCTGAGATTGGAATCGTGACAGGCCAGACTGGAGCTCGAAGACTCAACAGTCTTCACCTTTGCAGCAATCTCGACATTGACCCGCTGCCATACAATCTCTGAAGGCGGAGAATTGCCATGGTCCTCAATTGAATGAAGCACCTGCTATCAGGATCAGCAACAATTGGGTGAAGAAATGCAGCCCACAAACCGCTGCCCGCCATCCCATTACCACCAGCATTCTACCACGGCGACTACAGGACACACAAGCCAGCCGCAAATCTAAGGCATCCATCTGTGTAGCTGTAGCATAGAGTGGATTCTTGCCGCAAGCCTCTATCACGTTACAAATTGCAGGACCACAGAAGTTTAGGAGACCGGCAGACCAAGGATGAAGACCACGATAGTGGACGAGCAATGCGCTCTCATATATCGAACCCTCCATTCGTGGGAGGTCACCATCAACGAGGGGGTAGCGCTCGACAAGCTTCTTCCAGCTCTTGTCCACGGAACGAAGGCATGGGTGGTCGAGAACACTTGGCCACGTTTGAACATGGCCACACTGTGTGCACCGAAACACGGCCTGTGCCAACTCTGTAAAACTGGGACCAAGTCGAGAAGATCGGCGATTGTGAGTGTCCTTTGAATGAAAGGAGGCAAGAGCCTCCAGTTGGGCCTCTACATCCGAACGCCAGCGTGAAACTAGAGTCGGTAACTCCGGAGCGAATGTGCCAGGCCGAATATTGGTAATCTCCAAGGGAAGGACTGTAATGGTCCGAATCTCGGGGAACACAGACAGGTCAACGGCTTGCGGCATTGGAACCGAGCTTGATAAGTTCATGCTGTATACAGAAAGTGCCCCATCAAGATTACCCAGGCGCACAGTATATGTCATCCGTTTCTCCCAATTCAGACGTAATGTTCTTCTCCCTTCCATAAACTGTACAATCTTTGGGCGAATCATCTTCCATTCTAGAACAGCATGTTAGAAATTCACATTACAGACTATGTTGTAAGACATACCGCGATCGGTGAGGGGATCCGCCTTACTGTGCACTAGAGGGTGCTCGAAAAGTTTCTTGTATCTCAAGCCTAGCAAGGGAATATCATCACCAAAGCCCACATCTACCAACTTGTCCTTGAAACTAAATGGAGTAAATATCCAAGATACACTAAGATCTGATAAAGGTCACTCACTCCAACACTCTACAACGCTGATCCTGACGCTGATCAACATCAACTGTCATTGACCATAATCGACATAAGGCGGCATGCTGGAAAATCCATCAGCCAATGTCAGTATGTAATGGAATGTGACCTACTTCCATGATACTTCCGGTCCTACGCACGCTAGACACCACAAGTTCTTGGTGTTCAGCTGTTGTCGTGGCTGCTGCATATGCCGCCTTGAAGGCAGCGAAGTCAGGTTTGTAGAACATGGACCCACCTGAAAAACGATGAACTTGAGTCTTTTTTGAACAACAGAGCATGGCACTCACGCGCAATGGAGGGAAGCAGATCGTTCGAGGCAACATGCTGCAGATGACGTTCTTGTGGGAGCTCAGCCTTGAGATCACTTCTTGTCACCCTGATCGTGGTCAACTATGAAAGCTATTCTGGAGGTCATGGCCGCTCACATTTGTTCCTGACATTCCCGACAGCAACGGGCGCGAAATTCCCAAATAATCCACTCCAGACCCACATTGCCACAAGCACACCTGGCACAAGTCTCTTCAAAAACGAGGCTAGCGTATGCTGGCTCAGACAAAAATGAAGGGCAGTAAGGTAGACCAGGGACATTTAATTGTGCCCTTCTCCATACTAACTGTGCCGAGTGATTCATCAATGCCCGTCGCAGAGAACGGCAGGTGCGAGAGATGTGGAGAATATCCAAGGGCATAAGGTATGACAACACCTGTCAGAATATTAGCTAAATGCATTGCATTGCACATTCGAGATCCGACCCACCTCGCAAAAAATTTCCGGTGGTAGATCCACTACGGTGAGAGACCATGACAGAATCCCCGAGCCGTGTAAATTTCGTTTTCCAGATTTCTTTCGAGGACTCCTAGGCATATTTCAGACTTCGTGAAGGTAGAAAATTGGGGCTTACAGTGATCACCGGCTAGCTTTATATACAGCCCAGCCTCGTGCCGCCGCTCGCATTAACATGTCTTTCTTTGTCGCAAGGATAAGTGGCGGGAAACAATGGTTAAGAAACATTGTATCGCCAGGCAGTTCATAGATCACCAGACACTCACCTCATGTCGTGTCTGCGAGGCTTTGGCGATCCAGTACCCGCGTTGTTCTGTACACGTTAAGACAAACAGCTCCCCATACGGCGCGACGAACAATGGAAGCAGCCACCCGAATTCCACATGGTAAGTTGTGCGGAATTCACAGGCGCGGCCGCCGCGTGTGCTTTGTGGAGGCTTTTCGGGTTCAATTGGCCCCGCTAAGGTGCACTGCAGGTTGAACACGTCTTAGAAATCAGTAGGTGGCACAAAGGAATGGGTTCACCCGATGTGTGGGGTGTCCCTTTGTCAACACAACTTCGTTCACGAGGTGAGCATGAGGCTCTGGCGAGTGGCACTGGATTGCTATTTCAATCTGACGCCACACAGATGCTCAAATTTAACATAAGTGTACTGTGTTAGAGTAGCAACAAAAACATTCAAAGACTACATATCTCGATCAAGACCATATGGGAGGTAAGGCAGTGGTATGCCTCCGTTGTGTGGTCGGCCTCACCCAAGTCGGCTCCCCATTGGCACCGAATGATAGAACTAGGTGAGGCAAATCAGGATGTTTTTGCTCCTGTGGCACGAACACCGGCTCCCATTGTCCACCTCCCTGTGCAGTAAACATCCAAATTTGTATTTTCGTCGTCAGATTGCCCTCGTCGCTGGAGACTCGATGAATGAATAGATCGCCTACACTGAGTCTGACTCGGGGGTGGAGGCGTTGAGGCGTTGAGATGCAAGTACGGCCGTGGCTGGAGTACCAAACAGTATGCCCATCCTCGCCCCTTACTTTGCGCTTGTTTGGTTGTAAGTGCGGAGCCTGTCAAAGAGCAGTCAATGTATATCCACTACGAAATTGCAGTAAGTGTAAATACATCCGGCGGGCTGTTCTCTACCTTCGTCGCAGAACATTCTGGTTGCAAGGCCTAAGGGGGCAGGCTGTTAGTTTGACAACGAGAGCAAACGAAGCGCAAGGCTATTACATTATTCTGGGCTACTTGCATGTCTCTCTTTCCAGTTGCTTCCCCGCGGGATGCGGCGTGTCTGACGTCCGATCCATTCTCATGGTGCTAAAACACTCATCAAGACAACCTTGGACCTTGCAGGTTCACGGTACATTACGTTTTGTTTGATAAATGGCCCATCCCTAACGTAGGCCCTCTGTGGCTAGTGCAAATCTACGTTAACAATCTCTTCCCAATCAGGCAACAACTCACAATCGATACGGTGTCTTCTTCGCTATCCTTCTTTGTGTCATTCTGGTGGATCTTCTCTCGCTGAAAATTTTGAGTCAGGACACCATCCTTGGCGAGAAAGAACAAGATGGGCTACGAAGGTACCGAATCGCAGACGCAGGATCGGTGTAACGCCTAAATTACGTCGTCTTGGACCGAGGGCAGGAAGTTCACAATGTGAAACACCATTCCCTCCAACTGGGAACACTGCAGTCCACCCAAGACTGGACATATTGCTTGGGAGTGGCGTCGGGCGCGAAGAATCCGAAGCTCGAAGGACGTTGCACACAGGGGGGAAAGGCATCGACGTCTTATTATTAAGGATCCGGGCACGAGTCAATCTCCGCCGGGTTCCTGGTTCTTTGCCTATAGACAAAGCAGTACGGCCGGAGCCGGCCCGGGCCGACACTCAACTTCCAGATCCAGTCTCCTTTATAGACGACCGGTCGTCGTTTCAAGCCCTGTGTCCGCGACGCTGCTATACCGAGGATCTGTACCTGTCATAGAGATATTCTGTCTTGTGCTATCACGTATGAACTGAACTGCCAAGCAACTCTCGTCCTACAGAGGAATCCGGGTGAATACATATTTTTTGAAATGAAGCCAACACATCTCGTTCGCTTGGACTCGGATCGAGTTGTCAAAAGCCTGTGCGTGAACGCCTGCCTCGCCACCTACTCATTGACATCACACGCGTGTCGTGGTTCCAGTCGTCTTCCTTTCATGGCCTTCATTTAGCCGGGATTGTGGATAATGGAGCGAGACAAAGAAGCCATCCTATGGTTGTTCGTTCAAAAGGAAGAGCGGCGAAAGAGATCCATTCGTCGGTGCTCCTGTTCCCGTTCTTACTCTCGATGTCCACTGACTACGCAGGTCGCTGGCGCGATCTTGTACGAAATGCCTTGCCTGAATGGTCAAGAGCCTCTCGAAAGACCTACCAAGATGTCGAGCCGCTCTCATACCATGATCCTCACCCGCTCTCAGGAACTCTCAAGAGAGCGTCTAGTGATCTACCCCACCCAGCTGCTCGCGCATCCAAGAGGCCGGTAATCGATTGGTCCGCAGGAGATAGTGAGGGTGAATATCTTTGTAAACGTAGCTTCATCCGAATCTTGACATATATTAAGGTCTGGATGTTGTTTCCTCCGTGCCCGCTGTTTCCAATCAAATTTGGAATGATGCCACGAAAGCGATCGCGAGTCCTCCAGGTGATGATTCATTTTGGGATCTGGTAGATACCTCGTGATGACATTCTTCTCGTTCAGAACAGGATATGGACATTCTGCACTCTACCGGTAACAGAGTCAACAGCGGTGAAGGTGACGCCGCAAATGTCATTGCATCGGTATGCTTTTTCCTGCTCGTCGCCGTTCTCCGCTGAATGATCCCCTCGACGTGTAGCCATCCGACACACCTGGCGTTCATCAGCATGCATTAAGCCAGGCTTCCGCTGGTGCGTAACGAACTTTCATCGTGTGATTATTTACCGATGCGGCGTCTCCAGCGGTACAATGGACAGACTCTCCCATTCAATCGGAAACACGTTCAGAGGTCCCTGCAACGTCGAGTGGCAATCTGTCGGAGAAGTATACGTGCAGCAACGAACAGGTGTTATTTCCTGCCCAGCCTGTGCTCTCATCGGACGTGCCCGCATCGTTGACCGTGGTGGAGTGCAAGGAACAACCTGTCTCACTTCTTCCATCCACGTCCGTCACATCTCCAAGTGGTATCATTTCGGCACCGCCAGCCTTGACCGAGTTATCAACTTTCGCAGACAACGATGAAAATTTGATTTGGAGCATAAACATGCAACTGGGAGACAGTGATGGGAGTGGCGATAGCCAGACGGAGGACACGGAGGACGAGGACGAAGAAGGAGACGAAGAGGATGAGGATGGGGACGAAGGCGAGGAAGAAGACGAAGAGGCCGAGAATGAGGACGAGGATGGCGACGAGGAGGAAGAAGACGAAGGGTACGAGGAAGATGAAGAGGACCAGGAGGATGAGCAGGACGAAGAGGACGAGGAAGATGAGGAAGACGAGAAGGACGGGAGGGAGGACCCGAGCAATGACGATAGCGACGGCAACAATGACAAGGTCGTCATCGTTGGCAATAACAGCAGCGATGACGACGAGGACAGTAACAACAGCGACAGTGTTGGCGGTGGTGGTAGCGATGACCGCAGGGAATTTTCCAACAGCACTGCTGAAGAAAAGGAGAGTCAGAATGATGGCATGGCCATCGATGAAGAATATGACCATGGCTACGTCTCCGATGAAATGGATCTCGATACCGCAGCAGACGGGGTCGCATCTGTTGCAGCGGGGAGTGCGCCTCAGAGTGGGACGAACAAGCGTTCGATTTTCGAAGTCAATTTTTTGGTGAGTTGTCATGGCATGCCCACTCTTTTACTATTTGCTGCTGACCGGTGGGCGTCCAAGGAATCTGCTCCACCTGCCAGCTATCCGGTAGGTCAAAGCCATACTCATACGAAATTTCACATTGAAGAGAATCGTTACAGGCAACCATCCCTAGGGTGGGTTCCCGTTCCCGTACAGCACAGTCGATCTTCGATGTAAACTTTTTGGTAAGGGTTATCCTCATCTAAATTTTTGCGTGCTGTCCATTGATTCCGTATTTTATGTCCTGGAGAATGATGCTTTCCGCGATCTAAGTGTGGGAAATCAAGTGCGTGCTACTGTAACTTCTCCCATTACACTCTGTTTATATATGTTCTCAGAATGCACCGGCCACTAAGAAAGACATACAAGCCTTAATTACAATGCAACAGGGCCTTGCTCAGGAAATTGCACGTCTCCGCAGGATTCCGGAGTCTTCTTCAGCGGAAGATTCTTCCAGCTGCACGCAGAAGAAATATCGCGGTAAAGTCGCTCACAGACCCGGTCCCAAACTGAACGTACAGGTATGTTTATGTGTCTTTTGCAGTCGCTGTGTAGCTCATAGCAACTCAGAGCAAGATTCGCCTGCACGCTCTCGAAATGCTTGGCCGTGAAACAAAGCGGAGTCCCATATTAGGTGCTTCCGACAAGGAAGTTGCATTATTTGAGCGCCACAAACATCCTGGGCCATCGAAAGAGTATTTCCGTCCTCATTTCAATGGTACTCCTCGAACACCGTGGAACAGGCGTCTAGCTGAAGTTTTCACGAATGACTTCATTTCACTCGGATGGTCGAAACGCAAGGATTTTTCTGAGATATTTAACATGTTCTGTACGCATTTCGAGACCCTTAACAAGCAGTACAAGAGACAGACCCGAAGCGCGAAGAAGCCTAGCCAGGCCGAAGAGGACAAGACTGCTGAGGGGCATCGGGATCAGAGGCGTCGGAATGTATGTATTTTTTTGATTGTCCCGATGAATAAAAATGACGGCTTTTGCAGCTGAGGACGAGGCGATTCGAGGCGATTGGGCAACACATTGATGTTATCCGGTACAAGGATCTATGGAATACGATTCCTCCTGGGGCCATGTCTGGCGACGAATCCGATCATAGATCAGGCAAGCTGCGTTACGTGGTTACTAAACTACCGTGGCGGTCAGCGGAGGCCGAACGATGGCTATGTACCTTTGACCTCCTGCACCTCAAAACTCGGTTTCACGATAACGGCAAACCTAAACGAGGAGCCTTCCCTCATCACCGCATCAGAGGATCCTCGAGGATAGAGCGCAATGACGACCCGGTGTCCGGTTTGCCTAGGAACTTTTATGATGCTACGTGGCTGAGTGATCAGTCTGAGGACCATATACGGGCGTTGGATATACAGCCCAGTGTTGACCTCACCCTGTCGCAGGACTGTTTGAGGTGAGTGTGATCCATCCGATTGGGCACATCAACTTAATACTCTTTTTCGCAGAGAGGCCGCAAGGTTCGCACGCATAACTAATCGACGCACGCCACCTCGTCCCAGGGACTAAGATTAGTATGCAGGGTCAAGTGGAATTGCTCGAGCAACTATGTATTTCTCCATTGTCACTGTACTGTACAGGTTGATTGTATCTTTTGTATTATGGCCAAACCTCGCCAGCTTGCCACTCAAGTTCGTTCAACAGACCATGCAGACCATGCCACTTTTACCCCGACGATCGCTAACGTTCGGTGGGGGAATGTCGTAGATCCCTCCAAGCTTGCCTCGTTCCACCTTCCCCTTCACCCACGCCAGTTACCCTAAGCGTCTGAAATCGGTCTGCAATTGATCCCGAAATGGCGACCAATTCCATTCATGACGGCCCGCGGTTGCTCCGCGGACGCTCTGCGAGCTCCCATTGAGTGTCCAATAAGAGGTCCACTAACCAACCCGAGCACCATGTCATTCCTCAATAGTTTTCTTTCCGCTCCCGAACACGCAGCTGGGTTTGGCGCGATATTTCCCGAGTAACCCATTGTTCTTCGTCTGATTACGGAGTTGTTTATGGGCGTGCTCGACCGCGCAAATAGCAGATGTCAGAGCACTCAGCTTCTAGGAAATGCTAAGTATCTTGCGCTGCTCCTCGTCATGCCGAAGGAGCATCCTCAGTGCTCTCGGGATGTTGAGGATAGCCCACATCTGCAGCTGCAGAAACGAGTTACTTTCTCGTCCCAGAGACCGCCCGACCTTAGGGAGGCAACCTGTCATCTTCGTCTTAGACAGTTTCTTCTGCGGACACACGATCACCCTTTGGTGAGAAGTTAATACTTGTATAATCGTTCGAATTTCGACATAGCTTGTCGGCCTCGAGGCCGTCCACATCTCTCAATTCTCTCATCGAAACTTCGTGGCAGTCCCAATACTCAGCAGGCTAGAGGTGTAATATTAATCGCTGCAAAGACATTTGTGTGTCTTCCATGCAAGCTTCTGATACTCCACAGAACAGTAGCGGACAAGAGTATAATAACCATGAAAGCAGAGCTTCGATCCCATACGTAGGAACAACGTACTCATGGATTACCGCATCGACCGTAAGTACTGAATCCAAGCAATAGCTACACTTGAGCGTCCCTCCAACCTCTCATAGGACTGATTTTGTAGTCTGGCTTTGGGAGACTAACTTGAGGCTAAGATCGCTGTTCGACTAATTCCATCGTGCATATTGCGCGGATGTAACCGTTATCGCCGACAGATTACCCACTTTGCAAGACTGTCCAAATTGTTCACATTCGGGAATATGCTGTACCTGTGACCATACCACGTACCTTCACCCCACATCCGCGCCATCGCCGGATCACGCGATTGCAGCCGCTCTATCACCTAGCACGCCTGACGCCCTGATCGCTATCCCACTGAGCCAAGCGAAGGCAGCGAGACTACACACAGAGAACGCAAGGCAGTGTTGAGCTGACCCAATCGTACTCGGTGGCCGCGGTTTGAGCCACCGATGCTGAGAAACATGATCAACCGCCAGTCGAACGCGTGGATCAGTAGCTAGAAGCTTTCTAAGCAAATCTTTGACTTCAACGAGAGGAGTCAATAATTTGAAGTCAGGAGAAATCGCAATCATACCCTCGTTGGTCGTTGCAGGGGGAAGAGACTGCCATTCAACCCTTCGCTGGTCCATGCCAACGGCGGCTAGGATCCTCGTATTGGACTTGCGAAATGGCACCACCGATGCAAGCCTAAGATGACTTTAGAAGACAATCCCATTGCAAAAATACTGAGTCGCTGTTACATGGTGAATAGTGTCACACCGACACCCCAGCTATCGACTTTCTCATCATAGGTGCCCGATGCTGAGGTAGTAGCTGTGAAAATTTCCGGGGCCATGAAGAACGGGGTACCGCAGATACTCTGGAAGGAAAACATGTAAGACTGAAGCTTAGACGAAGGCCAGACGCTACCTTGAGAACGGTACCACTGGTCACCTTCGCCATGCCGAAGTCAGATACTTTCGCTTTCAGAGGACTTTGGCTCTCTATCAGCACATTCTAACCGAGGTTGTTACATGTAAGTTCCACGACTATCATGGGGTCCATCGAGTACTTGCCGCAGGCTTGATATCTCGATGAACGATGCCTAGAGAATGGAGATACTGGAAATAATAGTGTGAGATACGAAGACAAACTTTTTATCAGAGGGACTGACCACCAACGCGGAGCATATGTCGGCTGTTATGAGCTTTGCCTCCGCTTCATCTATAATTAGGTTAATGTAAGTACAAGCGGCTACTTACGGATAAAAATCACTCACGTAGCCCCTGTGCTCTCTCGATCAACTGGGCCAAAGTGCCTTCAGATATTAGCTCCATCACAATATCTACACGGAGAGCAACATTAGCCCAAGAGATTGAGAGGATGGACAAACGACTCACAAACTTTGAGGACATCATCAAAGACTTGATATAACCGTACAATGTTGGGCTACCAGCGGATCAGTCCACGAGAGTATATGTAACAAAAAAACGAGAGTACATGGCTGAGGCTCTGCAAGATCTCGATTTCTCCTTTGATATAGTCCCTGCCACCTGCTGGTGGAAGGCGAGATTTGCGCAGTGTTTTGACCGCACATGCTCTACCCGTGATACGACTTTGTCCTTTGTGCACTATGCCATAACCACCGCGTCCAATTCTGAATTGTTGTTTCAATACAGTTAAATTACGCAAGCGAGGTGATATGCTTACTCCTCACCCAGATCGTACACGGCAAAGATCTATTGTCATTCAGTGTCGTGGGAGACGATACAAATGGCCATGAACGCGTACGGAGTCCGGGGGGATGTGGCTGTAAGCTACGGCTGAGAAGATGCTCAGTATCTGTACAGACGAGATGGTAGTTAAAACACACCTGGAACATCATTAGTATCACAGAATTCAGGGCTGGCCAGGTGAATGACACAGCTCTGTGGAAGCTCGAAGCCGCGTGCAGCTACCCGGTTTCGGTCCACCTGCGAAAACAATCTGTAATCGAACCTCCGAACAGTTGGCGTGCTCACATATACCCCCTTTTTGTGAAGACCCCGCAGAGACACCGTAGTAGAACCATCTGGGGACACTCTTCTCGTTATGACGCAATGAATCGATGCTGCTCAGATTTAGATGTCTGCCAAGTAAGATCTGACGGTAGACTTACAAATAAATGGTTCATCTATGACAAGGTCGCAGTAAGAGGCCCTTCCAATGGTGAAACGATCCGACGATATATAAATCTGCCGGTGCACAGTGGAATTTGTCACCAGAAGCCTCGCATAAACAGCGGGAAGTACAGGACTTTGTAGAGACATGACTGATTGTCGGCGACATAAGAACGTGCCGCTGAAACAGTATTTATACTCCTCATGAGCTGGAAGTGGCGTAGAGCAGACAAAGTTAGCCAGAACCTCCTTCCTTTGTCAACGCAAAACTATTGTCAGTTGCCTATATTGCCTATAGATCAGCTAACGTGGCAGATGGCACTCACCAGGATCGAAATTGATTTGCCACTCGATCACCGAGCGGCGAAGCCCAGCCTTCAATAATGGGGCGGGACATCGTGAAGGGGGCTTGATGAAAGAACTACGTTACATGCGCCCCCCTTGTCTCATGTCAGAGACAAGCTTACGCATGCTCCGCAGACACCAACGCATACAGAAGCAGATGCGGGGAACATCCCATTCACTGAGAATGGGGTGTTCCCTGGTGTTCCGCTGGATTCCCGGTGCACTAGCTGGCCGAGTGGTGAAATGTCATGTGACACTACCAAGGATTTTTGGGAGCATAGGATCATATCACGGCGAGCCGCGCCTTTTCGGGCGCGTCAGCCAGGCGCTAATGTGTTTATCCTTTGTGCTCGTAGGTTCTTTGTGCTCGATTTAAATTTCTTTGTGCCGAGGTCCTTTATGCTTAATGCCGAGTGGCGTAGCGTTTGCTCTTATATTGCAGCCGCAATGTGTCGGCGCGTTTGCGTACCCACCCTTGAACAGCGTTGGCTCCTATGGCAGGTCATTCCGTGTGGTGAGTTGGCTAGCTCATTGATGTCGTGATCACATGTAACCCAATAGTAATGACTAGGGGTGTATCTGTGGCACAGGGCCACCCAGAAAGGGTAATAAGTGGCGGCCATAGCATTCGAATGTCGAATGTCGCTCTTAATGATAAACTCGTTGGCGACAATGGGCATCATACATCAGTAAAACTGTCTTTTCTTTCAAAGATCGATTCTCCAGAGAGATGGATATCAGTTATATTGTGTTCGTTGACCCCTGGGAAGGCGAGACATCATCTCCTGCATATCAGCAGCCCTTACTAACGTTGCCAAGCAGGTCGAGCAGTGGAGCGTGGATATTGTCCTTCCACCAGTCGGTGAGTATCTGTTGGAAGTTGTTGGGCCAAAGTGAGATTTTCCATAGGGCTATCGTTCATTTTTCGCACTAATAATGGTTAAAGTTCCATATCGGTAACAGGAAATTACATCGACGCTGTTACTGAGAGCCAGCCATGGTCTGAACGACCCATAACCAATGAGGTCGCGACCGAAACTGTCTTGTATGCGACCTTTTTGCCATGTTAATTTTCAGTCTTGACTTCTTGCATAGCATTTCAAGGGGAAAGTCACCGGCATCGGTTGTTGCAGACACCACTGACACCGATAACAAAACACGAAGGAAACGGTCCAAACACGATGGCGATGCCGAAGACCGCGCCACGCCAGTCCCAGGTCCGTACCATGAATACCCCATACCCCCCATAATTACCATGTTATCATCTCTTCACTAACCCTCAAACTCATGCATGCAGGTGCTTCATTAATGCCGACTATTACCGTCACCCAAGCAGGTGCTATTCATACTGAATTCTCGCCTGTCGATGCTCTATCGCCTGGTGGATCTTCCCGGTTGGCGCCGCCTGCTTTCCAGCTGCAAAATCCTCTGTTGCCGCCGAACTTGAAAGGGGATAAATTCGCGAAGATAGGGAAAGGCTCGAAGATGGGGAAACGCTCGCAGATGGAGAAAGTTCGGAAAATCGAGAAGGAAGTCGATCCTGCAACTGCAGCAAGCTTGCCCTCGCCGAGTACGATTCCTGGCATGCTCCAGCTTCCAGGTTCTGTTCCGGTATCATTGACTCCGACTGTGGAGTACAACATGGGGCTCGGAAGGCATGCGAACGCCACAAACCAGCCCTACCAGACGGAAGATGGATACGTGGCCTGTCCCTCCGGAATCAGATTCAAGGACTGCAGGGAAGGCAGCGGGGTTGCTGTGGTGAAAGGAAACGTGGTCAAGTTGTTGTACGTTGGTATGTTGATGGATCAGACCATATTTGACTCGAATGAAGGCAAGGTACCTGTGGGTGTTGGCATTATCCGCCGTCCGACGGTAGCTGATTTCTGTCTGTCAGCTTCAGTTCACAGTTGGTGCAGGTCAAATTATGGCTGGTAGGTCCTCCTCTTCCATCTCCACTATTATTCTGACGGTTCTCAGGGGTTGACGAGGGCATCCTTGGTATGAAGGTTACTGGACAACGCCTCATCTTGATCCCCTCTGTGCTAGCTTTCGGTGCTCAAGGAAACGCGAAGGTACCGCCTAATGCGGATGTAGCATTTCGTGAGTGGTCAGAAGCAATACGTCGACCGAATATGCACTGATGAGTTATTCATTGTTGCAGAGTGTGAATTGGTCAGTATCGATTGAGAGGCGCATCGCCTTTGGCAGAAGGCGGGATACGATACGACTTCTGTAGATTGTTCCTGGTGTATACGTAACTTCAACATGCGTTCTCTCCTAGCTTGTTTCTCCTATTTCCGGAGCTCGAGCCTACATATGCATGCGCAATTTACTGTCTTTGGTCAAGACCGGATGCCTGTTGTGCATTTGCTAAGTACTTGGGGCAATCTTTGGTCTCTCGCCTTTTTGTCCGAATCTCTAGTTCAGAAGTATTACTTAAGTCTCACTACAAGCTAATTCTTATCTTTCCTCCCTACCGCAGCGACGCCTCGGACCTGGCTCGGCCAAGCCGTTCTAAATGTCATTGCATACGCCAGAAGACCTATAAGTTGAAAAGTATTGGACATCATTCTGTGACAAGGTCTCTAGCTTCTGCCGTATCTCCGCCAATAGCGAACTGCGAAAATACTAATTGCTACCAATCTCTTGTTCCAATTACCATCAGGTGCATACGGCGAGCGTGTCATACGAGGTGTTAAGCTAGCCTGGCTGTGGGGAGGTCATATGAGCTGCAACTACCCCCACCAAGACGAGATCAAAGTGATCATCGGAGAACTGAGGCATCAGGCGGCGGACTTGCAGAAGTTACGCGAGCTGCTCATTCGCCTGATTCGGTCTTCCCGTGGTTATATGGTGAGTAGCCTGTACATTCCGAAAATGGAATCATCTTTCAGTGCCATGTGCAGGACGTCATTCGTAAAGCCGTGGAGTCTTGCGCAGAACGAGTCAATTGTGATGATGGGCATAGCAAGGTTGTGTACGAGTTGGTCTACAAATTACGCCATACCGAGGAGAGTCTGCGACGTCTGGATTGGAAGATTACGGAGCTAGAAGCTCTCCTCGCGCCTATGCAGTGTCTTCCCGACGCGCTGCTACTAGCCATCTTCAAGGCAGGTTGCAGGCAACGACGTCCACAGCCGGACGTATGGTCACCTTTTCCTATGCTCGTTGCCTCCGTGTCGCGTCGCTGGAGAAATCTCTCTCTTACCACACCCACCCTTTGGACGAACCTGCATATTTCCATGGAGGGACCCCGCCATTGGGCGAGTCTTGCACTCACACGATCTGCAATGCATCTGCTGGATATCACTATCGACGGTCGTGGAGAATGCCCTAGTCGATTAGACGAGATTGCGACATATGGACACGCAGAGGCGCCTCGCTGCACGCCGACAATAATTTCATGCTTGAACCTGCTGGTACCGCACAGCAATCGCTGGCGCAAATTCATTATCATAAGCCATCATTCCATCGACATCAGAGTAGTAGGCGAAATCATAAAGAACGTGCAATCGCCTTTCCTCGAGCATCTCCGACTGTCTCTCACCGGCAGCGGTCCCGCGGATAACCAAGAGGTTCCCCTTCCTGCTATCCTCGGAGGGGGGGCGCCCATGCTCTCTTCAGTGCGCTTGGACAGCGTCTCCCTCCCATGGGGATCTATGCCCCTATCTGGTCTGTCAACGATCGACATTCGCTGGATGTGGGATCAAACCAAGCTGATGTATCCCCAGTTCCGTGACCTCTTGCAAGATTCGCCTGCGCTAGAGCAGCTCATCCTGCGAGGCAGGCATGTCGAGCTCCACCCCAACTCGACGTATGAGTCTATCCACGTACCCTCGCTCCGCTACCTGGAATTGTCGGGCGATAACATCTGCCGCTTGTCCTCGATCCTCATCACACCCGAACTTGAGACGCTGGCGCTCGTGAATGTGGATGAAAGCGAGTTCCGCGAGTTCGTCGGCTGGTTGTTGTCAGTCGAGATCCGCTACTCTGCATTGCGGTTCCTCGTCTTCGTCAATGTCACTACCTGTGGCCTGCCGTCAGGGTTCACGGAGGCGTTCCCCAACATCGTACAGCTCACGATCATCAATTCGCATGCTAATCATTTTATTGAGCTCATGCTGAGGACACATGGAAGCATGTGCCCTGACCCGGACAAGGGCATCTGGCCATTGTTGAACACGATTGCGCTGATAGCCGATGATGTAAATTATGACAGACTCCGTCAGATGCTCCTCAAGCGGACTGCACAGCAGTTACCAGTGCAGCGTTTGGTTTTGAATGGGATCTACACATACAACCACCAATATGTGTCCCCGCTGATGGATTTGGTGAAAGTTAATGGCATCTCTGCACTTGAAGGAGATTTGTAGTAGCCTAATTGGACTATTGTGTAATTTTTGAGTATCGCGTGCTCTCATCTTATGCTTCACTGCCGCCCCGACCTGGGCGACGCTGTAAAGGCCTAATTTAAACCGGGAAATCATGTCTATTTTGCTGAACAATTAATGCACCCGCTTTGCTAGTCTCGGAACCAGCCGTTCTGACCTTCGACCCTCGTGTCACGCTTGTCGTCCCGCATATACCTGTGCATCCCCTGACCTCCGCTGGAAAATTTTGTTCATGTATGCCACCATATGTGTACCTTGGAACATATTCGAGGCATTGCGACTCGCGAATGTGCCGCGCTCAGGTTCGGATGTTTCGAGTTTTGGCTGAGGTCACGCCCGTGTGACATACCCCCCCCCTCTATACAATTTTCACCAGACGTTCTCGGGAGCGACCCAACATCTTAAACGCCCAATTTGGTAACCGCCAGGTTGCTCACGTGAACGTCTGGTTACGAGACTACCGCTTTGCAGAATTTTTGTTCTTGCTGACTTGCCCGAAATGGCGGGCGGAATTTCCGGGGAGCCAAACAGAGTCAAATAGGCCAAGGGGCTGAAGAATCAATTCGGCTTGCTCGGCCTATTTGGTTCTGTTTGGCCTGTGGCTAACTGGAAAACAGGCGCTCCGCGGCACGCTGCCAATTGAACAATTGAACAACGAAGACTTCACAGGTATACTCATTCGTATAGTGGATAGTTCTCTTACTCTTACTCATGTCAAGCTGTTCTAGAACAAGCTACTACTGAGACTTCCACTCGTGCAGGAACGATTATGCAGGCCATTGCCTTTTTGAAGGAGGAGCCGTCTTACAGGGATCCACATGTACCTGTGGTAATGCACCTAAATCTTTAGCGACATGTACACGAATTGACATGACAACAGGCTGGTGGCTCACTTAGCGCAGTGCGACGGCCGGCCGTAGTAAAGGTAGTCACGGTCGAGGTTCGTGTGGCTTCATCCCGTACCGTTTCCTGTGGACTAACCAGGTCGTTTAATGTTGTTCTTGCTCTCTCGACAGAGCTCTAGTCCTCTTCAATGTTTTCCTGAGCATCATGGTTCGAATCCATCCCCAAAACAGGACCAGAGCGGCGCTGCGTACATCCTAAGGTTGTTTCTGTGTTCGTTTGGCCAGGCCGCTATGCTGTCTGTCTGTGTCGCGTTCCGGGCTCTTCTATATGCAGCCCAGTTCATCCTGAGCGCAGTTCTTTCAGCGATCGTATCGGCTGTTGCCATCAGGATGCTTTGTGACAGCCAGTATACAAAGACGTCCCTACTGTCGTCAAGCATATGCTCTTACATTGAGACGCCGGCCCCCGAGTGCTATCGCGAAGTTGCGCTGGATACTACTCGCAGTGAATACGGATCCCTTAGTCCTATCGACTTCAGCATCAATACTACAGCCCATTTGCCTTGTGATGATCTTGCTGCGACCAATTACGCCAGCTACGCCACTGGTGCTCGTCCAATTGAACCGTTCACCTCAAGCACCTACCCGGTACCAGGTTTCAACCTTCTATTCTGGCACAACCCAGCACCGAGTCATAGTGCCCCGCGCAGTGTTCTTTCGGACAATGGGGGTTGTTGGTCCATGGTTGGCTCATCAGGTTATTTCACCGTGGAACTATCCCAACCGGTGCGTGTCACCAATGTCACCATATGTCATATTTCCGAAGGTCCATTCCGAAACGCCATCCACGACGTCAGTAACACGCCGCGGTCGTTTGTGCTGTGGGGTTTGACGCAGCGCGCTGAAGATATTGTACACGCTTCCCATGCTGACTTCGTATTACGACGGCATGCCCTGCCCGTGGATCTCGCGAGCCGTCTTGGAGATACCTACCACCCTTTCCCGCTGGTGCAATTTATGTACGACGCACATGTGGGTCAGCGCCAGACTTTTCTTCTTGGAGAGAATGGTATGACAAGATCGATACCCATTCGTCTTCTTATATTTCAGGTTTTAGACAACTGGGGTTCTCGCGACTTCACCTGTTTATGTCATATAGGAATTTATGGAGATGTCTAATGACTGTTATATTCATTTATCTACGTCTGGTTCTAGATTGTCTCGCCGTCCGCTCCGATTACAGGAATCGGAAGGCTGTGCTGAACGAACTCTACCACTGGTGATGATTGCTTCAACACGCAAACCGAAGGGAAGAGGTAACTGCTTACCTTATTCAACGGTAAGACGTGTACACAATCGATGTCGATACTAGGAGTTGTGCGCCTGGTGTGCGCGAAGTGACAAGTAATTTCATCTACCTCTAGAACTATGAGCTGGTCCCGGACTTTGTCGTAGAACAGTCGGCCTCCAACAAAAGGGAATTTCCTGTAGGGATCAAACTGAATGTGCCTTATCTCGAGCGCGATGTACTCCTCGACGAGTAAAAAGTTTCTCCGCACATCAATATTTTCCTGTCGGTATGAGTGAGTGAAAATATCGACGACGCGGCCAGCTCTCCAGTCGGCGTCGTCCGCACATTGGAAGACAATATAACTGTCGCCTCGGCTCGTGGTCACTGGTTTATAAATATCGTCCTGGACTTCGAGCTTCTTGTTCCGCACGACGTAACGGTTGATGTGCGGCCTGATGAAATTGTGGCCTGCGAACCAGCTTTGTAACGCATTCCACTCTTGGTCTCCAAGTCTAGAGAAGTCTCGAGTCTCTTCTTCAAGCTCATCATTATCCAGATCGGGGTCACCCAGTGGATCTTCGAATGCCAGCATATCCTGGAGCAGTGTCCCGCGGTGTTCGGACTGGAACGAGCTGATAAAGGGCGCTATGATGGAAGAAATGGATTGTGGAAGAGATTCAGGGTTGAATAAGCTCCGTAGGTTCTGTCTCATGCAGAAACGTCGTAACATCGTGCCAGGGAGGTCGACTAGCGAAGATTTCAACTTATAAGCCAAAGACCCACACGAATTAGAGCTCACCCATTTTATTGTTCGTCAGAATCGTCTGTAAGTCACCATTGTTTCGCTCAAAGCTGAAAGCCCGAATTGAGTGCGTTGGACCGAACCGTTCCAGGTGCTCTGGCAAGTGTAGAGAATTGTGTTGATTCGGGCTGATCGTTGTACCTGGAAAAAGTTCCAGCAGAGTCCGAAGATAGCGATGCATGTGCCTGCGATATCGTGTAATCCTCTCCGACGTCATGGTTCGCAAAGAGGCCAGTTTCACGGCAGTAATCAGATCCATGAAATTTTGAAGCATTCGATATTCTCTTGAATCGCTAGGCTTGCTACCCCAGGCCCAGATCAGAGATATAGTGAGGTTAATCGTGCAAAATGTGCGAAGTTCGTCAGCCTCTAGCTTTCCCGATGACGTGCCTGGTCGACGGGGTGGCGGTGTCAACGTTGAAGGTAGTACAACTGCATCCATATCCTTCCAGATGATAGAGAGCATCCTCCGGCCAAGTACCCTTCTACTTCTCGTCCTACCTTCGATGAGCTTTCCATCAGCATCTGTGATCCCTTCCGCTAGTCGCTGAAATAATCGTTTAGGCAAAAAATTGGAATGAGCGGATCTACACATACATACGCCCGCATCCTTTGAAGAACGTCATCTTTTTTCTGAAGCGTTTTGCCTTTGAACTTCTTCGCGGCCAACATAACCAGAACGGCAGTGCTGAGCTTCATGAGTTTGGACGTAGCTCCGTGTTCCAAAATGTCCTCAGCCACCTCTACTTGGCCAGCTTCGCCAGTGCTCTGTGGAAGATGCTTCTCTCTACGTACGAGGAGCTTTCCTGAATTGTCAGTGATTCCCATTTTTATGCGCTGTAAGGGAAATATCAATACACAAATGCGAATGTACGTCATTCCACTGACAGCCTGATGAATAGCTGCCTGAACGTCACTCTTCTTCTTGAGAGTATCGACAATATCTTGGGGTAATTTCCGGCAGCAGAGCTGAATAAGGACAGGCAGCCGGAGTTTGTTCAGAGCTGATTTTGTTCCCGTGTCGAACTTTTCCACGGCATCCTCCAGTTCTTCCTTAGTCACTACACGCGACCGCGATACTGGAAGATCTTGAGCCGCAAAAAGATTGCCATGTTTATCCGCTATTTTCTGGTCCAAGCGCTGCGGAAGCCGCTCAGTCAACTGATGTCACAAGGGCACAGAACGTACATATTGAGTCAGCAGCGCCAGAAGTTCGTCCTTGGTCTTCTTCTCATAATCATGAATGGTCCCTCCAAGCTTCTGCATGCATACTTCACGAAGTACATCTCGACGCAATCTTTGTAACGCAGTGCCTGGCTTAGAGTCAACTGCTACCAGAGCAACCGCCAGTTCCTTCGGATGTGGGACATTATTCACCGCAGGATCTGGCCTCAGAGGTTGCTGCTCGTCTGACAACGGATTGCCATTGCTATCGAACCATCCTTGTTCCTTCCGCTGAGTAACGAGGTCAGCAGTTGTATATTAGAAATTGAGCACTACACACATATGCAATGAGACGCTTCAACAATTTACCCCGCCGTCCCGAAGATCGCAGCATCTTAATTCGACACAATTGCTTCAGAGCTTCCACTCGAAGGCCAGAAAGCTCATCGCCAGATCCAGTCCTCAGAATGTGAAGAGCCTGTTCTGTTTCCTTTTGGGTAGGTTTGGGGTCATCGACGATTCCTCGTAGACCATCTGCGTGTTTCGCACTCATTCCCCAGACCTTGTCAATGTGACGCCCCAAAAGTCCAATGTACAGGAGATGCATCGCTTCGAGTGCAGTATATTTGATCGGGTCCCAGTAATGTAGGCGTAGCAATTCAGACCACCTGAGTCCATAATCGTCCATGATCTTCTGCCGTTCTTCTGGCTCAGCATTCTTCCATTGTTCTGCTGATGCACGATGTTGCTCGGTGGTTCGTTCAGGCCAAGTCCAGTAATCAATGTTCTCGATGTCTGATAACTTCAGGTAACAGCAGGAACAGAAAAAGGTATGACCATGTGTGCTGAAACCTGCCATCTGACGAGCCGCTTCGAGGTCGCAAACAAGTGGAATCATTGCACATCGGCATGTTTTGCCCTCACGATGAAGAGGAGTTTCTGAAAAGCGGATCCCGGAGTCGTACGCGTCGAGAAGGTCATCCACGAGCGGTGCTAGAAGAGGATTGATCTGTTCCTTCGACGGATGTCCCGGAAAGATCGCGACCAAGTACATATTCTCGATCTTGTATCGCATCTCCGGTGGGAGATTGAGTAGTGCCATATAGATCGCACCGACAGAAGCGGAGGGACCTCCCTTGCCGAAAGGGTTCAGGCCGTCCATACACAGACTGAATACGTACCGTCCCTCGTTGGCATCCGCATCCATGAATTTCGTCCCATTTGGACCTGGAAGGTCATGGAGAAGCGGTTGGTCCCAAATATCAGCGGCAACCTCGGGCGATGAACAAGGAGGTTGAAAAAGTTCAGGTCGATCCACGATTGCTTCCATGCCAGGTCTGCAGAGAATCGCGCGAGCCAGTGCTTGAGGTCATGATATATATAGCGACTGTAGGGAAAGGTTCGATCCTTGCCCTTAATTTTCCGAGTAACATATAGCTCTCTATTACACGGCGGACTAAGGGGTGTCGATTGAGCTGTGCATCGTGGAGGTGGATTGGGGCCATTGAGGGGATAACAGTGGTAGCACCCTGGACAGCAAAACGAACGACTTCGTCACCGGCGTCACGTTGAGAGACTGCAAAACCGTGCGAATGTCCTGCGGTATTTCCTCTACAATATCCCGGCTCTCGCGATCAATGGGTCCTTTGAGTGAGAATGCGACATTCAAGATGGTGCGCAGAGCGTTCAACACAAAAGTACAACGGGAGATGGAGACATTGCAGAGAAAGGTGCAACACTCCGGCGAGAACATAACAAAGCAAGATGACTGGTTGCAGAGATCTTCAGTGATGATTGCAAGTATGGTCCTGCGCATATCAGTAGGGATAGTACGTGGTAACGATGCGGACGTACTCGTTTGCACAACACCATCATTTTGAGCAGTTGAATTGGCACCGTGGGACAGAAGCACAGTTCTCTGCCGCTCCCATTCGATCTCTTTCCACCGCTCGACTTCCTCTACAGCGTCTTCTACGGCGGTCATCGCGCTTCCGGTGCGCAGACGAACCCGAATGCTCTGATGAGTTTTCCAAGATTCATATCGCAATAAAGATTGAAGAAGCCATCCTCGTATTCCAACAACGCTGTGTTCAAGGGCTGTCATATTTGACAGCAAAGAGACCTCGATTGATCTCTTGCGAGACCTTATCTTGCACTGGCTGCAGATGCACCGGTACTGAAAGTACGCTTGGAGGAGATACAAAAGCCAATGCACCATGATCCTGAGCAGCAGCACGTCTCTCCTGTAGTTGTGCCCTGAATTTATCGAGTTCCTCCAAGAACGTAGAGTCC